AATCTGATGAAATATGTCGGGATGAATCTGCCACTCGCTGTTGTCCACCTCTGTCCTGCTCAGGAAATCCGCCTGTGTGTTTTCCGACCCCGCAATGTGGTCCGCTCTGATGGAGAGGAGGTGTTGTTCTGCCCACTTGCCCAGGCGAAATGATTCCTCCATGAGGCGCTTTGAGTGGGTGCCCCCTTGACGGTTGACATGTGCCTTCGCCGCCATATTGTCTGTCAACACCAGAACATGACGGTGTTGCACAAACCGGTGAAAGTGCGTGAGAGCGAGACGAATGGCCTTCAGCTCCAGCCAGTTGATAGGGTTGGCGAGGTCTGATGCAGACCAACGGCCCTGAGCCACGTGTGATGCAAGATGAGCCCCCCATCCGTGAAGGCTGGCATCTGTAGTGAGTACAAGTCGGTCGTGATTCATGAAGAGACACCCCTTGTCGAAAGAAGGCGATGTCCACCAACCTAGCGATTGCCTGACTGAGAGTGGAACTTTGACTGTTGACATGGTGTGAGCTTGGCGTTTCTTTTGAAAAGGAAGCAGGAACCACTGCAAGTGGCGAGCGTGAAGGTGTGCCCATGGGACGATCTGGACGCAAGAGACCATCTTGCCTAAGAGCTTGGATAGAGTGGCCAATGGAACTGATGGAGTTCTGTGAATGAGAGCTACTAGGTCCCTGATGTCTGACCGTCGTTCCAAGGTTAGGTAGACGGTCCCCTGGGCTGCGTCTATGATGGCGCCAAGATGGGTGATCCTGGTGACTGGCACTAACTGACTTTTTTTGTAGTTGACCAAGAACCCATGGTCGTTCAGGGTTTGAATCGTGAGGTGTAGGTCGTGTAAGGCTTGCTCTTGAGAGTGAGCCTGAATCAGAATATCGTCCAGGTAAGCCTGGATCCTTACCGGTTGTTGTCTCAGGTGAGCCGCCACCACCGCCAGGACCTTTGTGAAGACCCTTGGTGCAGATGCCAGTCCGAAGGGAAGAGCCCGGTATTGAAAATGCTTTCCTGCATAGCTGAATCGGAGATACTGTCGATGCTTTGGCAGGATGGGAATGTGAAGATAAGCCTCCATGAGGTCTATGGAAACTAGAAAATCGTTGGGACGAATCCCTTGAAGAATAGAGGTTAGTGAACACATTTTGAATCTGCGATACACTATGTATGAGTTGAGATTTTTTAAGTCCAGAATGGCTCTCCACCCCCCTGACCGCTTTGGAACTACGAACAGGATGGAATAATACCCGTTTCCATTGATCGTGGGGGACCTCCTCTATGGCGTGAATCTGTAGTAGGTGCTGAACTGCTTGGTTCATTAATTGACATCTGGATTCGCTTTTGGAAGTTGGACATTGAAGAAAGCGGGTTGGAGGCCTGGAGAGAAATTCCAGGGGGAGGCCGAATTTCACAACTGAAAGAACCCAAAGGTCTGAAGATGACCTTTCCCACCTGTCCGCAAAGAGGGACAGGCGACCCCCTACTGGAGGATTTGGTAGTGAGTCACTTACGACTGCGGGACTGGCGGAAACCAGAACCCCGAAAGGACCGTTTGGGCTGGAATTGTCTGCTCCTGTCCCGAAAATATTGACGGTCCGAGGATCGATAGGATCCCTGAAGATATTCCTGCCTGGAGGGGCCTCCCTGGGGGTAGGAACGAAAGGAAGGCCTTCTGTAATATGGAGAGGGTCTTCCTTCAGCCCGTTTGTATGTTGAGGGCAAAATTTTTCGCTTATCCCGTGTCTCTACAAGAAGGGGTTCAAGTGATTCCCCAAATAGTTTGTTTGCAGAATATGGAGCTGCAGCCAAGCGCCATTTGGCCTTAAGGTCAGCAGGCCATTGGCGAAGCCAGAGCATCCTCCGGGCTGAAACTGTAGAGGCTAAGGCTCTGGATGCAAATTTGGCTGAATTCAAGGTTGCATCAGCCGAAAATTGAGTGGCAGCAATGATTTTATTAATATCCTGATGAAGGCGAACCTCACTGGGGGGTACCCTTGCCTGTAACTGTTGAAGCCAAAGGATGGTAGTTCTATTAAAAAATGAGGCTGATGAAGCTGATTGAATTGCCCATGCCGAGGCCTGATGGTTCTTTTTAAACAGAAATTCTAACTTTTTGTCTTCTGGCCTTAGACCTTCAGAAGTATCCCCAGTTACGTATGAAGAAGAAGAGGAAAGGGCCGCTACAGGGCTGTCTACAGGTGGAACTTGCAAGAGTTGAGCAAACTTTGGAGCAACAGCATAATATTTCTTATCTGAACCATGTGCAGATGCCATGGTTGCAGGCCCAGCCCACTGTTTCTTTACCACGTCTATGAACAGTTGTGGAGTTGGTACATAACAAAGTTCAGGGGGGGGGGCTCAGAAAAAGGTCCCTGTAGTCCACCCTTTTGAGCCTCCTGCATCTCTTGAAAATATTCATCTTCCTTTAAGGCGGCTGTTAAGCGAGCCTTATGCAATAAAGACTTGAATTTATTGGGGGGAAATAATCCTGTAAAGGCAGGTTGATCTTGGATTATCCCCTCATCATCTGATAGGTCAGAATGTCTCTCTTCCTCAAACACAAAGGCTTCACTAACTCTGGAGGCTGCAGGAGAATGAGAGCCAGTAAGACTGACTGCAGGAGAAATTCTAATACGGGCAGATCGCTCTGAAATAGCAGAGCCAGAGTGTTGACCATGAATATTGGCTGCCATTCTAGAAGCAATGGCCTGTTCAATCAGAATTCTCAATCCTTCTGGCACATTTTTTAAAGGATCTTCGGGGGTTAGCACAGGCATAGAGGATTCACCTGTTGAAGCAGCTGCAGCTGCATGCCCACCAAATACAGGAGTTGCAGGGGTCATTAATTGACTTGCAAAGGGGTTTTGTAAATTGCTTTGGTCTTGTTGAAGAACATTACCCTCTCCCTCCGAAGACCAGGCCTGGCTAACAGTTGAAATGGGAGGAGGGGGGGTAGATGGGGGGGGGGGGTCCCCTTACCAGGCTCAGTTGCAGGCACTTCACTAGCTTGCTTTTCTAGAGATTTATGCCTCTTTGTTAAATCCTTCTCCTCAGGCTTAGAAAGGTGCTTACGTTTGGAAGTTGATTTCTTCCCAGTGTACATAGTATTTTCCTCCCCATGGGAAGAGCGATCTGCCATCTTTAGTATACTCACTGCGACCACGATGTCGACTGGAGAAATAGCTTTTGGTTTCAGTTTCGCCACGTGGTTGAAATTTGAGATGGCAACGACTCTGGCGTTAAGCACGATGGCTGCCAGGTCACACTTGAGCAGGAGGAAACTCTGCTCTGGAGGTATCTGTCTAGTCAAGCCTAGAAACGGACCTCCTCAGCGCCCCCACAGCCACGAAGAGAAAAAATAAAAAATACTGGCTGGAAATGCCACAGGGAGAGGCAAGAAGAAGCTTGCTGCCCCCCCCAAACTTGCAGACTCGTTGGTGGCAAAGCGGCAAAAAACTCCTTTTAAAATTGCCGCGGCGCTTCAATTAACCGCTCTACAGCTGATCAGCGGTTTTGGGATCACTGTAGCGTGGGCGGCGGCCCGATTTGGTGATTTCCCTTAAAATTAGGGAATCGCTATTATTGTTGGTGGTATTGTGGTCTAGGGCCCCTTAAACAATCGTTGGTGGGATAGATCAAAAAAATCCCCCCCAAAAAAGACAGGAAAAAGAAAAAGGAAAAAAAAGTTCCCTTTTAAAATGGGGCTTTCAAAATGGCCACCGCCAGGAGCGAAGCAAAGCCTGGCAGCTTAGGACGCTCTAGCAAGGCAAAACCGGCAGGCTACAATAGAAGGGGGGAAAAAAATATATATATATATAGCCTGGTAGACCGGTACCTTAGGAAAATTTAAAGGGGAAGTAACAATTTTAAACTAGAGAAATAAAAAGGTGGTCAAAAAGACTTACAATTCTGTGATATTGAACAGACCTGGGCTGTATAGCCAGATCTGTAGGAGATGTTTCTCTCAGGCCGACTGAGTCTAAACTGGGCATGAAAGGGGCGGAGCAAGGGGAGTGGTCAAAAATTATGACTCAGCCAGCATCAGATCCGACTGATACAACCCTCATCTGGACAATGTCACACCCTCATCAAGGAAATCCCCTTTGCTACTTGTTTGCTGGTGGGTGCTTGCGCGCAGAAGCATCCGGGTAGGTAGGCGGAGCCTCCTGCCGCTACCAGTTCACCAGATCCAGTGCGAACTGGTAGCAACCCACCAGTGAGCTATTCCATATGCAAAATGCGCTGGCTGTGCTAGAGCAAAATAATCTATCACAAAGGGAGTAAAACGTGCTAATCTGAGCCTTTGCATCATGTTAAGAAAAACATTTCTACAATTAGATGTTATTAAGATGACCTTTCCCTAAAGTCTGCAAGTAATTTTTTATATACTTTTTTTAATACTCTATGCTATGCATACAGATTGTTAAATTAGTTACTGTAAGCTATTACATTGATTTCTGTGTAGGATGGCCAGGGAGTCAAATAGGACAAACTCTAAAAAAGCCCAAACCTTCCTTTATAAAACTCTTACAAGATTTATTTTGAACTCCCATGTTATGAGTATAGAATTCAGATTGATAGAGTTTGGCCTACTTGGATTACAGAACTGACCTTTTCTGAACAGAACTAAAAGTCAAATATAGCTCATCTAGTGTTACCTTCATGTAGCAGGGCAGGGTAGATTAACTTTTATATTGAGAAGGGAATGGAGAAAGCTTCTTTTAGGTTTGCTCAGCGTGTAAATTTAACATTCAGGAGCCAAATGTACCACTAGTACAACAGAGCTCTAGTTAGATCAAAAGGATTTTGTTAAAATTTTACACACATACCCCAAGAATATGAAAGAAGTCAGAAGATTTCAGCAAGTAGATTACACAACACAGGCTTCTACAATCTTGGGCTCTTTCTTAAAATGTTGCAAAACTGCAACTTTTTCTGGAACAATTTCTCCATTCTGCTTAGTATGTAATTAGGTTTAATGCGAAGAGAAAAATGATTGCTTACCGCTGGAATCCCCATGCTCTCCAATAATCCAACTATGGCAGCTGAGAGGATGGATACCCAGCCTGTCACCCATCAGATGGCGGAAACGGGCAGAGTCCAGATTACAGCCACTTCCAATAACACGGTGCTTAGGAAAGCCACTGATTTTCCATGCCACATAGGTCAGAATATCCACTGTTGATTTAAAAAAAAATTAAATTGGAAAGCATCTCTCATTTTAAGGGCAGAAACTGTGAAGAAAGATTGCTAATCATTATAGAAAATTAGCAGACTTTGTCCCCAGGTCAAAATTATAAATTAGACACGTTTGTCCATTTATTTTAACTTGTACATAGGGATTTCTCAATGATGAGAAGGCCAAGATAGGGCTAGTGATAGCACTTAAGACTCATATACCCCCATAGTGCTATACAGCTCTCTCTTAAGTGGTTTGCAGAGTCAGCCTATTGCCCCCAGCAATCCGGGTCCTCGTTTTTAGCAACATGTCCAAGACTGACTTCCAGTTTCATTATGAAGGAAGGTATTGCTACATTTGTACTGGACCTGACAGATGTTTGCAATTAAATACAAAAGTGGATTTAGTTTCTGCAAGAGAAAACTCAGAGAATTTCTTTAAATTTCCATCAAAGAAACGTGTGTGCCTCTCCCATTAAAAACCCTGGACAATAAACAATAGACTGTAAACATTCAGAAAAGGAGATGGCCAACCTGGATTGGAAACAACAAGCAGCTTGCAGTGAGGGCTGTACTTGACAATATTGGGAATGATGAATTTGAAGATATTCACATTGCGCTGAACCAGGTTAAGACGAGATTCTCCTTCTTGTTGACGAGCTCCAGCAGTGATGACGACCAATTTAGAGTGTGCAGTCACTGCATAATCTGCCAATCAAGAAATAATTGTACGTTCAACATACATTTCAGCATCTACCTGTGCAACGGATGAATCGACTGCACGAAATCTTTCATGTTAGAGAAGAATTGGCCTACAGAACGAGAATTGCAAAACTACAAAAAGGGAACCTATGCCCTATGGTGACATTTATTTATTTAGACTTACAAGTTGCAAATAAGTAGTTACATCAGCCTTCCCCATCCTGAAGTCTGTAAATTTTGCTTTACAAACACTCCTGATGAATACTTTATGTGTTTCTAAACGTATCCAAGAGGAAGTATAAACGTGTCTCAGGCATGCCCAAATTTCCAAGTAAAAAAAAAAAAAAGAGCATGTGAGGTAAAACAAAACTTTAACTATCATGTTATTTTTATTTTAGCTAGCTCTTTTCAAGCAGAGTCAATGAAGGGCCCAAGTCTCTTCTCTAGCCTCAGAGGCAGAGCTATAATTAATCCAAACCCATAGTTCTTCAGTTTGATAAAAATGATACTGACAAGAGTGACGGAGATAGCTTGTCATGAAATGCTATGACCTACATTGCTAACACAGGCAAGGCTGTGATTAAATGAAGCAAAAAGAAAACATCAATTTGAAACAGTAGCCTGCTCTATTCAGTAGTTACCTCACTGCTCTTTAGAATTCTGATTTGTGAGTCTCTGTTTTTATTTTATGATCTGCCCCATAAATTCATGCCCTTAGTGGCAGCACATTTTGTTTGTGGGCCAAAGACCATTCTGGAGCCAAAATGTCTATTTCTAAACCATCTTTTCTGGACATACACCAAGTTTTTTTTTAACCCTTCTTGATTTGTCCAGTGTTCAATGTCAGATTATGTTCTACACTCTTTAATAGCCTTCTGGATCTAGAAGCAAGGGTCAATTTATACATTTCCCTGTTTTTCTTCCAAATTTATCATATCTAAGATTAGCCAAGGAACCAACTGAAAGCTGGATCTCCCAACTAATGTAACCTTTATCAGGTGAAGTCATATCTCTGCTCTTCACACATAAACCAGTCCAACATGATCTCACTTTTCTTAATAGCTATAACAGGAATCAGTTAATAGCAAAGAACTACATGCAGGCACTAATGCATACAATCAAAATGATGCCAGTCAGCTTTCATATGACCTTGCACATTCCAAAGAAGGAATGCATGATGCCTAAAGAATTTTAAGAACCAGCCTGAAGGGCTATTATGATATAGAAATAGTATTAAGATCTTTCCATTTTAAACCTGGAATAATGAAGGGGGGAGGTCTGATTCTGTTGTTTCTGTCTGCAGTTACCTGAAAACAAAATGGCCTTTCCATTTTGGCTTTCTTTTTGTATAATAAATGATGACACAGTGCAATATGTCATGTGTTGTTGTTCATCTGAGGTTGTACTTACTTACTTTTAAGAACTGGCTATGGAGTAGACTTTTTAAATTATGTCCTGATATGTAAAACCATAGAGGGTATACTTTCTTTTTCACATGATTGTAGTCTAAAAAAAATTTTTTTTTGCTTATCTTTGATAATGAATGAAAAAAGTTACATCAGTCTGATTTGGCTATAATCCATTTATTCCTTTTTGTAATCATGGCAGTCTGACTACAAAATAATTTAATGGAACAGTGTAGAAATAAACTTATTTTTGGTTATTGGAGATTGTTTCTGCCAGTACAGCCAAAAGAAGAGCAGAAAAAAAAAAGTAAGGCTTAAAACTTCTCCCATCAGGAGAGAGGGACAGTGAAGCGCATCTGTTTTTAACCATTCTGAAAAACCAAGTGGGAAGGATCCAAATTTAGTAATTGCTCTAAGTAATTCCACTAAAATCACTATTAAGACATGATTAACTTTTCCAAAACTGCGGTAATACTGTAGATATACCACGTGATATATGATTCTACCCATGTTGGTATTGTTTTGGAATTTGTGTGTGTGTGTGTGTGTGTATGTGTGTGTGTCTGAAGCATATTAACAATGAGTAGCTACCACACCAATTTGTAAACCATCTTCAGGTCTCAACTGATTAAATCCACTATCTGCAGCTTATTACCCATAAGAGAAGCAAAATTAAGAAGCACCAACGTCAGAGCTATTTTAGCAAAAAAAGAAAAAGAAAAAAAAAAGAATTGTATTTGTTCCCATGGCCAAAGTCCCATTCACTTATATGAAATATCAGATATTGCCACTTCCCTAAAACAAAAGAGGGTTTATGTAACATAAAAGATTATATAACCTTTTCCAGAGACTATCTTTGGTGTTCGGAGAAAGAGGCTGCCATGCTGAAGATCCAGCATCTCTCCCTTCAGCTTGTCCTCCACAACATCAACAAGAGCAAGTTCATCAGCCAATTCCTAAAAAAAGGGTCAAAGGTTGAGAGAGAGAGAGAGAGGGAGGGAGGGAGGGAGAGGGGGAGAGAGAGGGGGGGAGAGAATAGCATCCCACATATTTTTACTGACTTGAACAATGGCACATTAGATTCTCTCTAGCTCTTATCTAGGTAGTGAAATGCAGTACCAACTCTAATCTATCACTTTCCTGGGCAAAGCCGGGAGATTTACTGAGCCTCCAATAATCTCTCATGCATAGCTTATGTTTGGTATCAGACTTATTTATCCAATTACTAGGCTGCCAAAACCAACTTGACAAAATTATATACAAGTCAAACATGTTAGAAACTACCCTGAGAGAACAATAAAAAATAATAACCTCCTCCATTACCTCAAACCTACAGATACTTAAATCAAGGCCTGGGGGGAAGAATGATGTTTTAGGGCTCACTTGAAAGCAACTTAACAAATCTCCAAATGGATGATGTCCCAAGGGGCAGATGTTGCAACACAGTGGGCCCACTTCTTGGGTCCCACTAGATGACATCACTCAAATAATATATCCCATAAAATGACTTTTGGTACAAGTATTGTTGGTTGAATTCAGATCCTTTCAATAGGTTACTAGCATTAATATTTTCAACAGAATGAAAAGCTTTTTATCCATAAATCTATTTGTCTAGGCAGACAGGACTGGCTTTTTAACATTTCAAAAATAAGTAATATAACATGTAGGAATAGCACTTAGATTTATGTACTTTTCACAGTACTTTACAACCCTGAGCGGTTTAGTAGTGTGTAAAACACAAAAACACAGAAACTATAGTGAAATATAGTTTGCTTATACCGGATACTTCAAAAACATCTTCTTCTATTTGTACCTTAAAGAAGCTCAGCAGTTTTCCAAAACAAAATCAATTGCCTTAAGGAATATTTTTCCTCTCATTTGCATTAAAAATGACTAACATGTTAGGTTACTACTAGTCGTATTAATGCTATGTGACCTCAAACAAGTCACAGCACTATTGAAGGCAATGGACAAAAACTGAAGGAAGGAACGGAGACAGATTAGAAGCAGACATTCTGGTTTAAATATACTGATTACATCTGTAGTGCTCCCAATCTATGCTTTGGATCCACAGCAGCCAAGTCTATTTCAAACAAATTGTAAAGATGCAAAATATTGCAAAGAACATCCTGCAATTCGGACAGCACTTACCTTCATCAAAATGCTTATGGCACAAGCCATGCCAACTGCACCAACCCCAACCACAGTGATTTTGTTGTGGGCATGTTCTTGTTCTTCTTTATGGACATGTTCAATCAGTTTTTCTTTGAGAGACATCTTGTAACACTAGAAGAAAAAAAAATGAAAAGAAGCTCCTTATCTTATATTTGTCATTTGCTGTACGGTACTATCACATTTGCTGTCAGAGTTCATTTCTAGCCTTATCTCCACACTCAGGTATTTTATGTCCCCACATATATCAATTTAATTATGGAAATGTGCCAGAATTGGTTTATTTTCAATTTGGTTTTTACCAGATTTTCTTTTTACAAGAAATGTGGATGCAACAGAAGAAAAGGAGCATTGTCCTCATTGATCATAGAAGCTGTACAATCTTCAATATGAGATCCATGTTGAATTTGTCCCATAGAGGCATGTCTTTGATCACACGGATTTCTGAAGCAGCAGCACAATAATCTGCATAGTCAACATTTTACTCTTTCTAATTTTAGGATCTGGCAAGAGCAGCCTCAGGAGAGGCATTGTCCTACGGCCTCTTTTCAACTTGCTCATTGCACAGTCAGACACAAAATCTAGATGGCAACTGGAAAACTCACAGAGATGGGACCTATATAAACAAAAGCAGTGAAAGGGATGTATGGTTTGCCTTGGGCAAACTGCACTATGGACAGAAAGATCACAGACAGTATGAAATGGATTGTTTGAAGTTAAAAGTCCAGAAAGTCTCTGGCTAGAAAGACAGTCTGGTTCAGGGTACAATCTGATACACAATTTCACTTAGGCACATGAACTCTGGTAACCCTGCATACTGATCCAACTAAAGAGGTCTTCTTACACCTTTGCATTTGCAGAGTTTTGATCACTCTTTGGAAGTTGCCCTTTTCCATAAGGGGCCCTGGGAAAGTCTGTTTCTCAGTGCATCTGATGGGGCAGCTGCAGGGGTGAAATCCAGCAGGTTGACAGGTTGTGGAGAACCAGTAGCAGAAATTTTGAGTAGTTTGGAGAATCGACAAATACCAACTCTGGCTAGCCCCAGGGTGGGGTGGGAATGGGGATTTTGCAATATCCTTCCCCCAGGAGTGGGAAGGGGGGGAAATGGTGATTTTGCAGTATCCTTCCCCTGCCACGCCCACCAAGCCACACCATACCCACAGAACTGGTAGTAAAAAAATTTGGATTTCACCCCTGGGCAGCTGCAATAGTAATATTGGAAAAAGCGGAGACTATTTGGCTCCACTAAGCTTCCAGCAGGAAGGACAGGGCAAGCCAGGATATTTCTGTAAGTATCAGGAGGTGGGGAAAAAAATTGTTTCATTATGTACAGTAGGAAGATTATTCTACACAGCATCAGCATGCGGTTTTTAACCCCTGTAGCCATAAGACCCGCTTCTCCTGCCCAGCATTCCTGAGGGGGCCATATAAATTAATTGCACTGTCTCCTGTGGTGCTGCTCCAGGGAAAGTGTGCAACTAGTGAACAATCGCATCCAGCTATAGGGATGAAAGAAAGTCATGTCTCCAGCGGCTGATTCCTATATAAAGCAAAAGAAAGAACAAAAAACCTTTTCTCCCCTCCCTCACCTTTTTTTTTTTTTTTACTTTCCTGACTCTAAATTCCGAGACAGGTGGTAAAATCGATGCATCTCCCTGGGAAATGCCCCTCGGTTAAAGCAACGAATCAATTCCCCAGGCTCTCCTCAACGCATTCCGGTCGCAAAGAGGAGGGGAATGACCATTGTCCAGAAGACAAAAGGGCTTCGAGGGTGAGACCACGAGCCTCGAAGCCTGCCAGAGTCGCCGGGTTTGCCTAGGAAAACTAAACCTCTATGGAGATTCTCGGTCATCCACAGCATGAGGTGCTTTTTTTTTCAAGGGGCAGCTGGACTTTCTGGTTTTTTCTTGGGAGGTGTTTCGCTTCTCATCCGAGGAGCTTCTTCAGCTCTGACTGGATGTAATAATAAATATAAAACCCTCCAGTCCAACCCCACCCAGCTCAGGCAGAAAATTCTGCACCATTTCAGACAAACGGTTGTCCAATCTCTTCTTTAAAAAAGAGTTGGAGCACCCACAACCTGGGGGGGGGGAGGCGTTCCACTGATTGATTGATTGATTGAAGCAAAAGGTCTTCAAGAAAAACCAGAAAGTGCAGTTGCCTCTTGGGAGGGGGGAAAAAAAAGCACTTTTTGAGACCTAGGAAAACTAATTCCAGGAGCGGCGGAGAGGATGGAGCCACGCCCGATTACATCGCTCGAGAAGCCTGTTAAGCTCCACTTGGGAGGGGCCGAGCCAAAGTGACCCCCCCCCGGGCCTCGAGGCGACAAACGCAGCCTTAGGAAAAAAGAAAGCCGGTTCTGGCCAGCCGATTTTAAAAAGATACGACTGCTGGGGGTGGGGGAGGGGTTTGTCGTGTAGCAATGAGTACCTCCAAGCCGAGGTTTCATTGGACAAGCCGACGACCCCGCTGCCTTTCCGGGACGCTGCAAAGTTTAACAAACGCTTAGCAGCCCACCGGCTTCTCTTTCAGAGCAACCAGTTGCTCCTCTATCCCGATCCCTACCGGTCCCGATCCGGTGATCCGGCCATCTTCCTTCAATGTACCATCCTTACATATCGAGGCTCCCCCGTTTCCACACACACCCACCCCCCACGAAGAGGCTCGGGACTCTCCGCTGTCCTTTGCAGGGGGAAAGGAGGCCGAGGAAGGGAGCAATTCCGTAGCCCTCCTCCCCAAGCAATTCAACCATACGGCAACGAAAACGGCCGACCCTCCAAATCCCCACTCGGAAGACCGTGTCCGCGCTTTTTTTTTAATTCCTACGCGCGGGCGTCGTTTCTGCGTGGGCGCGCATCCCCTTCCTCAACTCTCCGCATCCTTCATCCGAGCAGCGGATTCCCCTCCCCCTCAAAAAAATTGCTTTTCCCTGTGAGAAAAGTTCGAGCCTTCACTCACACACGCCCGCCCTCCAGCCCGCTCCCTTACCTGGTCGTCTATGCAAAAGCCCCTTGCAACCCCGCCAATTGCCGCTCTAGTACCGCGAGGCTGGTTAGGCGGCGGCAGGTCTTTTAATAGGGACTCCGCACGTGACCTCGGGAGGGCGGCCGCTGGGAGACGTGCCAAGATTCACGTCTGGCTGAGGAGAAGGTTTCCCCCCCCCCCGCCCCCGGCTTGCGCGGGTTTCCCTTTCGCGCAGGTGCTTCGTAGTTGCTGCTGGTGTGTGTGTGGGGGGGGCAGGGGGAGGTGCCCGGGCTCCAATGTTCCTCCGTTCTACTCTACAGGTGGTCCTTGACTTACAACAGTTCCTTTAGTGACGGTTCGAAGTTGCAAGGCACTGAAAAACTGACCTGCGACCGTTTGTTAAACTTGCCACCTTTGCAGCATCCCCATCAGTGGTGAAATCTAGAATTTGTTACTACCGGTTCTGTGGGCGTGGCTTGGTGGTGATGGGGGTAATGTGACTGGGTAGGCATGTCCAATTTTTTTTTTTACTTTTAAAACCATTTTTTACATGTAAAACCATGGTAAAAAATGCTTTCAAAAGGCTCTGACGATCCCAGCTGAGTTGCCTGATGTCAGAGGGTAACCCTCTGTGGATCAGGCAACTCAGCTGGGATCGTCAGAGCTTGGCTCTCAGAGGCATTTAAAAGAAAAAAAGTCTCTGATGGTCGCGCGGCTCAGCTGGGCATGGGGGAGGGTGGGGGCAGGGATTTTTGCTACCAGTTCTCCGAACTGCCCGCCACCATCGCTACCTACTCGCCCGAGCTGGTCCGAACCAGGAGCATTTCACCCCTGATCCCCATGGTTACGTGATTTACACTTGGATGTCCCAAAGGTGCTTTTTTTCCAAGAGATAATTGAACTTTCTGGTTTTTCTTTCAAGACTTTTCGCTTCTCGTCCAAGAAGCTTTTTCAGCTTCTCGGAAGAGCTGAAGAAGCTTCTTGGATGAGAAGCGAAACGTTTTCAAACAAAAACCAGAAAGTTCCAGTTGCCGCTTGAAAAAAGCATCTTTCTGACAACCATGACCTGGATGACAGAGAATCTCCATAGACATTTAGTGAATACATTTGGATGCTTGACAACTGACTCACATTTACGACGGTTGCTGTGACCCAGAGTCACGTGATCGCCTTTTGTGACCTCCTGACAAGCAAAGTCAATGGGAAAACCAGATTCACTTAACAATCGTGTTACTAAGTTAAGAACTGTAGTGATTCATTTAACAAATGTGAGAAAAGCCATAAAATGGGGCAAAACTCACTTCACAAATTTCTCACTTAACAACATAAAGTTGGGGCTCAATTGTGGTCGTAGGTTGAGGACTATCTGTACTGTATCACCCAATCCCGAGGAGCCTGGAAAATCTCTTAGGGTGGCAAAAAGAGGCAGGGTCCTCATGTCACCTCTTCAGAACAAGGGATGGGAGACAGCCTGGGCAGTGTAGACGATAGTTCCTAGTGGATTACTGACCATTACCATCGACCATCCCAAATAATTATGCATTTTTCCCACCACTCCGCTTAAGTGGATGAAGAAGAAAGAATTTTCAAATAATTTAGGCTAGTTTCCCAATGCTATAACCTGATTTTCTTGCGTGTACTTCTGAGGTCAAGTTATGTGTGTGAATGGGATCTCCCTTTATGCTTCAGGGTGAGAAAATCAAGCAACTGCCATTCCTGACCACTAGATGGCAGAATACATTAGTTCTGTTGCCACCCAGCGGTCCTGCAGATTTGTGCAATCTCTTATGTGAGCTCTAACTTTGGTTTATTGAGTTTATTGGGTTTGATCACTGAACCATTACTTTGTTTGCTGGGTTTATAGGACACCCTTATCCTCTAGTCAGTCTCCCTCTTTAGCCTACTGTGTTATGTGAACTGGGTCAGTATTTATTTGAGGGGTTTCCCTCAAGAGGGTTGACCCCCTCTTCTTCGTGGCAGCCCCTCAAATATTGGAACACTGATTGTTCCAATATTCCAACTTGTTCGTGTCTTCTCAAATCAGGGATGTAATGCTGAGAAATACTTAACAGCATTCTCAACAGAGACTGACTAAGGACATTTCATCTGGGTTATAACTCCTGTAAGAGATATTGAACGTCCAAGAATAGCATTTTGGAAGGTCAAGAAGGCTTTTCCTCTTGCCTCCTGTCTGCCTGTAAAACCTCTGTAATCTTAATTTACAGTTGCAGGAAGGCTCTTTTTGTCCAGGCAAATAAACACATTGGTTGGTAGGTAGATCTCTGCTAGATCTCCACTGCAAATACCCAGATGATCATGAGATGGTAGCAGCGGTGAAATCCAGCAGCTTCTGACAGGTTCTGGAGAACCGGTAGTGGAAATTTTGAGCAGTTTGGAAAACTGGTAGCAGAAATGTTGAGTTGTTCAGCGAACCGGCAAATACCACCTCCGGCTGGCCCAGAGTGGAATGGGAATGGGAATTTTGCAGTATCCTTCCCCTGGAGTGGGGTGGGAATGGAGATTTTGCAGTATCCTTTCCCTGCCACGCCCACCAAGCCATGTCCACCAAGGCACACCATGCCCACCAAGCCATGCCCACAGAACTAGTAGTAAAAAAAAAATTGAATTTCACCACTGGATGGTAGCAAAGATTTAGAGTGTTCTGGATTTTCTTGCTACTGTTTGAAGGTCATCCAGAGTTTTGCTGTCTTAAGTCTAGTAGACCTGTTTCTAAGCCTCATTGAATTCAGTGGAAATTTAGTCCAAAACATGATACCGGTATCAGAAAGTAAATGAAAGTAAATGGAAAAAAAGTAAGCAATGATTTTGTTTCGATTTTTAAAATATAATTTGTTTTACTTGTAAAATACTTGGTGTTCTTAAAACAAGTTGGGATCATTCAGTGTGTCTGCCATCTGCCCTGAGATTTCTTCAGTATTAACGAGAGAGAATTATTAGCATTATGTTCTGAATGTTGCCTCAAAGGCCTCATACTTTTATCTCATGGAAAATAGGCGTTATCCATTGTCGCAGCTGACAGAGCTTTGAGGAGCCACTGAATTCATGCTTATCAAATTGCTACCTCTGCTTTGGTACTGATAGGAGGAGTGATGATTGTAGGGCCCAGCCTTTGCTTCAAAAGGCTTTTGTTTTGGTTTGTTTTACATTTGGAAGGCAGGATTGTAGCTGAAATTACAGGTCAGCCTTTTATTTTATTTTTTCAGTGACTTCATGTTGAGCCCAACTCCTGGTGACTACACCCATCCAGTTAAACCAGCGTTTAGCATCAAGCAAGGGCATCCTTTATTTCAGTTGGCTAACAAGTCAATGTATACCCTATTTCAGAAAATGACCACTTTGGCAGGAGCCACACAAGGAAACAAAGAAGACTAAAAAGGCTTGAGAACCAAGGGGAAGGAAGTGCTAAATCTGTGGAAATCACAGTCCCTTGAAAAACAAAGAATAGATACAATTGGTTCAAGAGGTTGGAAGTGACTGCTAATAAGAGGTTATCTGTTCAGTCTCCTACTTGGGGGAAATTCTTTGCATACTAATATAGGCAATCTGCAAAAAGAAAACAGCAGGGGAACATTTGCATGACATGCTAAGACCGAGGGCCATTTGAGGGTGGGGACTGAAGATGATGCCTGCAATTGTGCAATATAAACATTGCTCTCTTTCCTCCTCTGAGTTGCACAGGCTCTTCAATCATAAAGTCCTGGTCCAAATCAGCATTTCTCAGCTTTAGCAACTTCAAAATGTATGAACTTCAACTCCCAGAATTCCCCAGCCAATTTGATTGGCAGAACCCTTGACTAGACATTCTTATAACAAGCAATTGTGCCTCCATCTTACCTACTCTTATGAGTGCCTCTTTAATTTTTGGCATCATCAGAACTCAGATCAGCCACCATTTGGGATTACTTGGAAGGCTTGGCATAAAGATCTAATTCCTCTTGCTGCAAACCCAAAATGGCAGCTTTTCTGAATTCAGATGAAATTGAACTCTTTATTTTAAAGAGCCCAGTGGTGGTAATGGTGGGATATATTAGATGCTACCATGCAGAGAACCAGGTTCCTTAACCTAGCATGTTGAATTGACACAGAGAATAGCAAAACTGAACCTGGCCAGTAGCTCCCGGGATAACTGGTCAACGAAGGAGATCTCACTGGGCTATAAGACAGTCTTTCTACTTGTAATGTATTAAGCTATAATTGCTGGGTCTGTACAAGAGGCTAAAGCCCAGTAATGGATTACAAGTATGTTGGAGTCACATATCCAGAGTATCAGACAGTAGTGTTTGGGTTTGGCTTATTCTGTCAAGTGAGCCTAACTAAAAAAATAAATAAAAAGTAAGTCTTTGACAGTATTTTCCAAGCCAGTACTGGCAGTGATGGTAGTTATGGTCCAACACATCTGGAGAAAACCAGAGGGAGAAAATCTGGAAAAGAAAAAGTATTCTCAAAATACACTTTTGAAGCCCTCAAGTAGCTCTTATTTCTTTAGAAGTTGATAATTTTCAAATTCTCAGGGAACGCCTGCATAAAAATTACTATATCTACAAGCTTGCAAGTTCCTTCTAGGTCCGAGAAGTGACTGGTTAGTTCACCAAGCTAGCTTTCTGCTGAAGCAGGAGTAGAACTCACTTAATTCCTGGTCTCCAGCTTCATGCCTTAACCACAACCCCAAAATGGCAGATGCATGTGTGTTTACAAGCTTCTTGATGAACTTTGTAGGCATGCAGTTCAATTCTGTGTACAGGATATTTTTTAGAATTCTGCTTTGCCAAATTCCATGGATTTTATTCCTGAAATAAGACTCTGCATATAAGACTGGGGTCTTAGACAAACTGCAGTTTTGCTTTAGCTAGCATCCAGATATGGGTTTATTCAGAGCTGAGAATACTTCTGCATTTGATTTCATAGCAGAGTTTGAATGACAAATATAAAAAAAAAAACAAATATAAATTCATCACTGATGCAGTTACATGCATGAATTATTTAGAAACTACTCTCAGAATATTGGCAGCAAAACGAACCTCTTGAAGATTTTTTAATAATTTTTTAATAATTTTAACCAAAGATCAAGGGAGAAAACAAGATTTAGCACAGCAAAACAAAAAGAGAGAGAGAGAGAGAGAGAGAGAAAGATTTGTTTATTAGATTTCAAGGCCATCTGATTACAAAAGTATACTTTGGCTTAAATATTGGAAAGAACATATAATTTAAGGAAGACAATTGCACAGATAAAATCGCATAAATAACATCCAGATAGGCTTTGCAAATATCCTAACTTCAGACCTTGGAATAAATCCAAGTCTTAAGAGACTTTCAGAACATTTGAAGGGTGGGAGGCATCCACATTTTGGGAAGGATGCTGTTCCAGGTCAGGGGCTATGGCAGAAATGGTATATTTCCAAGACCCAAGATGACATTTAATTGAGCATATAACCAGGGTGTTGGCCATGAAGGGCTTTATAGGTGATGAACAGTACCTTGAATTCTCCTCAGAAACCAACTGGTAAACTGCAGCTTTTAAAGTTGCAGTGATATATGAAGTTATGAGGAGAATCTATTAGTTCCTGTGCCACTGTATTTTGACCCAGCTGTGACTTCTGAATGGCCTTCAAAGGCAGACCCATATATAGCAAATTGCAGTTGTCCAGTTTTGAGGACTGAGTGAAGTGTTAGCCAGTCAAAGGAATAAAATGTTACAATTTGTCAGATACAGCAGATAAAATCTTATGGCTTACCTACCTTCTAGGGAACAATGTCTAATTTATAAAAGAATTTGTTTCTAGGACTTGTATATGACTATAAGCTATAGAAAGTAAATATAGGTATCTATACTTACGAAGATAACATACTTGATATTTCTTATGATGCTCAATAAAAGCAAATGTTGGACTTTGAAGAAGCAGGCTAGGAAGAGTATTGAAGCTCTTGAACATTGGTGTTGGACAAGACTGCTGAGGATCCCATGGGCAAATCAATCTAGCGTTGTCACTCAGCACAAATGACCAGTACTCAAATTAGCTTACTTCAGGATACATTATGCAAAGACCTAGCTCTCGCTGAATAGCTTTCTAATGCTGGGAATGGTGGAAGGAAGAGGAGGAATAATAGCGAGGTGGATGGGCTCAGTGACAGTGGTCATAGATGCAGGACTAGGATTGGGGCAGATTGTCATGAATGGTCGCTGAGTCAACATCAAATTGATGGTAGATCATCAATCTCAAAGACAAAGTATTAACTGCTTTCTGTAGAATGTTGCCAATTTGTACACCATTGTTGCTTATATGAAATACAAGTTTGCAGGAACAGAATATTCTTCTAGACCAGGCCAAAGTCCATACTGGTTTAGCATTTTGCTTTACATGAGAATCAATCAGAAATCCTAGGGTGCTTACAAGCAGGTGGAGAACCTTCCTTCCTCTGCTACCCAAACAACTGGGTGTTTGGAAGAATACCATCCCTAAGTTGAAAGTCACTTCAAGGTTAATAAATATATCGCAAAAACCAGACTTGTTTTAGGAGTCTGTTTCAGCCCTTTGGCCGACAGCCATAGACTAAGTGCTACAAGGCTGTCCAGAAACTTCATGCTATTTAGATATCATCACTGAAGTGCATCTGCAAAATTTTGAGGGAGTGTTGCAAAGATTGACAGACTATAGCTTTTAAATGTGATGCAATAAATGTGTGTGCTTTAAATGTAACAGTAGGTGGTCACATCACTGAGGTACAAAGCCTACACAAGTGAACAGAGAAAATTCAAACAACAGAATATGTAGGTTAGGATTGTGGAGTTCATGGTGGTCTCCAAGCTTGGTTGTTTGCTTGCAGACATTTCAATACCTAACTTGTAACACTATATTGCGTGTAGAATTTGCTCCCTGTGTATAGAAGTACATCATCTTGCCCTGCCATTTTTGTTGGGGTTTTTTTTTTCCAATAACGTTGCTTAGTTGGGTAATGAAATATCTGTAAGTAACGGCTCTAAATGCTCCCAAGTCAGGAGTCCTAAACCTTTTAGGAATTATACCAAATTCCTGCCAAATGTTAGCTGCTGTACTCTCTTGAACATGTTGCAATAAGTGGGGAGGAATGGCAATGCAAACAACCTTTCAGAAGTAAAAAAAAAAATGGTGAATCAGATATTGTACTAATAAATTATAACCTGGACAGTGAATTTAGCTTGTGATGTTCCAGTGTATGGCATATAGCATGGTTATGAAAATCATAAAAGATGACAGTAATCCCTTGGTATTTTTTGCATTACATTCATTCATTCATAGCTGCAGACAAAACTATGCATAAAAAGATAGGTAGGTGCTAAGTTTAGTTTGAGGTGTTAAATACTACAATGCTAGAACTTATATGGAAGGGAATTTACTGTCGTCATTAAACATCAGTGGTTGCTGTCAATCCTCAATTCACAAAACAGATTCCACTTATAGCAAGTGCTCAGAGGCAGCATTGCAGAGAACACGGATACAAACATAGAATTCAAAAGGACACACTTCATATAAATGCAGATGGATTTATTATTTGTCTCTACAGAATAAACATGTTAATATATCTCAGTGGTAATGACAATACTTATTTGTAATTTTGTTTGGTGACTATAAATAGAACAAGTCAAACAGCTAGCAAAAAGTTGCTTAGTTTGCAAAATTGCTCAAATTATATCCATCTAAAACATCACCATTTATCCTTAGGAATGGCCTGCTTTGCCATTGCAAAATATTGATGTAACTTGTAACTTTTGTAGGGCCCTTTATGGGCACAAACGTTTTAGTTATGAAGGAGGCATGTTCAAATAGACCATAAAGTGTCTTTTCTTCAGCAAGTTACTTATACTATAGAGCAGGGCTGTCAAACCCGCAGCCCAGGCCAGATGCGTCATGCGCTGGCCACACCCAGTTTAGTGGAGGAGGAAAAAGTTGCAATATGTCACATGACACTGCCGTGATGACACGAGTTTAACACCCCTGCTATAGAGAACTCTTTGGAAGGACAGCTGTGGCAAAACTATTAGTTACAAGGGATCTTGGCTTTTTTTTGTAGCTGAATAGTAGCTAAAGGTTCAAACATTCCTGAAAAGAATGAAATGAGCATCCTGTCACCCAGCTACAAAACCATTAGCTGAAACGTTTGCTCAAACTTTTAAGAATAGTTTGGAGTAATTTTTTAGAGACAACATCACAGTGAAATTTATGATCAATCTGTTTGATGTTATTTGTTGGTATTTTTCTTTGAAGCATTTATCACAAGCAGGTACAGTTAAGCTTGCATTACTCCTGAGGTGAATCCTCTGATGCCTGGAACAACCCAAATGTCATCAGACATACTGTTGTTTTGTATTTAGTTATTATTTTGGTCTGAATTTCTTCACTGGAACAAGAAATAAATCACAACATTAATGGCTGTCAAAAAAAATTATGCAGGCTACTTTGAAAAACTCAACAACCATCTAGCATTCTTGGCCATCCAAAGATATTTGTGGAAGCAACCTGGTTGGATTCCATTAAGTTGTCAGCCCATAAGATTGCTATGTAAATAAATTGAAGGTGGTACATCAAGTTCCTTGAAAAAAGATGCATACGTAGTAATGAATGGATCTAATGAATACAAGAACAAATTAATGAAGACTGAATCAATTTATATTCATCTACAAAAATATGATTGGTGTTCTATCTGTTGCATGATTCCTTTCATTTCCCCCTTTACTTTCCCAGAGAAAGTAAAAACAGCCACATTGAATCATAGGCTGATTTCAGGCTGATTGTTAGATTTTTGAATAATCTTAAAATTTCAAACTCTGATCCACCCAATCATGGGTTACTTACTAGGCACATATTTGAAATTACAAATATGGAGGCAGCCTATGATGCTCAGCCACAGTGCCCCAATTTAAAATGTTCTTACTCTACAGAAGAACTGCAAACCTACAACCAGACTGCTGTCAGACAACCATGATTATGCTAAGGCTATGGCATGATTTATTCCTTTTATTTTACCAGGAAGTCTTCAACTCCCATGCCTTGCACTTTATAGGGCAATTCCCACCTCCTTTTATCTAGCTTTTTAGTTCTTAAAAGAGGTTTCACATTGTTAAGAGATTAACATTTGTGGAAGGGAGTCTTATAAGGACTTCCTGGTGCCTATTGAAAGTCTGGGGTTTAGATAAGGGAATATAAATGCCTCTTAGTATCTTCTCAGAATAGGCTGTTTTCAAGAAGGTATGCAAAATCTATCAAAGGCACTTTTTTCACCAGGTCAAACAATCCTGGCAGCATAAAGAACAATAGAAATTAAAGCAAAATAGAATTCAGCACAATATACAGATAGAAATACACATACACACCACACCTCATCCTGAGGTCTAGAACTGAGTCTTTTTTTTGTTGTTGTTAGTTGCAAAGTTGTGTCCGACCCATCGTGACCCCATGGACAATGTTCCTCCAGGCCTTCCTGTCCTCTACCATCCTCTGGAGTCCATTTAAGCTCATGCTGACTGCTTCAGTGACTCCATCCAGCAACCTCGTTCTCTGTCGTCCCCTTCTTCTTTTGCCTTCAATCTCTTTACAGAATACCAATAGGATGGGAGCCACATTGGTCTAATGCTAAAGGGCAGATGGAGCAATAAAGTAGGCAGCTTCTGTGTATTAGTGGTACTTTCCTAACTCAAATATTCCAAGTCACACAATCTCTCCCTAAGTAATGTCATAGCTAAAAAAGTGAAAAATATTTCTTCTGATATAACAATGTTTAACTAGTTCTTGTGATTGCCAATGCAATGTTATTTTTAAAATCTAAAGTAGTAGTTAGAAAATAGAAAAGTTCAAGAAATAGATTCCTAACCTTTTTTTTGCAGACTGAAGTTTGAAAATCAGTTATGGATCAACATATTAGAAACAATCAGCTTTCTAAAATGTTCAGACGCATAAAACACTAACAGATACATGATTTTAGAGCTTTGTATATAAGGAAAATCATAAAATATGTCCTAAACCACCAGCAAACACTTGAGTAGAGAATTGAGATTTATTCTACAGTTTTTATCAATGCCAGTGATACAAGTTATATGATTTTCTTTTAAATATAAGTTCAGATTTCAATGCTTGTATGGTTAGCAAAAGACATTTCGGAGTTAATATTCAAATCACTTATTGGACCATGCTTCAGCAGAAATGGGATCAGCAAGTCAGATAGCAAATGTAGAAAAGAGCTGTCTATAAATAGAGTGCCAAGTAATTGCTGTTGCCACCTTCTGGTAGAATAATCTAATGGTTCTTATTTGTCGAATAATATAGCTAAAATTTTAGTATTTTTGCCATTGTACTTATTCAAGTACTTATTCAAAGCCTATATATTTAAATAAAAGGCCAGGAAGAAGGTAGAGCATATGCACCAAGACAAATTCCTTGTGTGTCCAATCACACTTGGCCAATAAAAAATTCTATTCTATTCTATTCTATTCTATTCTATTCTATTCTATTCTATTCTATTCTGCTAAATGACTATAAATCTAATTATCTGCCTAAGCAAGTTTTGTTTAAATCCACATTTGTAGTGTGCATCATTTAATTATTGCTCAAAGAACTATCAGTGCAAATGTATGTCTTCACAGATCTAACATGATCTGGAATTAGTAAAAGTCAATCTAGCTCTCAGCCTCAATCAAAACACTTTTGCTCTAGAATCTGTTTCAATTTGCTCTTTGTTGCAGAGTTGATGTTTGAGATTTGCTTGTAACATCAGTAACTGGGCATAATGACAAGGACACCAAAAATTAACTTATCCAAATAAATTTAAGTAATCATATACCATCAGAATCATATCTCAGCAAGATGATATTCCCATAGCAGCATCAATTCTTTATTTTTCATGATTAATTTCAGCTTTTCACAAATCATTTTAACTGGGACAACTGAAGTAAAATACAAAGGGACTTTTTTCTGTCCCGAAAGGGTAAGTGGATGAAAGTATCATTTTGTAGTACATACCATGCAGCTTCTCTGAAAACAAAAGTAGTAGCAAATTTAAAATTAATGCCTTAACTCTACCACATAGTACAGAATAGTAGCTGCTTAAAATGTTTTACTTCTTGCAATCTATCAAAATCACTGGCATAAACCAAGAGCATGTATACAAGTACATGCTCTTATATACGGAGTAAGTAACTCTTGCAGCTCACAAACTGATCAGTGCTACAGTGTACAGAGATGAGGTAGCAACCCACCATCTCAATCCACTGTAAATTAGTAATACAGTTCTAGTATTCTTTAATGGAGGGGGGCATGAATATAACAGAAGGGTCCCACGTTTCCAACGTCTGCCAATAAAATAGTTTATGCAATCATAAGCCTCTGGCTCATTATTTTGATACATCTTATTACATATAAGCTAAGCCGTTTGCTTGGTCCAAGAATGAATTGTTAATGAGGAAGACATTAAGACAACAAATATAAGGAGTCTGACTCCACAGATTATGCAAAACAAGTTTACTTTTGCTTTAGTAAGTCAAGTACTTAATACATGGCAGGTACATTTTAGATAAGAGTGATCTGCCTCTCTTTTGTATCTAAATGTTGTAAGGATTCCCAATATATTTAAAGATATGGGATATTCACTCTTCAATGATTATCTAGTCGCCAAATACAGCGCTAACAGTCATCAGGAAAGAACTGAAGAAAGCACATTTAAGATTGTTTTGTGAAAAGTATAAAAGTTATTATTTTTGTAAGTGCTTACACTTACATTACAAATGACTTTCTCACCTCCAAAGGAAGCTAAAAAACAAAACAAAATGCAGTAGCACACACTCACCTTCCAAAGAAAACATGCAAACAATGGCTGGTGAAAATTCTGCATAAAATTCTGCATTGTCTGCAAGTATGTCTCCTTCAAACACTAAGTATTTCTGTGCATTGACTGATTTTATAAGGAAACCATGACAAAAACTTGTCCTATTGCATGTAGGTTCCTTAAGAACTTGAAATAGTTAATCTGTGTAAAATTTTAAACTTATTTCTAGAAGTACAAACAGAAATCAATAAAATTCTAGGAGACGGCATTAACAGAAATATTAAGTTCTACCCTGTGCCATACATTTTAAAAAATTAGATGAACAACCTTGGAGTTTATTAATACACATCTGTTAAAGTTTTTATTTCTGAAAGCAGCTCTTATGAAAATAAAAAGCAGTTCCTGAGTAACTGCAGTAAACAGTGTGTGTGTGTGTGTGTGTGTGTGTGTGTGTGTGTGTTTGCCACTTAGCTTTTCTGATTTGGTTCCTTTAAACTCCTTTGTTTTCAAGTTTAACCTCTGTTCTTCCCAAAAGGTGCAAGCTCAGTTAGCATCATTTCAAAGAGTCTTTATGATGCTGACATCCCCTGCAATTTCTGTAAGATCTACACACAGTTATAGTTGTGGCTCCTACAGCTATTGCAAATTTGTCCCCTGTTGGAAACACTGTGGTCTTCACGTTTTTTTCAACATACGTCGGGACTGCCATGTATGGAATTTATTGTAGGCTGTTTGGAGCATCTCTTCTATGTGATTTACCAGCTGGAAAAAAAAAAGACTTTATTGCAAAAAGAGATGCTGCTTCTACAAAACGATGTGCCACAATGAATAAGCAGCATTAAGAAATATATAAAGGTAGAATTGAAGACTTTTCTCCACCAACCTATGATTTTACTATTTTAGCCATTTTAAAGTAATATATTTTCACTGCCTAACAATTGCATATAAGGTGAAGACACTTCTTAAAATAGTAGGAAAGGGCACCATATTTATTTTCAATTTATATCAAACATCTCTCTCTTGAGAGACAATGGATAGATCAAAATCGCCTCCAGAGAATCTACAGAAAACTACCCAATAATAAGTGGATATCAGTTCTCTAAATTTCAATAGATTCTACAAATGAAAGATAATTATCTTATATCAAATTATAATATAATTATAGAAATGTTCCTATGACCCTATAGTGATTATTCACTCCAGAAACATTTATTCAATTAAAAGCTTCTGAACCTATAAAGTCTCACTAATTTAACCATTTTATTTTCTAATAACAATAAGATTGGCTGATTTATTTATGAACAAAGCAATTTACAAACTTATACATTTTAAGGAGGATAAAAGAAAAGAATGTTTTTTTCTTACATTTGTGCTTAAATACTGCTTTCGAATTTTTTCTTGGAATGGGCAGAGTTTTGTAACTTGAAATCTTTCCAAATTACTCTGCATTTTTACAACCTGAAAGGAGATAGAAAATATTAACCACATGGTTTCTTTGGCTTAAATCACACAATTCCTTCAAAAATAGTATCTATGAATTTGAACAGATACATTTTAGTAAGTATCATGGGTATCCAATCAAACAAAAACTGTGTTTCTTTCTCTAACATCCCTTCAATTGCTGTCTCTTTCAGTGATCTTTGTTTTTCCTGCTCATCCTAGAACACCACTGACTGCTTTAGGTCCATGTTGGGATGAAACATAACCCATGCATGTAATGTTTTGCCATACTTAATACTGCATTTGACCTACACTGCATACACAGTCCAGGCTTTGTGCCCAATTAAGAGATAATAACTGCTATAACATATTGTACTCCAATTTCAAAATCTTTGCAATGTAAGCAAGCGACAGGAACAGCAAGTAGAGAATGTGAACAAAAAGCTAGAAAATTAGTATTAAATTTATCAATGTCCATATATCAGTATCAATGCCCATGTGCCCTATATTTTTTTAAATATAATCATTATAAGGAGCATCTTTGCTTTTAATTAATTGCTCCCACTATGAAACACTTAATGCAGATTCTTCTTACTTTTTCTTCCAGGAATGGTGTATTTACAGGAAAACAGGACCAGAAGTGTCGTAGTAACTCTCCCACTGCAACATATAAGTGCTTCAGTTCAGACTGAACATCATTTGGCAACATCTCTACAATTAACATAAAGAAAGAAAGTACAAAGTCATAAAAGGTCTCTCGTATGTAATAACAAGATCTCAAAAAGTTTAGCTCTCAGGCCAAGAGTGCCATTTAAGATCTTCCTTCCAGACACTGAGATTCTTTCAGGTCATAAAAAGCTTTTGATTCAGCAAATGGTTTCCAGGGGAAGAAAGGGAAAGTTACTCTCAAATCTGCTCTTTAGGATACATAGCAAGAATTGCAAGACAAAGGAAGGACTTGGCAAAAAGCACCATCACACCTATCAGCTAGAGGGGAACTTTCCCTGGGCAGAAAGAAGTGCTGGATCCAAGTTCATATTGTGTACATCTTGACTAGATGATACTCCATATAAAGAGAAACTAGTCATGGTATGGCTCTGAAATCATTCTGGATATGCTGAAGTAAGTGTGGAAGATTATATAATAAGGAATGCTTGAAAATTTGAATTTGCTCTCAGTGCTGCAGATTAGAAACTGGAGGGATAGCAAATTGTTTTAAAGTCTGTCAACACTTAGGCTAATGTTAAGACTGTATAACAATGTATTTTAATTCTTACTCTTTCCAACCCAAGAAAATGTTTAAAGATACATTAACAACTCTGGAATTCAGTTCATCACTCTTAGAGTGGAGCTACTTTTAAAAAGTTGGAAACAAATTTGAGAAGTGCTGTTCTGCATATTTTCCCAATCTTGCTTGAAGAGACTGATTTATCAACTGTACTGACATGACCATCTGAGTTGATTTTGCAAACTGATTAGTCACAAATAAGCCAAGACATCAAGTTCTTACGATTTATGGCTTGCTGGGTTCCACCCTGCATAAGTGCTCCTCCAGGTGACAGGGCTGTGATAGTACTACTGGCAGCACCACTTGAGAGAACCTGGAAGGATAATTAAACATTTTTTTTCCAGTTAGTTTTGTAGTACAAAAAAACCAAAAAGTTGACAATGGAGCTTGAATTGTAAGGACTTGGCTGTAATAGCTATTATACCACTAAAGTGACAGGAATTTTTGTACCTACATATGCTAGAATTAGAATCTCTCATCTCTTCTAATTATTGGCAAGTTATTTTTCAATATAATCAATTAAAACATAAGGCACAGCTAAAATCTATCAGATTAAAGGCAAACGTCAATCAGTCTGATATCAGAACCTAGCCTGGTACTTTAACCACTAGACCAAGCTGGCTTTCTGTAGTGAAACATAAGACTGTTATCAATAAAATATGTGCACTAATGGTGAGTAAATAAAAATAGGTGATACATGTAACTATAGAAATCACAACAGTAACAGTTCCTCTAGCCTGCAAGCCAAATACTCTATGCTTGTTGAAAATAATTTTGAAACCATTCCATATTCCTTCCAGTCATGTATATAAATAGGCCGTTTCAAGCAATACCCTATGTGCCAAAGAATAGGGCATTGAAGAATACCCTAAGGATACTAAATACTCCATTTTGAGTGCTTTTCTTTTAAAAGCAGGAACTTTTATCCTACCTGAGTTAATTTGGGTACATAGCCTTCCATTTCTTCTCTAATACTACACAAAGAATTAATAATATCATGGCTCGTTGCATATTGCTGTGACTGAATTGGTGTTGGACCATGGTAATACCTGTTGAAAAGAAAATAGCTTATAATTAACTTTCTGGGAATAAAAATGTAATTTTCAGTTTTTTCAGATTATTTTAAAGACTTTAGTACCCTAAAAATGGGACAGATGATTCAGAAAATTATGGATATATTAGCTCATTTAGCAGACACAGCATATTCTATGCCAGATATCTGTACTGAAAACCAAAAGATTGCCTTTCTAGTGGAAGAACAGGCTGGCTCAGGAAGGGCTGATTCATTGTTGACTGGTTCCTAGTGCTTCAGCATTGAGAAATAAACCACTTCTGCAGGGCTTCTGTAAATAGTACTGATAGATTCCACATCTGCACTTTTCCATCTCTCAAGATAAATTATGCAGATCATGTGTGTCTCAACTCAGGGCGACAAAACTAAATTGATAATGATAAAACTTTTATCATAAATCTTATAATGGGTTGCTTAGAACTTGGATTTTCACCTCTCTTCACTAAATTGGTAGAGAAATGTATCTCCTTACATCCTTATACGGACAATATAGTACAGGTAATCCTCGACTTACAAGAATTCGTATAGTGACTGTTCAAAATTACAATGGTACTGAAAAAAGTGACTTATAATCGTTTTTCATACTCATGATTGTTGCAGCATCCCCATGATCATGCGATAAAAATTCAGATGCTTGACAACTGACTCATATTTATGACTGTCGCAGTGTCTCAGGGTCATGTGATCACCTTTTGCGACCTTCTGACAATCAAAGTCAATGGAGAAGCCAGATTCACTTAACAACCACGTTACTAACTTAACAATTCACTTAATAACTGTGGCAAGAACGATCATAAAATGGGGGCAACCAAGAGATTGAGAGTTCTAATCCCACTTTAAACTGGCTCAAAATTCTGAAAACCTTTTCTGAAGGATCATTGCAATGATCATTGTATGCTGTCTTTAATTTCCATTTTTCTTCTGATACCCAAATAGATAAATACACATAAGAAATTGGCTCCTCCACTGCAAGGTATCAAAGGTTATATCAATTTTCACAAACAATATTTAGTGTAATATTATCATGACCCTTTCACAGCTTATTTTGTCTGTTAAATTATAACTATAAATATATGATCTTATTCTTATTTTAAGGGTAACAATTATAAGATAAAAATATGTTTACCTTGTTTTCTTTGAGATGCTCAAAAACACCAATAAACACAACAAATTTTGCAAATAATATTTTGCTAAAAATAACATAACAATGGACACAACATACCTATCTGATTTTTTTAGATTTAGTGCAATAGTTTTAATGCTGTTGTTGTGTTCCAAATCTTCATATTCTATAGATTCTTGCAGCTTTGCCTACAAGAGATGACATAATCAGAGCTCTGTAAAACCTAGCATAAGAAACAAGATTTGCATTATTAAAATAGGATAAATCTATATTCTTACCCTTTTTACTGGTGGCTGGAAGATATCTGAATCCCTCGAATTTCCATCCATACTGCTGGTCTCATTATAGTGATCATTTTGTGCTTCTCTGAAAACAAAGTATTTACAATTGCTTTGTCTTCTGAATAGTGACATGTTTAAGTACCGGTAAATCTGCACAATGAATGAATAAAACCCATTCATTTCTGCATGAAAGCAGAAAACAATATATAATGGGAAAATCTGGGTAAGTGTGGATTTGTTTTGTTCTAATTAAGAGCTTTTAAAATTTCATGGGATGCCATTACAGAATATTCACTGACCCTGGGAAGAAGATAGTGTGAAATGCCTCTATGCACATGCAGAACAGAACTATACTCCATGTAAAATGTTTTATATCCACAGGAGATGGAAAAAAAACACATTCATCCAGAAGTAAAATGTGTGGCAAGAACAAGAGCTATAAATTATCATTCAACATTTACTTTAAAATCAACTCCATAGCTCTCTTGGCCAAACACTGTGTTTCCTTTAAAGAACATAACACACTTCACACAATTTGAATTAGTTTTGTATAATGCTTTAAAGGTTACATTTTGAAGATCAAACAAAAATGATTTTCCCCTCAGATTCCTGTTTTCGCCATTCCTGTTGTCATCATTCAATTTATGCATAAGCATCTGTCTTATACATACTTAACTTGTACATACATGTGCTACACATCTGTCCCTAGCAAATGAAAATACCAAGAAATCCAGAGCTAAACAATACTTGTCTGACAGCATGTGACATACTTATCTTAGATATGATTAGATAGATCTACTTTTTTTTTTTAATTTGATTTATATGTCGCCCTTCTCCGGAGACTCAGGGCGGCTTACAATGCGTTAAGCAATAGCCTTCATACTTTTGTATATTTATACAAAGTCAGCTTATTGCCCCCACAAACTGGGTCCTCAATTTACCTACCTTAGAAAGGATGGAAGGCTGAGTCAACCTTGAGCCTGGTGAGATTCGAACTTACAGTAATTGCAGACAGCTGGTGTTAATCACAATGCTATCAGTCTGCTGAGCCACCAGGCACCTACTTGCTGATCCAGGCACCTACTTGGTGCCTGGATCAGCAAATGCCTGGTCTCATTCGAATTACGCGAAACAAAGAAAGACGGGGTTATGAATGCAATACTCTTTGTTTATATAGCCTGTAAGTCATCAGGAATCATTTGATTGCAATGGGGTAAAAGTGTTATAAATATTTTCTGAGATATTTCCTATGTGATGGAATACATATTTGGAGGAATATTTATTGGAGAAAGATGATGCAGTTACATAATCCCCCAACTGCAAATTGAAATGCTAAAGTTGAGCAATAGCTTTACTTTTATGATTTTTTAAATACTTTCCTAAGTTTAAAAAATTTAAGCTTAGATAAAATCATTTTAATTGAAATATTTGTTATATTAGCAATATTGTAATAATTATACAGCAGGTTTTGAAAAGGGGTATCTTACATGTTTAATCAATTTTGCTCATTCCTTTCCTAGCACAGGATTCATCTTTCTGTTTTGTGCTTTCTAATTTGCTCTGGTGAATGTCCCTAATCTTCCATATTTGAGGGGTGTATATTTAAGAAGTGTTTGGAGAAGAGTCAATCAACAGTGATTTTCAAATGATAATTTAAGGTGTGATTTGTTTTTCCCCAATTATATCATAATAAGTATGCCACAGCTTAACACTACATTATTGCGTCATTGTTGCAGAAGTTTCACGACAATACAAAGGCAGAAAATTCCCAGGCTCTGAGTTCTCATATCTAGATTTGTTCTGTGTTGAGACTTACGATTTTCTGAGCCCAGCTGCAAGGACCATGGCACTATGATGATTAAAGCGTTTTATAATAGCTGCGTTGCTACTTTCCTTTATTGATTTTGTAGAGTTGGATGTGGATGGTGCCAAGGACACACCGTAACCCTGCCACAAAGAAATAAGCAAACCCTAAAAGACATGTTGACTCATGATGGATGAAGAATTAATTAAAATATGGGCTGTACCAAAGTATACTTGACAGTTTTCATAGGAATTCATTTTTTCTGCCTTCGAACAAAAATCAAGCTGAAACAATTTAAGTCTAACAATGTCAGCAGCACCATGTAAAAGGATGATTATGAAAAGAAATCCAGTTCTAAGTTTCCTATCCGCCACACCTTTTCTCTTTTTGTGCAATTAAGCCAAGTTTCCTTAAGTGATACATTATGTTATTATTATTCTTCAAAATCGCTCAATGGAAAATGTTTTTCTGAAGCTATCAAATACTGCTTTTAAACTAGCAAAATTCATTTAGATTTTGCAATAAAGTTAATGAGAAATGTGAGTATCAGTTCTTATAAAATTGAAACATAAGCCAATTTGGGTTTCACTTACACTGATGTATAACAGTTTCTTTAGATCAGCAGTATGTTACAAATTTACCTAACAACCGGTATCTTTGGAGCTTCTAACAACCGGTATCTTTTAAAGATCCATGCTTGAATAAGACGATGTGTCATGCACATTCAGATAAAAATCTAGTATATGTTGGAAAAGGCCACAGAATTTCATTGTAAATTCTCCAATAAGCAACTGAGAAGTGAGGGAATATCCTCATCACATATAAATATAATTTGCATCTATTTTTGAGAATCCAAGCTGATAAGGAAGGCTATCATTATAAAAGAAGAAAAATATATTTGTCAAGGTTAAATAATTATGAATCTTTTTAAGTATCCTTTCTGCTCACCCTCAGTATAGAATTTATTTTATATTTTCAAATCTCCTCTACTTACTTCATCCAATGATTTATCTTCCAAGGCAGTTAAATCTAATAAAGGATTTTTCACTCCTTGACAGACCATTGCTTTTAACCCTGCAAAAGAATGAACCAAATTTAACTTGGATTAGATATATAAGGATAAACTATTTCAAAACCCAAAGAAGCACAGGACATTACCTTATTCCAAGATATACTTTTCACCATCTAGCTTAATAATATTGTCAGGAAATAGTTCTGTCATAGAATTAATATTCCATGAATAATTTAGTATTATTCATGGAATACTATTTCATAATGATTTATGATATTATAATGTAGTTAACATTAAATACTGAGGAGAATCCACTGGTGTATTATTGTGTGGTGGAAATGGTTCTGTTCATGGCAACACAGTGATTTTTCCTCATGCCTGCATCCCAGTTCTCACATGAAACTATCACTTGTGAATAACCAAGAATAGAAGAAGATTCTAATATTCTCCACCCAGACCTGTGAGAGTGGAAGCAGCAATATGCTATTCTCGCCATGACATAGTCCATCATACATGCAAATTGGACCAGTGTCTTTTGTAGAGAAGTCTAGTAATTAATGCATCAGGCTAGAAACTAAGACATTGTGAGTTCTAATCCCATCTTAACCATAACAGCTAGCTGAGTGATTTTGGGCCAATCGCTCTCTCGAGTCCAACCTACCTCTCAGGGTTATTGTGGGAAGCTAAGAGCAGGAAAGGCCATTAGGTATGTTTGCCATTTTGAGTTATTTATGAAATAAAGAAGATGGGGAATAAATATATACGTGCATACATTTTAGAGTTTCTCTCCTTTTAGACTAATTTGTAAGTCAGACAAGTTTATTTTATTACACATGATACAATTAAGACACTCCAAAAAGACTTTATATTCCTGACTGGTCCATTGTTTTCTTGCAGATGTATTAACACTTTGACTCAAAATTATGGCAACCTTTTCTGAGGAGGTTGCAATGATTACTGTATGGTCTTTAATTTCCATTCTTTTGATACACAAATAGATAAATACACATAAGACAAAAGAAATCTGGAAAAACATTCTCCTTGCCTATATAAAAATGGGCAGTGAATCCCACTAAAAACAGGATTTACATCTGAGTAATTTTCATTATAAAACCGAAATCGTGGTGACTTCATAGGACTTACTTGCTTCCAAAGAAGCTATAGATAAGTATTTCTAAAGTCTCATACTACATATAGTTTAGTTGGCTATAAATACCACAATGCTTGTATACATACCCTTTTCATCCATTTTGGCACATTCTGCAAAAAGGTCCTTTGATCCTGCATTCAATCTATCTCTATGGAAATAGTGAGACTGGAAGAATCGTGTCCAGAATTCTTTTTCTGTCATATTGTGTGGAACGTTTTCTGCATATTTAAGTTTTACTGTAATAAACATAAAGATTAAGACTTAATAGTTACCATGTAATCACAAACATTATCAGTTTAATATACTGAATTATACATCAAATAAAAGAGCATTTAGAATGCAATAAAAAGGATTTTAGCATTGTTCCCCGACACAAATATGGTACTATATTCCACATAAAGATACTGAGTATCTCAGCACTGAAAATCAGAGTCTTCAGTTTAAGGAATAGACAGGTTCTTTTTTCTAACATTTACTACTACTCTCTGCTCAAAATGCAGAATGACATTATCATCATTGTGCATCAGACCAGCAACACTCATTATCTTACAAAATCTACAGTGCCTATTGAGGTATATAGGTTGGGTAGAGTTGCTTCTTGGCCTGATCATTCCAGGATCTTTCCCAATGAGGTCGTCTGTGATATGCTGGGAAAAGATTATCAAGCATGGCAAAAAACCACAGCAGGCAAGCAATGAATAAACTGTGTTGCCAGGAATTCTCTATCCAAGATAGAGAATTTCCACCACTGAATCCCTCTTCCAAACGTTAACCATTTGTGGTGCTTCTACATTCTGCCTAACAATGATGTGGCAATACAACTCAAAAAGGTTCCATCAAGCATTGACCAGGATCCTTGTTCAGAATTTGCCCCATAATGAAACAGAATAAAATTACTCTGGATTAATTCTTGGTCTCCATTTCCACATACATCTGCACACTTGCCAAATGAATGATTCAGCTGATATAAAAGATCAAGTGGAGGTATTTTCTTGTAAAAGGTAATTAATGGATCATATTACTCGTTAGTTATGCATTGATCTATATTTCAAGTAGGAAAAGCGAGCTTAAGACCAGACAGCTTTTAAAGAATTTTGTTGATAAGGGCAGAGGGCATGCTCATACTTTCAATCAATTTTCTCTCTTTGAATTCACATTGCTATACAGCCTCATTATTTTTATTATGGGAATTTTAAAGTATTATTAGCATAATTGGCATATTTAATTGAAGAGATAATACTTTCAAATCACATTTAAAGTTCAGAAGAAAAGTGTAGTATATGTGTAACAGGAATATTGCAAATGTGTATATTACATTATATAAGTTTACCTGCTGGATAAGTCCTAAATATTGATTCAATGATATCCGAAGTCAAATTATATCTTAGTCCATTGCATCCATCCGTTTGAGGTCTAACATCAGCCTACAACATAAAAATATCTTCAAAATGGTTGCCCATCATTTTTGTTAGTTTACTAATATTTCAACAAAAAAGGGAAAAAATACAAATACAAGAAAAATTAAACTGAGATTTAAAAAATAGTTCAATCCAATTGATCTGAGGACTTTGTGCAATATCTGTATGACAAAATTACTCAGATTTGGGAAGGATTGGACTCTGACTGGGTAGTTTCAGGCAGGGTGACGGAGGCGGGCCTTGAGAATGTCATTTGGGAGGAGTTTGACCCTGTGGCTTCCGAGGATGTGGACAGGATTCTGGGCAGGCTTAGCGCGGCCACATGTTTACTGGACCCGTGTCCCTCCTGGTTGGTACTGGCCTCCCGGGAGGTTACACGAGGCTGGCTCCAGGGGATTATCAATGCTTCTTTGAGTGAGGGTAACTTCCCCGCCGCCTTGAAGGAGGTGGTGGTGAGGCCCCTCCTTAAGCCTTCCCTGGACCCAGCTGTATTAGCAAATTATCGTCCTGTCTCCAACCTTCGCTTTGTGGCGAAGGTTGTTGAGAGTGTGGTGGTGCAACAGTTTCCCCGGTTCCTGGAGGAAATGGTTTATCTAGATCCGTTCCAGTCGGGTTTCAGGCCTGGGCACAGCACGGAAACGGCATTGGTCGCGTTGGTTGATGATCTCTGGAGGGCTCGGAAGAGGGGTTGTTCCTCTGTCCTGGTCCTATTAGATCTCTCGACGGCTTTTGATACCATCGACCACGTTATCATGCTGCGCCGACTGGAGGGGTTGGGGATAGGGGGCACCATGTTGCGGTGGTTCTCCTCTTTCCTCTCCGATCAGTCGCAATTCGTGTTGACAGGGGGACAGAGATCGACCTCGAGGCGCCTTGTGTGTTGGGTGCCGCAAGGGTCGGTTCTCTCGCCCCTTCTGTTCAACATTTATGTGAAGCCGCTGGGTGAGATCATCCGTGGTTTCGGGGTGAAGTGTTATCTGTACGCTGATGATACTCAGCTGTACATCTCCACCCCGGACCATCCCAACGATGCCCATGATGTGATGTCCCGGTGCCTGGAGGCCGTGCAGATCTGGATGGGGAGAAACAGGCTCAGACTCAACCCATCCAAGACCGAGTGGCTGTGGCTTCCGGCATCCCGATATAGTCAATTGGTACCATCGCTGACTTTTGGGGGTGAGTTGTTGGCCCCCACGGAGAGGGCTCGCAACTTAGGTGCCCTCCTGGATACGTCTGTCTTTGGAAGAACATATGACGGCTGTGGCCAGGGGGGCTTTTTATCAGGTTCACCTGATCCACCAGTTGCGTCCCTTTCTGGATCGGGATGCCTTATGCATGGTCACTCATGCCCTCGTCACGTCCCGCTTGGACTACTGTAATGCTCTCTACATGGGGCTCCCCTTGAGGAACACCCGGAGGCTCCAACTGGTCCAGAATGCGGTTGCGCGGGTGGTGATGGGGACGACTTGGCGCTCCCATGTAACACCTCTCCTGCACGAGCTGCACTGGCTCCCAGTGGTCTTCCGGGTGCACTTCAAGCTATTGATTACCACCTTTAGAGAGCTCCATGCCTTAGGGCCCGGGTATTTACGAGACCGCCTTCTGCCGCCAGTAGCCTCCCACCGACCAGTACGCTCCCACAGAGAGGGGCTCCTCAGGGTTCCGTCGGCCAAACAATGTTGGCTGGTGGCCCCCAGGGGGAGAGCCTTCTCTGTGGGGGCACCGACCCTCTGGAATGAGTTGCCCCCGAAGATACGGCTGATCCCGGATCTGCGCACTTTACGCCATGCCTTAAAGACGTTTTTGTTTCATCAAGCAGGAGCCTGGATAGCTCTGCAGACTAAGCACTGTAATTTAACACCAGCTGTCTGCAATTAAAGTAAGTTCGAATCTTGCCAGGCTCAAGGTTGACTCAGCCTTCCATCCCTTCTAAGGTAGGTAAATTGAGGACCCAGTTTGTAGGGGCAATAAGCTGACTTTGTATAAATATACAAAAGTATGAAGGCTATTGCTTAACGCATTGTAAGACGCCCTGAGTCTCCGGAGAAGGGCGGCATATAAATCAAATTAAAAAAAAAAAAAAAAAAAAGCAGGGCTGACCTGACCATATTTTTTAAGTTGCTTTAATTTTAAATTGCTAAATTATGGGTTTTTAATATGGGGGTGTTTTAACTGTGGGCCAAATTAATTTAATTGGTTTTTTTAATATTGTTTTAATTTTTGTATTTTCTGTATTTTATCTGCTGGCTGTTCACCGCCCCGAGTCCTCGGGGAGGACAGTAGAAGGGCGGTATACAAAATAAATAAATTTATTTATTTAAGGGACAGGGCGGTATACAAAATAAATAAATAAATAAATAATAATAATATAAATTTATGAACACAACGAGCACAAAGAATTATATTGTCCAATCTTTCCACAGCATTACTGAAGGGTATATATCAGTATATATCAGTATATATATACTGATATATATATATATATATAGAGTAACATTCTAACCACGAAGACCCAAAGTTCTTCACAAATAAATTATGTATGTTTGGAACATGGTTTAATAATACATTAACACAATTAAATCTTAACTTTTTTCATTAAAACCTGGCTCACCATATTAAGAATATTCAATCAATATAGAGAAACCATAAGACCTGACTGAGTCTTGTAGATAAATATGCTTTCAAATCTATTGGATCAACAGCACAGGAACACAATCAATTTTTTAAACATCTGTTGAGAATCCAATCAACCCCAATAAATAGATTTGCTTGGGGTGAATGAGTGAGACTCTCTTTTTGCTACCTTAAAGAACCTTGATTTGTCCACTGCCTTCATCCTGTTCTGCAGACTTTTTTTTTTTTGGTCAGTTGGCTTTGGAAGGTGTGACATTGTGTTACTTAAGGTGGCAGTTGCTTGGATGATCCCTGTCCCATCCCTTTCAGCTATTGCTTCCTGCTTTCAGCTTGGTGGGGATGACTGAGATTCTGCTGCTATTTACTTCAATTATTGATCAAATGGAATTGTTAGTATACAGGTAGTCCTTGAACTATAACCATAATTATATCTGGAATTTTGGTTGTTAATCAATGTGGTTGTTAAGTAAGTCATCATGTGCCTTGATGATTTTAAAACCATTTTTACAATGGTCAGTAAGGAAATCACAGCTTTCCCAATTGATTTTGCTTGTCAGAAGATGGTGGGGAAAGTTGCAAATAATGATCAAATGATCACAAGATGCTGTAACCATTGTAAATGTAAACTGATTCCTAAGCACACAAATTACAATCACATGACCATGGGATGGTAGTAGTGCAACAATTATAACTTTGAGGAAGTATTGTTAGTTTTTCATGGCTTTTGTAATTACAAACCATCATTAAGTGATTATAAATCAATGACTATCTGTATTACCTTTTTAAAAATTGTATACAATATTCAACATGCTACGGGTTTCCAATTTGCTTTTTTTAAAATTAGCATTTTTAAAGTAAAACATTCATTCAGCAGGTATTACGCTAGATATATTTTTCCTGTAAACTCCCAGAGGTTTTCAAGTATTACTAACAAGGTGATCCCATTTTCAACCCATACTTACCAAAAGTATGGGTTGAATTAAAAATAAAATCAGTGATTGAAGAGATATAGGAACCTGCATTTCTCCTATTGAAAAAACCAAACAAATCAAATGAACATACCAGAAAAGCAGCAGAAATGCCAACATCTTGCTTGTTAGGTGCTGCAGAATTATCTGAAGCATTCAGATTTAAACGGTTGGCCCAGAATTCCTCAGCACTAATCACCTGACTTACAACAAGGTCTTTATAAAGCTGAAACAAAACAGGGTCTTCTTGCAACATTCTGTGAAGAAGATATTTAAAACATATTGTTAAGCTTATTAGGCACTAAGAAGTAGAGTTTACTTATCTAATGTACACTAAGAAAGCTTCTGTTTTACAATAGGATTTTCCATGCCTTTCATTTACTTTGTACACCTGAGCACTGTTCCTGTCTCATACTAAGGCAGCTGAAGCAAATTTAGAGAAAGGGGACAATGAAAACTTGGGGCAACTAACTTCAACTGTCAGCTCTGATATGTATATAATGTACATGGAAAAAAAATGAAGACTTCCATCCAAGTCTCAGGATTCCCAGACATGTAGCAAAATCCTAAAGATACCAGGTAAGAAATAAATTTGAGTGGGAGAATCAAAACAAGTAATGATTATATAAGCCATCATAGGCCCAAATTATGTCCTGATTAATTAGTTAGGAAGTCATCAAGTTACAGATAAAAGGATATAAAACAAGCACATATTTCAAGGAAGTATCATATGGTGTCTGAATAAATTCCTAATTTTCACACATAAAAGTATTTTTGTGCAATTCTACAAAAATATATTTAAATGTGCTTGCTACTCTACTTTATTATATTGCTAGTAACCAACCAGAAAGTTTATTTTATCAATTCTTCAGAATGATAAATTCAGGTAAAATACTTTGAGCCACAGAAAAATGGGACCTCAAGTGTAGTATTGATGTCCCCATATACACTATATTTTATTATGCAATCTCATTTAGATTTATAACTGATTGTACAACTTGCAGGTTTTCACTAAGATAGTGGAAAAATATATTCTATCTCTAATAAAAGACAGGATACATATACTTCCAATAGCAGAAAATGTAGATACATTGAAAAAAAAATAGGGTTTCATTTTAGCTGGCACAATAGCTCCTAATGTTTAAACTACAATCAGTCTTTATTACTACTGGTTAATGTTAACAGATTACCCCAAAATAGTTTATTTTTAATTGAAGGCTCTTACCGGTTTTTTTCCTCTAGTTCCTTATTAGCTTTCCTCTTGAACTTTGGTAGCAGCTGTTGAAGAAGATCTTTAACTGCATCACGTTCTTTTACTGCTGTACTTTCATTAGAAAAATGGAAGTTAGTTGTGTCTCCTGCATGCAATACCAACTGAAGTTGAATCTTTGCTTTTCCTTCAGGACTGATTTTCTGACCTATATTAAAGAGAACATGTATTACGTAACATCAAATGGTTTATTAATCTATCTTAAAGAAATCACCTTACAGATCACTCCCATTTTTACTGTAAAATTAGTTTTTATGAAAATAGGACTTAATTTTCTGAATGTCATCCTGAACACTTATTAAACTACAACATAAATCGTATTATGTATTTCAATTAATATAACCCATAATCAAGTCTGGCCAACTCTTCTATGAAACTCCTACTCTTTAAAAAGCAGCACATCAATCCTTGTTTTTAATGTACATACACATTAGGCTTATATGGTAGTTACAACCTTTCTCTAGAATACCAGTATATAGAATTTTCCTAATCAGAGGTAAATAGCTTATAGGTCGCAGAGTCCCAAAATTCTGTATATTTATTTGATTTTGATCCCACCTTTATTTTTTGCAGTCATTAGAGCTCCCATAAAATGGCATTACTTCTGGGTTAAGCAAATCATACATAAATTGAACAATGGCACCATTCACTTATGTGTCATTATGCCATTGCTCTATCCACTGGGGCTCAACTATCTTGAAATGGTAACTTTCATAACTGCAGCTCCCAGTCTTTCTTCTACAGCTCTAATGACCAATGAGTTCTTTTGCTAGTCATCCAGTTGCAAACCAAAAAGGCATTTAATTTTTCTGCTATAAAAGAATTATAAACAGCAATGAAAAAAACACAGAATTTAAGTTTAAAAAAACAGTCATCATGAATAGTACATGCCATTGACATAACAACAAATAATATTGAATAATGAAAATAACCGGTGTAATGAACAATGTACATAGAATATTTTTACAAAGGATGTCCTGGAGAATAAACCAAGTCAACAAAATTATATACATTTTAATTTAATGCTGTATATTAATTCAACAAAAACTAAGCATGAAAAGGAGTGTGTTCTGTTCTTATTTAGAAAGAGCAAGTATATATTCATCTCTTCCCTGCATTTCTTAAAATACTAGTACAAATGGGGTTGACTTTGTTTTATGGCAATGAATGATGTAGAAAGCTTATTATGTACACCGGGATCCCCAACCCCAGGCTGGGGCCCACTACCAGGCTGTGGCCCGTTTAGAACTGAGCCATGCAAGTGGTGGGTGAGCACATGTGTGAAACTCCACTTGTGCGAGTGGTGGATGCTTGCACTCACAAAGCTCCATTCCATGCCACTCTCATGGAACTATCCCCCTCCCTCCCCCATACTGGGCTGCCAAGTCAGAAAGGTTGGAGACCGTTGATGTACACCTTCTTGAGTCCCAGAATGAAAGACAGCATATAAATCTTACTAAATAAAAATAAACTTGCCCCCCCAATTAATGTAATTAAATATTTAGAAAATATGTATGATCAGACAAAAAAATAAAACCCCAAAGTTTTCACTTACATTTTATATCTGCATACATATGGCTGATAGTGAACCGGTCTTTGCCCTCAGGTGCCCAAGCTATTCTTTCAGCCATGAGATAAAGAGCACCGTCCTGTTTCTTTTGACGCACTTTCTTCACTATTAGTAACACTTCTTCAGATGATGTTGCCATGATGACTATAGGATATTGAATTAAAAATAATCTTGTCATTTTATTTTCATAGCCAAGTATTTAAATTTATACTGTGATTTTATACTACTGGGTTGCTATTAGTGCATATCATTAAAAAATTAAGAGCAGAGTAAATATTCCCTCGTTTCCATAATTGGAGATATTTTAATAAGTTAACAAATCATACTAACTTATAAGGTTTGTTTGCTTTTGGCTTATGATGGTTAAAAGAAGCCATGATTTAGTATTAGGTGTAAACCTAGCTACCAATGTCAGAAATCACTACCAGTAATATTTTATATTTAATTTGATTTGCATGACTTTGTAAAGATTTGGATTGTACAGGATCTCATAAGAATGTTTAAAGTATCACAGCATACTTTATTGAGCCTTTCTATTGGATATATACAATTATTACAGGAGTTCCATTTTTCTCTTAATTTTAGATATCTATTATTCTGACATACTGTATTGTTAGAGGATTTAAGAAAAAAGATACTGCATCTATTGTGATGAAACTGCAGATGTCAAATACTGCATTTGCATAAATGCTGAAAATATTACATTTAAAATAAAGGCATAGATTTCCCTGCTTTCCCCCCACAAGTCCTCATATATATGTTTTAAAGAAAACCACAATTTCTTTCATGATATTAAGTGCTTCCATTCATAGAAGAGATAATATTCTCTTTCAATGTGCAATTGATTCTTAATATCTGTTCTCAAAAGTATATTTCAGAGCAGAACACAATGGGGGCACACGAAGATAGTAGTCGCAAGGACAGCATGAAATGTGTATGCATCTGGGTATTATTAACTTAACATACTGGACTACATCCAACAATACATGGGTCACTTAAGACAATGGGAGTGCCATTCCTGCAATAGATTATCGTTAAATTTAAACCAAAGGAATGTGCTTTTAGTATCTACCTTTTAAAATACACACACGTACACACATTCAAAAGATATTATGACCTATAATTAAGACAAAGAAAGTCTAACATATAATAATTGATACATAAATATACATAGACCAAAACATAACATAGGTCCAAACATTTCTAAACATAGGCATTATTTCTTTGCTACCAGGTAGAATGTTCTAAAACTTTCATCTGACAAATGTATATAGAGAAAACACCTCCCAATTATCTTATTGCTAGTAATTCACCTAGAAGTGAGATTAGATGAATTTATGTAAGAAATGCAATGCCCCATTATAACTCTTACTCAAAATATTCCATACAAGGCCATCAATTATGTGGAGAACACTTTGGTTTAGGTGGAAAATCAAATCTATTGAATGTTACAATTGGCTTGTAAGTATATTTGGCTGTATTTAACAGTTGTAAAGTAGAAGAAAGCACACAGAGCTAAATGTTCCTTCCCCTTTATCTTTCCAGGGTTCTCAAAACAAAAACAAAAAAAGAATACACATACATATAAAAACCCCCACCACCTGGCTGTTGTGGGACAGAGAGAACACTACAAAATTAAAGTTATTATAAAGTGGCACACTTTATATAATAATAATAATAATAATAATAATAATAATAATAATAATAATAATAATAATAATAATAATTTTATTTATATACTGCCCTTCTCCCGAAGGACTCGGGGCGGTGTACAGCCAGAATTAAAATATAAATATACAATATCATAGTTAAAATTAATTAAAATCATTAAATAGTTTTGGCCGAATTTTAAAACCCAAAATTAAAACCCAATTTAAAATCATTCAGTTAGACAGCCCCACCTGTCAGAACAGTAGGGTCTTCAGGGCACAGCGAAAGACCCGGAGGTCAGAGATGTTATGAATATCCCGGGGCAATTCATTCCAAAGGGCAGGAGCTCCGACAGAGAAGGCTCTCCTCCTGGGTGTCGCCAGCTGACATAACTTGGCCGACGGTACCCTGAGGAGTCTCTCTCTGTGGGAGCGAACTGGTTGGTGGGAGGCTGTTGGTGGCAGAAGGCGGTCCCGTAGATATCCTGGTCCTATGCCATGGAGCGCTTTAAAGGTGGTGATCAACACCTTGAATTGCACTCGGAAGACCACTGGGAGCCATTGCAGCTCGCACAGGTGGTGTTACATGGGCGTAACGAAGTGCGCCCATAACCACCTGCGCGGCCGCATTCTGGACCAGAATGAACTTCATTGGATATACTCAGCTGAATTTCATTAGCTTTAACATACCCTTTTGAAAAAACAGACCAGTAACTTTCTGATTTGAACCCCACCATTACATGTAAAGAACTAGCTTGCTAATCAAAGATTAAAATCTGTCTGGACAAACTGAGTTGAAGAGAATTTATAAAGCTGTTTCTGAAACTGGTACTTTCATGTTAAGTTCTAATCACTATAGTATATGCAATGAAATCTACCCATGTCCATTATAGTCTGCAAACTATATGAAGAACAGTTGGTTTTAGGGAAGGTATCAAATTAATTCTACTTACTTGCAGGAAGCTACTTTTTAGTGTGGAACAAGGACATAATTAATTTTTTACTCCGTGTTCCCTCAAATTCTGCTAAGTAATTCTGAACATTTTGAAGTTGTAGAGCAATCTTTTTCATCATAAAACTTCAATTTTAGATTCTACACAAAAGTTATTGGGGATTTTACAATAAATTATGATCAAAGCAACAAAAATCATAGCTTTGAGTACTTTATGCACCATGTATTCTACTTCACAGCTATTCAATATCAGGGCACAGAAGACTGCACTACATAGAATGGTGAGAATTTTTTATATGCCATTCTCAAGTGCCAGACTGCCACTGTGCTATTGTTATAAATACTGTAAAATCTGGATTCTGTAGGCTAGAAATGAATTTTAGTGTGATGTTTCACTTTTTTTTGTTATTTTTATGCAAAAGTTCCTTGGTATCTAAAAATTCAAGGATTTCTCCAAGGTAAAAAGATAGAAAAAGGCTAAAGAGAGATATAGATATATAATACATATTGTGCAGATTTTATCAAAGAAGACTCCCAATGCCAGAAAAATATATGTACTTGCTGTCATTGTCACGTGAGAATAATCTCTTCATGCATAGACAGTCCAAACAATTAATGCTTACCTTCTGAAAGGGAAACATATGTCCATGTTGTTTTAAAAGTATTTATTCAAGACTATTTTAAGTGGGAATATTCAGACAAGGCATTCTTCCAGTACTCATTTACAACAGCATATGCTGTCCCTTAGTCAGAATGGTGGAAGTAGAATTTTGGATGCCACTAAAGTATGCAGAGTTATATTTTCTTTCTGATAACAGGTGAAGAAACATTTATCTAAAGAAGGGGCTAATACAGGTGTAATGTTTCAAATATCTTTCTAACTACTTTTACTCTCTATATTGTTTTATTGTATCTTGTATAATTTCTATCAAATGCTTCATTGTTTGAATTTTACTATAATGTTTTGAGATTTTAAATGAGAAGAGGCATTTTAAGATAGCTTTAAGTAAATTAACAATAATTTCTAATTGTAATATTAATATATTCATTTATGGATCTATATTAACTACATAATCACAAAATTTGCAAAGATGAATTAATACAATATATTTTATTTCATAGCAATTCATCAGGGAGCAAAAATTATTGCAGAGATTTTCTGCTATAAGTAAATGATTTACAAATTCTTATTCTTTACATCAGATAGAGAAAAAGATTAATGTTCTATCATCTCCATAATGTCATATATCATCCAAGAAAATTCCTTCCCAGCCCAGTAAAAGTACACATCCTATTTACTTTGTAGCATTTTTCTTCTCCAGTAATTCTCTACACAAACTTCACAACTAGACTCCTCAAACACTAAACAAAATTTGGAGATCCTTAACTGCTCTGAAATAAACTATCCTGTAACAACCAAACATATTTTTTAAACCAATATAAATGGAATTCTCATTTTTAAAGAATGTGTTACTAGCAAGGCGAGTCAGTGCTCTAAGTTCATAAAGTGCATTAGTTAACCACAGTTTATAAAGCAATAATTATAAAATGCATTGTTATAAACAGCATGATTATGTTTTTCTTTACATTTTTCTCCATGGCACAAGCCATGTTATTATCTAGTTCTAGATCCATTTTCTTTTACCTCAGTGAACCTGTAAAAAAAAAAAAAATCTTCCCAAATCCTACTCCCATTTCTTACATCACGCTAGCAAAATTACTAAGCAAATCCTTTCCTTGCTCTTACAGAAGCAATTCCGGAGAAAAAGACTTGATTATACTTCTTCCTTCAAGGATTAGATAAAGAAAGGGAATCTAGGGAAAGAAAAAAGGAATAGAAACTTGTATTTCATGAAGACCTCATTTCCCATTAAAGGGGAGAGAAAAACGTACTCCACTTAGAAACATTCGGCGAGGTAATAATGAAAATGAAAATATTTCCAAGGAGCAGGGTGAATTTGAAAAACACGCTCCCCTCCTACATTAACCGCATTGCCACCTGCCTGGAAGGTTCACAATGCCCGATCACCTAAAAGAAGAGCCTGAGGGAGGAACCAGGAAGGAAGAGCAACTCTAACATGAAAGGCCAATTTACTTCACTCCCCTACAACCTCAACATTTAAGGCTGGGAGAGAGCGAGGTGGGCCCCAAACCCGGAACCGTTGAAACAGGTCCTATCAACCTACCGTTAGGGCGACTATACCGTGTTTGTGCTCTCGCCCCCCCGGCTCCTCCTTTTCTGCTCGGCCCACGGAACACTCCCCTCCCCCTCCCCACAAGCTTCCCAAAAAAAAAGAAAAGAGAAAGGCGGTCCTAAGCCTCCACGCCGTTTCCCTTCACGGCTTGTAAAAAAACTCAGCGGCCACCGCCGCCTCCTATACCGGAGCCATGGGGCGGCCAGGAGTGCAGCGAAGGAACACGTGACCGGAAGCCGCGCGCTCACGCACGACAGGAAGGGCACGTCACGTGACGGGTAGGCGCCGCCATGACACTTACCCTCTCACGTGACAGCACCTGTCGCTCCCCAGGCCTCTTTTCTGGTCACGTAACGGTCTCTTCGCATCTCCGCCGCCATGACAGCCTTCCGGAAAAAAAAAACCACACAAAGCAAAGCAAAACAAAACAAAACACGGGTTGGGGCGGGTGACCATAGAGTTAACGCCGCGGTCGCTCCCGCCTCATTCCTTACGAGCCTTTTTTTTTTTTTTTGGGCGAGTCCCGTAAAACGGATGCCTTTCTTTGCTTTTCTTTCCAAACCTCTTCCTTCTCCGCGTACAACGGAGGCGTCCTGGGGCGCCTGCCGCCGCGCTACTGGGGGGGGGGGGGGGGGTCCTCCCCGAGCCGGGATGCGAAGAGGGGGGGGGGAGAGGAAAGCAGCGAGGGGAGGGGCAAACGTGCGGCGGTCACGTGATACGAAAAAAGGGGGGGAGCGGCTACGAAATGACGCAGGTCTCGGCAGGGGGGCGGGGTTAGGAGGAGGAGGAGGAGGCGGTCTTGGGCGGGAGGAAAGGGGGAGCTCGCGCTGTCACGCGCCGGGGTTTCTATCGAGAGGCGGGGCTGTGGAGCGGCAGAGAGTCCTGGAGTTGCTGCATCTCTGCGGGCTTCAGCGGTTAACCCTTAAAGGCTCCCGGGTGCCTGGTCCTTTTCGTTTTGAAAGGAAACGACGACTTGGTTTTATAAATTGTGGTGAGTCCTTTTTGAAGTCCGGACTGCCCCTTCAGCTCGTAAATATGTAGACCTGTCACCGACAGGTATTGGGGTGGTGGGTGGGTTCAATGTTTGTAGCTGAAGCCGTTTCTCGCTCACTTGCTGTTTCTTTTGTAATGAATCTTTTCGCCAAAGTGCTGTCTCCCGCGTAACGGGGTGGGGTGGGGGGGGGGGAAAGACGATTGGGACACCCCCTCCCCTCCCCAAGCCCCGCTTTTAATTTTCTCCCATTCTACTTTTTGCATCTTGCTCGTTGGAAATGAGGAGCTCTCTGGATTTTGCACGAAAGGAGATTTTGGAAATAACAGAGCCGCGTCTTCGATTCACAAGGGATTGTCCGATCTACATACCTCTCTCTCTCTGCACGAATGTATCGGAGTTATCTCGGGCTGCCCATGCTGAGAGAGAGCCCCCGTCCCTCCCCCTCCAGGAAGGGAAATGGACTCGGCAGAGTTACTTAAATTAATACACAGACATAAAGCCGCCGTTTACTCAGCCATGCTTTTAGATAAGGGAGTAATTTTCGGTAAAAAATAAAAATAAAAAAATCCAAAGCGGGTTTCTGATACTTTTGTGTGAATTGTGTTTGATTCATCTAATGATAAAACTTCATTAGGTTAAAATGATCATCTGTTTCTGGAACAACACGGAGATGCGGAAAGAAAGGCTGGGGGAAGTGGAGTAAGGTGTCACTTTGTTCCACACAAGTGCATGGAAGACAAAATGAATGCAGAGAAAAAGCATTAGGTATATTAGCCAGGGTGAAGACAGATTGTGGATGAAGTTGAGAGTTTTAATCAGGTTTTGAAACCATGGCTCGTATTATTTATCTCAACCCTGACTCTGATCGTTTCTCGGTAAACGCTGGAGGGTCGGTGATTTAACTTGTACTTTCAGTTCCTGAAAACCGGTCTGCAGTTCCCAAGTCATTCTGCACCTCCTATATTTTCTTCCTGCTCCTCCACTCAAACTAGTGCCAAGAGAAGAGTTAATTTTTGTGTCTCCTGATTAAGCCGCCCTATGACTAAAGTGCTTTATATAAAAACTAAACAGTTGGGAAAGATCCACCAAACACTATAAAAAATGTACTTTGGAAACAAACTGAGGAGAAAAATAGTCTGTTGGGTGCTTCATGTGTAAATCTCTTGTATGTAAACCACAGGTAGGGATTTATATGAATACCAGTAATCCTTGGTTTATGGCCACAATTGAGCCCAACATGTTACTAAGCAAAGCAGTTAAGTGACTTTTGCCCCATTTTATGATCTTTTTTTTGACATAATTAAACCAATCACTGCAGTTAAGTGAATCTTGTGGTAGTTAAGCGAATCTGGCTTCCCCCATTGATTTTGGCTTGTCGGAAGCCAGCTGCGAAGGTTACAAATATGATCATATGACCCCAGTGCAACAAGTTACCAAGCACCCAAATTTTGATCACATGACTGTGGAGATGCTGCGGTAGTTCTAAGTGTGAAAACTAGTCATGTCACTTTTTTCAGTGCTGTAACTTTAAACAGTCACTAAATGAATTATTATAAGTTGACTACCTGTAGTTTCTCCATATAATTTGCTGAAAGTACAAATGTGATATACTAACTAGTCAAAGAATAAAATACAACTCCCCAATGGCACAAGGAAAATAGGCATTCAAGAGGCAACTGGCCATAATCTGACAAGTTTATATCATCTTCCTGAAGTTGATTGGGTAGTTCTGGCTTAGAACAAAACATAAGTTTAACAGCTTTTTTTAAAAGATAGGCTTTAGGTTAACTCATTATGTTACAGTAAATTACAGTGGTTTATGGAACAAAATATAGGTTAGCACAGATGAACTAGGTTAAAATATAGCTGCCATGTTGGGCGTTTTACACTTTGAGTATCAACATTGTAAGTTTAGGAAGCTAAATTAACAGTATGAAATTGTATTTCACATTTGCCTTTACAGGAGGAATAGAAAAATGAAGCAATAACATTTTGTGAGAGGCCATTGTCATGGCAGCAATATCTGAACCTTACAGTCATGTGTTGGCAGAGTTTGAATGTCTTAGTCCCCTGCTTTCTGCTCTCAGGCTGGATTCCAGTCGTCTGAAGGTGTGTTTGAGTCACAGCTATTTTTCTGCCATTTCTCCCTTTTTTATTGTAGTTTGACATCCCATATATTAGTAGCTGGTCTCTTGTAGGTAATCATGCTATTTGGTGTGCAACTGAAACAGTTTTGGACAAATAAAAGTAAAAAACAAATTCTAAAAACAAAATAACATGGAATTAAAGAATTGCAAACTACCTGAGGAACTGAAAGGGTAATATTTTGCTCAGATATAATGTCTGTAATTTAGCCAGATTAAGTGTTGCTTCCTGTTTCAGCTATGTACTTGATTAATGGCCAGCCAAAATATTTTGAATGTTAGTTTCACTTTTTATTAGGAATTATCAAAACAGATGCCCTCTATCATTAATTTGTGCATTTTCTTGTTAGCTCTTCTTTCAGCTTTTCAGCTAGACCTATCAGCAAAGAATGATTTGGCAATTCTTGTAAATCTGCTGTAATTTTGTAAGTTAAATCCTGGCTACACTATAAATAATAATTCTCCACAGATTTTTTCCCTCAGTGCATCTTGGGCTCAGAAATATGATAATTATCAAAATTGGTTACAGATGGGCCTCAATTTATGACCAAAATAGACTGTTGGGTCACCAATGTGTAAGCCTCTTGTATGTAGTTATTCTAAACCACAGGTAGGGATTTATATCAATGCAAGTAGTCCTTGACATATGACCACAATTGAGCCCAAAATTACCATTCCATTGCTAAGCAGGGCAGTTTTTAGGTGGATTTTGCCCCATTTTATAACTGTTTTTGCCACAGTTGTCACTGCAGTTGTTAAGTGAATCATGCACCTGTTAAGCGAATCTGACTTCTCTCATTGACTGCTTGTTATAAGCTGGCTGGGAAGGTTACAAATGGTGATCATGCGACCCTAGGACAGTGCAACTGTCATAAATCCATACCAGTTGCCAGGCATCCAATTTTTGACCTTGTTAACAATGGGGATGCTGCAACAGTCATATGTAAAATGATCATCTCACCCTTTTCAGTTCCATTGTGACTTTAAATGATTACTAAACAAATGGTTGTAAGTCAAGGACTACCTGTATTTAAATTAAGACAATTTCAGTCAATTGTCTCTGCCCCTTCTTTGTTTTAACCGTGCATGTTCGACAAACCTGTTTAAAGTTTGGAAGAAACAATAGCTTATTTCATGTTAGATCTTTTGTCTGCAGTAGATTTACAATCACAAACACTGTCTTTATTAATCTAAAATGAAAGCAGAAGTATCTGAAATTCTGCAGGTAGTGAAGGGGCATGCACAATACAAAATACTAAGGGTTATTCTTTAACATTAAAACATAATAGGTGGTGTTTGTGAACTGTATACCCTCTTTTTTGATCAAGGGCAGCATATAGTCATTGTGGTATGTATCAGGATACACCTGGTGAGATGCAAAAGGAAGGAAATGTCTCAAAGTAATGTGGCTCTCTGCCCAGAGAGAGATATTTTTTGTCTTCAAACTCTCTCCATTTTTCATGTTGGTTATCTCCGTATCCTAGCTCTTCTATTTTATCGAGTCTATTACAGTGTTTTTAAATGTTAACTTATCAAAAAAATGTCAAATACATGAAGAGGAATGGGAGCCACACAAAAAGCCTCAAAGAGCTACTAGTTTATGGGCAATGTGTTTTATGCTAAACAGCTCTTGAGAAGATTTGTGGGTTCTAAAATTCAAAATTAACATGGTAGAAGCCAACATTTGATCTTCCCTGCCTGTTTCTTGGAAGTGAAAATATGATTAATTATATGAATCAGATACAAAGTAAGGCCTGTTAATAACAACTTTCCTTTTCCCTCCCTTAAGTGTACATGTATAGGAATTTCTCGAAAATGGTTAGCACTAGGCAGTTCAGGTGGAGGCTTAAATCTCATCCAGAAAGATTGTTGGAAACAGAGGCTTTTCCTCACTCATAAGGTAAGACTGAATTAAACTTGCAGCAACCTTAGTGTAAGAATAGATTGCAATAGGCAGGAACTGGAAAGGATGATTCAGAAAAACAACTTTGAAAGAAAACAAAATTTATTTTAGAAGCCTAATACAGTAGTCGTTGCTTAATTACTTATTGCTTAACAACTGTTCCTATTATGAAACACTCCCCTCCCCCAAATTACCTATGACTGGTCCTTGAAGTTATAATGCTCCCCTCCCCCATCACATTTCACATGCTTGGTAACCAGTTCACATTTACAATACTGTATATTTGGTTGCAGTTTATCATGGTCATGTGACCACTATTTATGCTGTTTTTGCTAGTTTTCAGCAAAAAACAAGTCCATTTGGGAGAATGGATTTGCTACCAGTATTACTTCTTCATTGATACTTCATTGAAGTATCTTCACTACTTCATTGATTTATAAAGCTCATGTATGAGTTTTTTGAGGGTTAAGAGATTGAAAAAATCCATTTAAAATCTTAGAGTTTAGATTACAAACAAGTAATACCAGCTATTATGATTGGAATAGATAATTTAAAAAATGTATGTGATGTGGGGCGTCAGACATTGTGGAAACAATATGTTACCTAGGATAAGTCTGATCATTTTATCTTTTTATAGGAAGGTGCCATTTCCTGTGTTGCCTTTTGTTTATATGATGAGGATTATGTTGCTGTGGCTACCAGGTAACGACATGTTAATTGAATGATGTATGTACTGTCCATCATGTTATTTTGGCAAGGGAAGGTTTATTTCAGTGATGCAGGCAAGATGTTCATACAGTATATGTGTTGAGAAAAATGAAAGTGAAATGAATGTTAAAATTAGAGATGTCCAGTCTTTTTTCCAGGCTGCTCATCCATTTAACTAATACTCTTTTCACTAATAGTATATTTAGAACTTCAGATGCCCCACTGTCCTACCACTCATTTGTGTGCGTGGGATCAAGAATAAATATGTATACTATCAGCTTGTCTTGGTATCCAGAAACATTGGATGTTGTGATCAGTTCTGACTTGCAAAATATCACAAGTGGAATATTATGTTTTCTTCACCTTTTATACAAATAAGGGGAAAGACAAGGATGAAATACTTAAATTCAAGGGTCAAACCATGGTTTGTCAGAACAAGGCTAATATTATTTGTCCTTCAGAGTATTCTGTCTACAAATAACATTGTTTAGTAATTTTTTTTTTTTTGTAAGGGCTAACCTTCAGCTGGCAGTGGAAATGTTTGAAATGACTTCATTTTACAATTAACATTTGACTTCAGTTGTATCTTTTAATATCTATTGGATTTGATATTATAATGAATGTAATATAATGAATGAATGGTGGCTTACAAATAATAAATTTTATTTTTACAGTCAAGGCCTTGTTGTTGTATGGGAATTAAATCAAGAGCGTCGTGGGAAGCCAGAGAGGATTTATATCTCTTCTGAGCACAAAGGCAGAAAAGTAACAGCTCTTTGTTGGGATACTAATGCACTCCGTGTTTTTGCTGGTGATCATGTAGGGAAAGTGTCTGTGATCAAGATTAATTCCTCCAAACAAGGAAAGGTATATTTTCTTACTGAATTTTGAACATAAGAGCTAAGCATTAGCAAGTCTTAACAGTCAAGACTTCTGATCTCCAAGGTACCAATGTCTTTAAAGAAAGCACAAGCTGCAGCTTTGCGAGGTTAATGAGTTAATTTGTTGGATGGATCTCCCCTTTATTCTTCTCAGTTTCAAACCCAGGTCTGATGATAACTGCCAGGGTGAAATAGGTTGCTTCCATGATGAGGAAAGGAGGTCGTTTGTGAGTTGTGATATAATGGGAAACTCTGGTTTCTGGTAGACTTTTTGGTCCAAACTCATTGGAGCCAAATTTGACCGTTTGGATTTAAAAAAACCACACATAAAAATACATTTTGGGTCATTGTGGCATCCTTGTGGAGGATCCATTTGTATTCTGAATTGGGTAAGAAGATAATGTCAAAGGATGATGCAGATTTCAGTTCAAAGAAGAAGCTATCCTGCACTCATACTCTTTTTCCCCCAGTTCATATTAATATTTAGAAAAAAATTTTCACTGATCCTTAGATATTAATGATGTGCAGTTCCAGATATTTCAAGTGCAACATGAAATGTATCTAAAAAGATTAATTATATGTATGTTTTCTTTTGCTTTTGTTTTCATGAAAAATTTAAGTAATTTAATTTTGAAATTCCTGTTCTCTATGAATGGATTACTCAGACATGAAAAACATGAGTGTATTTTCATTTTTTTCCTATAGGCTGCTACTGCATTTGTGATGTTTCCCATTCATATTATAACTACGGTTGATTCTCGTGTGGTTCAGCTTGATTATCTAGATGGCAGATTGCTTATCTCTTCTCTTACACGCTCTTACTTATGTGACACGGAGAGGTAATTAAAATATTATTAATTACTGTCTGTAAATTTGATGCCATGCAGGTAATTTGCAAGGCACCTTTGAAAATAATACCTTGCACTTAGAAATAAGGGCATATAGTTTTGTCACACATGTAAAGGTAACATCAAATTATATGTGTTAGCTCAAGGATCTCAAACTCGGATTGTCATGAGTTCTACAGGAGGACTAGTTAATTAGCCTGAAAGCTACAACATGAAAGTCTTGCATACATTGAGGTAATAGTTGTAACTATATTGAAAATAAGTAATATAATAAACTATAAAATATAAGTTAAATACTTTAAATTGCAGAACAGAGCTGTAATATAGTTTATTGTGGCTACTCAGTTGGCAGCAATTTTTAATTAACTAGAACACATGATATAAATCTGCTTCTACTTTTCTTCTTGCTGAGTAGAGATCTTCCTTCATTTATTCCCTCTTTGTCAGGGAGAATCCTACCTTCTTCCACTGAGATATTTGCTTGCTTGCTTTCCTGTTTCTTGCTCACATTCTCAATTTGGGTGGCTAAATCCAGCCCTTCTTCTCCTTAGTTACCTTATCTTTTTCTCCAGTCTCACAGCTCATCTCCCCTGGCCAAACCTCATCTCTCTGCTGCCCTGTCAAGAGACTGGTGCCATTCCAGAAGCGGCACCTATGGCAGATCATGTGAATAATCATTTTATATGCTTAGCAACTGCCTAGCAACTGTGGCTGGTTTACCATTCCTAGAAAATTTAAAAACAATAGTACGAAACTAAAACAGCACAAGTTTTAAACAACAATAAAATAAATCCAGAAGAGAGCAGAAAGGAAGAAAGGGATATCATTTGTCTGGACAATGAACCAGATGTTTAAGGGCCTTCCAAGTGCTAGCAAGGTAGGAGCTGTTTGTATTGGGGGGGGGGGAGCTCCATTCTGGAGGGCAGGTGCTGCTATAGAAAAACAATTCTTCTGACATCCAAATGTGTGGCATTGTTTAATCAATGGAACCCAGAGTGTGCCAATCATGTCAAGATTGAACATGATACTATGGGAGACAGATGGTCCCTCAGGTGACTAGGCCATGTGCTATGTAGGGCTTTATAAGTAGTGACCAATATCTTGAATAGCACCTGAAAAGAAATAGTTCCTCCACATCCAAACTTTGAGTGTGGCTGTGGGTGGACTGCTCTGCATCTGGGAGTTTTATCAACTTTGGTCTTGGATGGTGTGTGATCAGCTTTTGCAACCTTCTGACAAGCAAAGCAGTGATTCCCTTAACAACTGTGGTAAGAAAGGTCATGAAATGGGGCAAAACCACTGTCTTGCTTAGAAAAAGAAATGTGGGGCTCAATTGTGGTTGTAAATTGAGGATTAGCTTTTTTACTTTAAAAGCACAGTTGAAATTGAAAATTTGCTCTTTACAATATTCCCAGAATACCGTCTAGTTTAGATAGCTAATTTCACAACCTCCTGATTTCTTTATGTTCAGTTATAATATTTTGAGTGTTAAAGCCTGTACATTTTATAACGTTGAAGTATGCTGATGTAGTAACTTTACTAACTTTATTTCCAAGAGTATCAGACAATTTACAAGGCTTTCTATTTATTTTACTTTGTCCTCACTCTGCGCAATCCAAGATAAAGTTTCATAAATAATTTGCTTTAGAGATTGTGCTCCAAAAGAGGGTAAATATAATAAAATTTAAGACTCACGTAAGCGTTGACTGCCTCATCCTTCAAATTCCCCAGAAGTCAAGCCAAGATAGCACAGACAAGTTCTGATATTGTTCCTGCAAGTTCTTTAATTTTCAGGAGTGGCTTTTGATACTATAGAAAAATGAAGGTCAGGGAAGGAGACAGGAAAACTTTGTTAACCTAAAGGACTTTCATTCTTCTGCTGTTGGGTTTAATTCCTTGTATTTTTTATAAGATAAACAAAAATAATAACATCTACTATATATACCTTAAAATATGGAGATGTGAATGCCTTTAAATCTTTGGGTTTTTTAAAATAGTGTTCAGTAAGTTTTCTTCTAAATTCTCAATGTTTTTTTTTAAATAGGGAAAAGTTTTGGAAGATTGGAAATAAGGAAAGAGATGGTGAATATGGAGCTTGTTTTTTTCCTGTTGGAAAGAGTGGGGCAAATCAACAGTCATTGATATATTGTGCACGGCCTGGTTCACGGATATGGGAAGTGAACTTTGAAGGGGAAGTGCTGAGTACACATCAGTTCAAACAGTTGTTGTCATCTCCACCTCTTCCTGTAATTACTATCAGGTATTGATTCTAATGCAACCATGGGATGCGTAGGCTTGAAATCTAGTGGGGTGTGTGCCAGGCTTGATTAATACTTGGAAAGATTTCATCAGCGTTCCAACATGTAAATTAAAGTGAGAAGCTGAAACAAAAACCTGAAGTTATTCGTGCAAATTCTGTCTATGACTTTGATGTAGTCATTCCAATGACATATATACAAGATCATGAAGATTATAAAACTATAAGCAGTACCAAATCTTCAGCTTGTTGTGATTTAACAAATTAATTCTGAAGCATAAAATAAAACTGATGCAATTAGTAGAGCTAAACCCTAACATACATAAATGTGCTTTTTTAAAAGGGAGGATCCAGAGTATAACGCTTCTGCGTGTTCTCCTCAGTCCTTGGCATTCCCCAAGCTGCTTTATTTAAGGTAAATATAAAGCAACATTTTTATTTTTATAAATTGGGATTTCTTAAATTTTTATTTGATTTATCTCTCTTGCTTATGTAAGAATTGTATTTATATGTCATTCATCTCCAAATATATTTTTTATTATTCCCAAAACAATGTGATGTTAAGAGATAGTGACACTTTACATATTAGTTTAATCCATGGTTTTCCTCCAGTGTTTATTGAAAAAAGGAAAATTGGCTGGGTTTGCATGTTTGCAAACATGCAAGCTATTAATCATGGTTTATTTATTGGATTTTGTAATCCTGTCTTTACAAAATACAATAAATAAATCCTTTCACACAGCCAAAAGCCAAATAAAATCACCTTGTGGACTTGCAAGATATATGAACAGAGATAGTAATTGTTTAAAAATCATACTGTTTTCTTATCAGAATCAGATTTAATGGATTAATGTACTATGTAAGTGCCACATAATAAAGATTTAGAACTAAGTTGTCGTAGGAACAATTTCTGTGAATTTTTATGACTCAGAAACTTCTCCTCCTTTATTTGCAGTAAAAACATTTCTTGTCCTAACAAGTATGAGTGCAGTGTATTGTTTCTGTGTTGCAATCTTAAACAAGTGGCTTCTCACATTACATTTTTATCTTCTATGCTTGTTTATGTGAAAACAATTATTTTTAAATTTATTTTATTTAATTTTCTAATTTATAGAGCCTCATGAGAAAGTGACTCTGGGCTGCCTGTAACAATTATTTGAGTTGGGGAGGGGGAATTTGCAGATTAGAGGATGGGTGAGAACAAATCTTGGATAAGCCAGTTTTGCGGTTTGAGAGGAAAGAGTCTCTTTCCCTCCACCTGTTTCTAAGGAAGTGAATGCGTCTCATACAGTGGGGATGTTCCTCTTTTGAATAGTCAAAAATTAAGAATAGTATTGATGAAAAACAAACACAAAACATTTTGGCCACATACATTTTCTTTACAAGCATTCTGTTTCTTTACAGTGAGCACTGTATAATGACGTGGACAGAAAGAGGCATTTATATTTTCATTCCTCAGAATGTCCAAGTTCTCCTCTGGAGTGAAGTGAAAGGTAAATATAGAGAAAATTGCTTTTGAAACAATGCCAATGAAGTTTTAATATGCCCAAATATCCTCCTACAAAAGTTTTAAGCATTTATTGTATGACAAATCACAATTTAATACAACTCTGTTTGCTGTTATGACAGGGGAAAAACAACTCTGTGACCTTTGCAGCCTCTCTCTCAGTCATGTCTTTGTCATTACAGTCAGTCAGTATGCATTGTCCTGTGCCTGAGCCATTTTTTTCTCCCTCCTCCAGATTGCCTAAACACTATATCTTCCTGATCTGCTTTTCTCTTATGCACAGGAGTCCCTAAAATCTGCTAACCACAAAACACCTTAATTGATTAGAACTCTGACTGGCTCCCAGCTGTTTTCTGAAATTGAGGAGACCCTGATCAGTTTCACACCTTTTTCTTCGCCTCCTAAACCAGCTACATTGAGCTAGTAGGCAAACAGGCTTGCAACACATTCCTTTCTATTTGTGATTTGTGCCTGTTTACTTTACTTTCTTTAATCCCTTCCTTTCCAATGAATGTTAATACAAACATCAGTTCTTTTCTTGCTAATTATAGGGTGGGGTTTTGTCCTTTTACCTGGTTCCCTCGTGACTCAAATTCTAGGAACCTTCTCCACCGTTTGTGCCCACCCTGCTGTTTGGGTTCATATCCTTCTGATGCCGTCAGCCAAAAGAAAGCTGAAATAAAATCATAAGATGGTCACGGTCACATAATTTGTCACTTAGCGGCTGCTTTGCTTAATGATTAAGTTAATGACTTAACGATCACTAAAGGAGGACTACTATACCTATATTATGTCTTGTAAACTTGCATCCTAACAAATGTATGCAGACATGTATTGAAGGACTCAAGACTTAGTGATTTGCAGTTCTGATTTGAGCAGAGTAACAGTGATTGACTTATTGCTGGTGATGGTGGTGCTGCTGCTCTCCTTTTGCTTTCTCTTTTATTTATTTCCTTAAATTATAATTAATTATTGAATTACATAAAGGAGGTCCTCCCTTTAAGGAAAGAAAAAAGTCCAAATTCTGTGTTGAATAAATGAGATAGGCTAGATATCCCAGTAGAAAATTGTCTGTTTCTGACACAGAACAGATATGCTATCATCTTGTCCTTCACATTACCGTAAACAGAACATTTTTAAGAGAAGAGCAAATTTATTCTTAACTATGATGTATGTGCAGCATTTGAACCTGGTTTTGAACAAAAGTTTTGACTAAAGTTGTGATCTTTTTCTTTCTAGACATCTATGATATTGCAATATATAAAAATGAACTCTTCTGCTTACATACCAATGGAAAAGTCTCCCATCTCTCTCTTCTGACAATTGAAAAATGTGTGGAACGATTGCTTAGAAGAAGTTTTTGGACTCTTGCAGCCAAAATGTGCTGTCTTTTCCAGAATTCTATTGTTTTGTGTCGGGTAATAAATGTTTTTATTTAATGTTTTTATTCACTGTTTAATATATTCATTTTATTTAAAACAATTCTGATACCTTTTTTTTTAACCATACAAATTTATTGCTATGTTTTTAAAGTTAACTCATCTTAAGGTTTACAGCTGGCATGGTGGCTCAGCGATTAAAGTCACTGAACTTGTCAGCTGGAAAGCTGCCAGCCCAGGTTTGAGACCCGAGTGCCAAGTGATGGGGTGAACTCCCATTACTCGCTTCAGCTCCTGCACACCTAGCAGTTCGAAAGCATGCAAATGCAAGTAGATAAATAGGTACCACTTTGGTGAGAAGATAACAGCTTTCCATGTGCCTTGGCATATAGTCATGCTGGCTATATGACCAGCAATGAAATGTCTTTGGATAATACTGGCTCCCCCAACTAAGAAACAGAGGTGAACACCACCCTCTAGAGTCGGACACGACTGGACAGGGGAAACCTTTACCTTTTACCTTTAAGGTTTACAAGCTTGTTTTCCCTGTGTCTCCTTCAGACTCTGTAGGGCAGGGTGTCAAACTGGTGGCCTGCGGGCCAGCTGCATCACGCGCAGGCCACACCCACTCCGGCGCCACAAAGGCAAAAAAGTCGCAATACTTCGCAATACATCATGTGACGTGATCGAATTTGACACCCGTGCCCTAGGGATTACAAGATCGTTTTGAACTATATGGGATGGGTATTTCCCAAGCATATAGTGGGTTATTTTTTAATACTTAGAATTTTACATCTTCATAAATTAAGATGATTTAAGATTATTTGTGTTTGTTCAGTTCGTTATTCAATCTTTCTAATATCAATTTTTAGTAATGAAATTTTATTGTTTCTTTAATATCTTCAGCATCATTGTTTCCTCTATGTTAACTACCAATATAATTTTACTAAAAATCTATAATTTATGCTGGACAAGAACTCATATTTTCCTGACTTGTCAGGAGATTGCAAGGAGATTGCAAGTCCTAGTGCTGCCTTAAGCAATAGACCAAACTGGCTCTTGGAATTAAATTGGAATTATTAAACTATAATGTAATAATAAATATATTAAATAATTAAATCATAACTAATGATTTATTAATAATGACTATATAAAAATAATTATTAGAATAATGTATAATTAATGGCTGTGTAATATATTTCCCCAAACAAATTTTAAACTCTGCTATAATTTTATAAAGCCTTGGTGTTTTTTTCCTCAGACATTTATTTTGTGCATTGTTAGGCAAGAAAGCTTCTTCCTGTAGATAAGCTGGAACATCTGAAGTCACAGTTGGATCTGTCAACAGAAACTGATCTCATTACTCAACTTGAAGAACTGATCTCAAAACTTGAGCCTTTAGATTCTGCATGCAGCAGCAGAAGAAGCAGTATTTCTTCACATGTAAATATGTTCCAATACATTTTTTTCATTATATGTGTTACATTGGATATGTTAGGAAGTTGTCAGATATAGTACGTATTACATTTTTTTAAAATTAAAACTAACATTTGGCTTTATGTTTTATCCCAAGATAAACTTGATTTGATAGAAAATTAGAGCATACGGAGAAATTCAGTATGTATTTTGCCTTTAATAAAAATTCTCTGGGAAATGAAGAGTTTTCCTTCTGCAAATAACCATTGCCATAATAGCACTAACAATGCTTTTGCTATATTTACATCATATATATAATATATGATGTATTATATGTGTTTGGGATAGTGATATATTCTTGTGCTGTAGAAATGAATACTAGCCCCATCTATACATTTCATTTACTTGGAAAGTTAAAAATGTAATTTTTCTTGTTAAAATCTATAGGCCCTTAATGCAATTTGGCTTTGATTTATCATAAAATAAATATTTTAATGTGCATTTAATTCTGTAAGAGGAAATACATAGTTTATATTGTGTTTTTATTTAACAGGAGAGTTTCAACATATTAGATTCTGGAATTTATCGTGTTATTAGTAGAAGAAACAGTCAGTCTGATGAAGATTCTTGTTCCTTACATAGCCAAACCTTATCAGAAGATGAAAGGCTGAAAGAATTTCACATACAACAAGAAGAAGAACAGCTTGAACAAGGTAATTTAAATGTTTGTTGGGTACTTTTATAAACATGCAGTTGGACATCCTTTGATTATTTGGAGAACACGGTTGCTCTAATTCCAATAATTTGGCATTATTTGGACTTTATAACATTGAATCAAGATAGGATTGCATTGATTTTTGAATACTAATTTCATATTAAGACTAAATAATAAAAATGACAGCATTCTATTCTATTTTCATAAGTGTTCAGCCATATGTTTTGTCCCCTTTTCTTACTTAGCTATAAGTAATTCTGAATTTTAATGAGCTGTCAGAAGTTAACTGATTAGCTAATTAAGTAATCAACTTTGCTCCATTGTTCCAAAGCTTTTGGCTTAGTGTGCTACATGAGTCTAGCCATTGTGGTTTGTAAATCACAATATGTGTGAATCTGGCCATTTAGGCTTATTAAAACATCATGGTTTAAAAATTAGACATGATAATCTTTATATACTTGATACATTTTAATATATTAGAATATCCACATTTGGGACAGTTTCCCTTTCTTATTAATAAACAGGTCTATTATTTATTTTATATGGTGTAACAGAATACAGCATTATTGCATCTTAAAAAAGTCTTTGTTTTTATATTTATTCTGCTGCTTCTTGCTGGGAAATCCTTGTGAGGTCCAGCAGCCAGAATGTGTAGACTATTTACTATTTAGCCATGACAAATTAACGTTGCCCAGGACTGCACCATGAGGAGGCTAATCTACATTGCACCCCAGTAGATCTATGCAAAATCGATAGATTGGCGAAGAACTCATTGATTCTGAAGAACTCTGGAATTTAATGTTCTTCTCTGGACCATGCTGAACAAGATTAATACTGTAGAGTTGTATACATTGTTGGCAGAGGATTGTGTTACTCTACTCTACCATGGCCAAAAAGGAATCTAGTAGCATCTTGTTAGTTTAATAAACTTTATTAAAAGACATAAGCTTTCAGGAGCTGCACCTCACTTAAGCAACGGCATATTATATTGTGAATGACAGTTCACAAAAGCTGTTTTTTAATAAAAAATTGTTGGTCAGCTATCTTCTGTAGTGTTGTATATGTTTGAGTTATTTGTCATATGACAACCTTAAGTTGCTAAATAGAGTAAGATCACATTTAATTTGTATGCTGTGTTTTTTGAGCACTTTGTGGTAACATTGATAATATGTGGCTGCTTATATAATAAGTCAAGAGTCTGTAGGAATTCTGTAGCTTTCCCATCCAAGTAACAATTAGATATCTGACTAACTTTCAAATCAAGATAAGGACAGATATGTGCTAACATCTTGTAAGCTATAATATATTATAATTAATGTGAAAATTCACTTATAACTAAATTTTGCATGTTCCTATATAAAATTATTCATACAAATTCATTTAGACCTGCTCCCTTATAAAAGGATAATGGAAATTGTTTCTATTTTTGTTTCAGTTGAACCTCTTCCTTTTAGAATATAAAAAGTCTTTTAATAATTGATGTGCAGATGGTATAAATTATAATATGAAGAAATTACGTTCCTGACATTTTTCATTGTGAGACACATAAAATGAATGAATTCTAGCAGAAAATCCTGTTGATTTTTTCCCATTACTGATTGTCATATTCTAATCGTACCTTCCTGTGGGAAAGAAGTTTTGCAGATCTCTATTCTTCGGAGATTCAAAATGAATGACCTGTTTCCATAGTAATTTTAAAAAGTGGCAGTTGTGGCTGGATAATTTTTTAAAAATCTATTTCAATCTGAAAAAACTAATGGGGAATGTCATGTAGCCATTCCTAAACATTATAGGTAAATCACTTGACAAAATTCCTAAATGTTGTTTTATGTTATGACTTTTACATTTTAATTTTATTCATTAGACAGCATATCTCATGCTTCTCTGGTGGTGGACAATGTTCGGAATGAGACTTTTCTTCCATTCAGTATTCCATTGTCATTCCGTTCCCCATCTCCTCTCGTCTCCCTTCAAGCTGTTAAGGACAGGTAAAAATTGTGTGTCAATTTTTTTATCCATTACATCATTTTTTTTGTTTAGTTTAATTTAAACATACCATATTAATCCATATCTTTTTTCCCCCAAAGCTTTCACCTAGCTTTCAACTTGCCCCAAGATAGCTACTGTGTTTCCCCGAAAATAAGACCGGGTCTTATATTAATTTTTGCTCCAAAAGACACATTAGGGTTTATTTTCCAGTTAGATCTTATTTTCGGGGAAATACAGTACTAAATGTGTTCGTCTGGCTGACAATCTTAAATGGGGCTTATTTTGGGGGCAGGGCTTATATTACAAGCATCCTGAAAAATCATGCTAGGGCTTATTTTCCAGTTGACTTTTATTTTCAGGGAAACATGGTAATAGAGACTTAAGATTTCTTTTTAAAATGTCACAATGGTGGAATGAGCAATGGACTTCTCCAGGATGTATTTTGCTTATGAGTTTCGAGATATCACTAAGTAGTTAAAAGATCTTGCGCCTTTAGGAAATTTAGAATCAACATTGGCCACTTCCTTCATGAGAAGCTGCCTGTACTTTGTACCATTTTTTCTTTCTTCTGGCTTGGTTGTGACAAATTTAAATGGATCAACCCTGTCTTGAAACTCCATATAGTTTAGCTAGTTTTCTTTGAGACAACTTGTTTAGCTGGCATTAAGGGGAGTTCACACTCACACCATGTGCTTGCTAAGTATAGACTTTCCACTATCACCAATATTGTGATTAAAGGCTTCAAAAGAAAGAACTGTCCTAACTACAAGCACCTCAAGATTCTTAGAACAAGCTGCCAATGGTTGTGGGCAGCACTAATTCACCATTCCTTCACCAGATTGTGAAAAAGTGGCACAAATTAGAGAAGTCTATGTGAATTATATGGTGTGAGTGAAGCAACTTCCTTTGTCACCAGCAAAGCAAATTGCCTTGAAAGTACATGATCATCTGCCACAAGGAGGCTGCATGTAGCCTTGTGACTAGACCCGTGATGGCAAACCTATGGCACAAGTGCCACAGGTGGCACACGGAGCCATTTCTGCGGGCACGTGAGCCGTCGCCCTAGATCAGCTCCATCGCACGGGCGTGCACCTCCCGCCGGCCAGCTGATTTTCAGGTCTCTGCTGTGTATGCGGGAGACACGTGCACATGCCGATGCCGCCCTGCCCCTCCCAGGAGTCTCCATGTGGCCCATTTTGGATGCCAGGTAAGTACAGGGCTCGTGTGGAGGCTCTGGAGGGTGAAAAACGGACCTACCGGAAGTCTGGAAACAGGCTGTTTCGGGCTTCCGGAGAGCCAGGGGAGGCCGTTTTTGCCCTCCTGGAGGCTCCAGAAAAGCCTCTGGAGCTTCTGGAGCCTGGGGAGTGGCCAGCCAAGGAAAAAAAGGTTAGCCATCACTGGACTAGACTGACTTAGGAAGATCTGCTACTCCTGCTGGAGAAGGAGGAAGAGCACATCCTTTGAAAAAGGTACTTTACTCCTACCAAAAGCCCATCTGCCATTTTACGAATTTTGTAAAGTAACAAAAAAGGGGACCAAAAACATTAACTGTGCAAACCTCGAAGTGAGATTTGGTCTATGACAACTACAGATATGTGAACCTGCAGATAACAAGGCGGCAAGTAATATGTGCCCCTTTTCTCTGTTCATTTCTGATATAATATTTTTGGCATGGGAAGTAGTCTCTCTGTCCTTACCTAGACGGCTAATTTTATGAACAAAAGAACATTTTCTTGAATATAGAAGTTGTTTTAGAGGTAAGAACCTTTTATTTATGGAATCATACTTTTCTTTTTTACTGATATGTCTCTTAAGATACACTTTTTTTTCTTTATTCTGTACTGCTCATCTTTCCTTTTTTACAGTGATTTTACTAAATGTTACAATTAAAAAGATAAAAACTAATACAAACTAAAAGAATAAAAAGAAAAACCGGAAAGTGCAGAAAACAAAAAAAGAAAAGAAAAATAAGAATATAGTAAAGGGAAAGAAAAAGGTATAAAGAAATGGCTTCCCCCTTCATCACAATTATAAACAATTTTATAGTAAGTTATCAACTTCTGTTAAAATACAACAAATGATCTTTTCTTTCCATACCTCATATATTATTTATAAACAATTTCTTAAAGCCTCATTGTTCAATCCTGATCAGCGAAAGTCCATTCAGGGTTATCAGAGATAACAGCTTGTCTGTTTTACTTGGTTATACTTTACAATCAACTCTATATTCCTCATTTTACTTTCAACAGTCTTGATCTTTAATCCCTTCAAGTAAGGTTCTAGAATTTGAACCTTATTTCGTTTTTTCTTTTTCTTTCCCTTCTCATACAATAATTGAACAAGTCTCCTTTGTAAATCCAGTACAGGAAACCTATCCGGCTCACTCTTTTGGTCTGTTATTTGTATATCCTTTTTAATTATTTAGACATCAACTAGTTTCATTTGTATATCTAGTGTAGCGTCTTTTTCCATATCATTCTTGTAGCCTTTCATTTTTAAATCTACCTTCAGATCAATCTCAGTCTTGTCCAGTAAAACTTGTTCCTCTTTCATAACATCTTTTAAACATAGTTCGTGTATAATGGCAGGCACTCTTAAAATTAAGTTCTGGGTCATAGTTATCCTTCTGTAATGTCCAGTGTTAAAAGTATTTTGTTCTATTCTGTATTAGTAAGTCAAATGGTCCCATCTAATATTCAACCTTCAAGATCCCATTTGATTGTTCTTTTTCTTTTAAAGGACTCAGAAATTTTCCATGGTAGGGATTCTTATAATTAATTTCAAAATGTTATTTCAAATCCACTTGGACCTTAAGCCTTTTTATAACTTTTCAAAATCAGTGTTCTAATAGCCCTTTTGCTGTTTATTCTAGAAAAAAGAAAATGTTCTAAAGTTCTTAAACTTGTGCTTAAAACTTCTTTTACTAAGGATTGAAGGAAACTCATCTGGTGCTGTAAAACTGGCTGATCCAAAGCAATCAACAAGCAATTTCCAAAAGTGATTGGAAAAGGAAGTATGCAAAACCAATGTCCATAAAGGTTGTAACTATGGTTTGCGCAAAGTTGGCTATTTCCTCATCTCTCAGAGATCTAAATCAGCTGAAGACTGCTGCCTTGCAGTCTTCTTGCGAGGAGCAACTCTCTATAGCACTTAGGGGCAATTTCAATTTTCTTCTTGTCTTATTCTCAAGTAAGAATCAGTTCTTGGCCAATCATCCAAAAGAATATACCATAATATAAACATTAATGATAAAGGTAGAGGAAGCAGACCAAAACAAATAAATGCATTGTGATTGGTATTATACAGTGGTGAAATCTAAAATTTGTTACTACCGGTTCTGTGGGCATGGCTTGATGGTGGTGGGGTAATGTGACTGGGTGGGCGTGGCCAATTTTTAAAAAAACTTTTAAAACCATTTTTTCTACAACCTTTTCGGTGAAGAGGTTGTAAAAAAATGCTTTCAAAAGGCTCTGACGATTCCAGCTGAGTTGCCTGATCGGCAGAGGCTTTTTTTCTTTTAAATGCCTCTGACGATTAGGCAACTCAGCTTGGATCGTCAGATCCAAGGCTCTGACACGATCCAAGGCTTTCAAAAGGCTCTGACACGATCCAAGGCTTTCAAAAGGCTCTGACACGATCCAAGCTGAGTTGCCTGATCAGCAGAGGCTTTTTTTCTTTTAAATGCTTCTGACAATCCAAGCTGAGTTGCCTGATCGTCAGAGGCATTTAAAAGAAAAAAAGCCTCTGTTGGTCAGGCAACTCAGCTGGGATCGTCAGAGCCTTTTGAAAACATTTTTTCTACAACCTCTTCAGAGGTTGTAGAAAAAATGCTTTTAAAAGCCTTTGACGATCCCAGCTGAGCCACACGATCATCAGAGGCTTTTTTTTTTAACTTTTAAAAGCATTTTTTCGGCTGAAGAGGTGATAGAAAAAATGCTTCTAAAAATAAAAAAGCCTCTGATGATTGTGCGGCTCAGCTGGGCATGTGGGGGGAGAGCAGGGATTTTTGCTACCGGTTCTCTGAACCACCCGCCTCCATCGCTACCGGATCGGGTGATCCGGTCCGAACTGGGAGCGTTTCACCCCTGGTATTATATACAAACCACTTAGGAGCATGGAATCTAATCAGAAGAGCAAGTTGTACCATTTCCAAAGAAAAATGTTCCAGGAACAAATTCCATTACAGTATACCCAAAGCCTGACTAGTAAGGGCAGAAGAGACAGTCTTAATAGGAGAAGATGGCTATAAGAAAAACCAAAGATAAAAAGATTCGTCTGATCAGACCTTGATCTGCTAATGGCCAAATGATGCCAACGGGAAACTCACCAACACGTTATCAATATTGTAGTACTTTTACTTGTATGAAGCGTAGTTCTCATGACTATTTAATAGAATTATCTTCCATACATTAAGACTTAAAGCTGGGTGAATTGCTAGTCACTGATTATGCAGAGCAAATGGTTCTTTTTATCTGTTCTGAACTTCCTATCATTTAGTTTCATGGAGTAATGCCCCACAGACATTCAAGACATTTCAGTTTAGTGATGGACAGAGGAAATGAGATCTTCCCCATGCACTAAAGCCTCCCAGAAGTTGACCTTGAAGGTCAGAGGGACCCCAATATGTTATGGATGTCAGAACTGCAGCAATGGAGGAACTAGTAGAATATGGTGATATTTCCTGATGGAAGTTCCTCTTTATTCATGTTTGCTATCTTTTGGATCTATTCTATTCAGTTAGAACAAACAGTTGAAACCACATAGGAAATGAATGTGACTTACAATTAAAATGAAACTAAAGTTTTATTACTTTTTTTTTTTGCTCTAAATAGTGATATGCTGTTTTGAGGATGGTAACAAATTATTTTCAAGTTTTGCTGTGTTTTATTATTTATGCTGTTATTTGAAAAAAATGCTTTTTTACTGGTTGTAATAAAAGTGATATCTAATTACCCGCGTGTGTCTAAAATTACAGAATTTATTTTTTGATTTGCATACAGGGTATGTTCTTGAGCTCAGGCAATTATGGTTAATTCTTTTATTTCTGAAAGCTACAGTAAATGCACCAGCTGCTTTTTCTTTGAAAAGATAATCACCAACAATTATTTAGATCTAACTCTAGTATATGGAAGAAACTGCTGGTGACTTTTTTCCAAAGATGAGCAGCAGTTTCCCCCCACCCTCCTTTCAAGTAATCCTTACTGGATATTTTACACTCAGCAAATCCAGTCAGTGAAGTCTTTATGTTCTTCTATATGTCTAGTTGAGCATACAGTTCAGGCTTTGGAATAGTCCTGTCACGTCCAGTATTCATTCTCTCTATGCCCTCCAATCATATAGCTTTAAATCCTAAGAATAGTTCTGAAAACACTGAAATATTAATCACCACTATTTCATTTATAGATGGTAATACTGCTAGTAGTGTATGTTTACGTTTTAGATTAATACAGTGTACATCTATACGTACTGGCAACTTTTGTGTATTTTAGAAAATATACATGTTTAACAAATCTATATGAGTGGCAGAGAAGTAGTGCACTTAATTCTGGCAGTTGTTGCCTGCAATATTCCATTTAATTTTGTTTGGTTCAGGCCCCCCCAAATGGTAAAATGTGAAATTACAATAAAATTGCAATTAGATTTAATAGACTAGATTTTAAGCAAGTTACTCAGAAATGAAATCATGAAAAGACTTAGTGGGTTTTATATCATAAATACGTTGGCCAGTATTTTAATTTTTCATAGTGGAGTTTCGACATTTTGTTAAATATTTAGATGAAACATAGTGTCATTTATCAAGGAATGCTAAGCATCTTAATTGTAGAACCAGCACTTTTTTCTGTATTTTGCTTTAATAATTGAAAATCGGATGATTCTTAGTGATTCAGAATCTATGCTAATACTTTCATATTTACTTAACGGCCTATGAAAACAAATATGGTGTTAAAGATATCCACTTTCATTTAGCATTCTGCTCTTTCTGAGAATCATACCATTTTTACTTTGATTTTTAGTGTTTCTAGTTTTGTACGGAAAACCACAGAAAAGATTGAGAAAATTGGTACTCTTCATCTGAATCCTGATAGAATCAGACAAGATATTAAAGATGAAGAGCCACTCTCAGAAGTGCCTGCCAGATTAGAAGCTCAGCCTCTGGAAAAAGAGTGAGTCCCATTACATTTTACCTGGTGCCCAAACCTTTTTTTCTTTTGGTATGATAATGAATTAGGTAAACTACTGCTTTGTCAGTTAGCTATTGAGAACCTTGCTAAACTTCTCATATTGCAGATGCATGCCTAAAAGTTCTTATTTTGATCCATTTTAAAATGCCATTTAAAATTACTATGGGAATTGAACTGGGATAAAAAAAATACATTGAATGTAAGTGTAGAGCATCAAGCATACAAAATAGATATTTGATAACAAACATGGTTAAATCTCTACTCAGAATGCTTCTAAGAATGATGTTTAAATTTAGATTTTAAACTCTATTTGTACTGTTGAAATGTGAGAGACTAATGTAGAAGTAATCATAAGACTAGACTGATCTTCTAAATGCTACAGAACTGTACAGAAATAAAACAAAAGAGAGGATTTTTAACATGCACCTATTATTTATTAAAATGTCAAGAGTTGAGCTACAGAGCCAGTCTCCAGAAGAGGATTACCTTAAAGACCTCAAAGCAGTAACTACAGAAACTCTGTAAGTAAATCAAGGTCTTTTAAAATGAAATGTGTACTGTTATGTATTCCTTTGAGTAATGACAGATATATTATTTATTAATAAATAATATTATAAATATTATAATATTTTAATAAAATAGATGTATTAAATATAATAAACTTATTTGTCGGGTATATTGGGTGGGATCAGATATATGTTCTGCATGTAGACGAACTACATCTTTCTGTGGAAGGAATTCCAATCCAGCAGAGATGTTTGCTAGAAGAAAAGGGGGAAAAGATAATTTTCAAAAATTATCTTCATTCAGAGCGGATTGCAGATAGCTGGCATGTATAAGCTTATAGGGAGATGATGGAATTGACAAAAAGCATTTTCCCCTTCTGTACAGAAGTACAGAAGGACTTCTATTTGTGTGTGGGTGTGTATTTTGATGTTAATCCAACTTGAATATTCAGCTTGAATATAAAGATTTTTTCAGTTCAATTTCTTCTGGAAGTTGCAGGCAGTATGGAAGTTCATCATAATTTTCACCATAATAGAATATGGAAGTTGCACAGATAGTTCAATGCTGTAGGAAGAAGGAAAAATACATTTCTATATTTTACAGAGGCTTTGAGAATCTATCCATTGAAATTTTACATGTAGTAGCCAGATTGTACTGATTTGCAATTTGTAATCATTGCAATTGCAATCATTAAAGTATAAGTAAAATGTCAATGAAAAAAAGTGGCAGGCTTCATAATTGTGTTTATTTGAATAATTATAAATTATGATAAAATAAAAAAGGTATTTGAATGTTGTAGTCCATTAGAAGAGTCTGAAATAGAATTGTAGTATGAGCTCAACAGAATTCTTTGCCAACACTTTTGTATTCATTAAACTACAAGTTGAATATTCTTTCTTTCTTTTTTTTTAGGTCCAGACTCCAGGATCCACTTGTTTTGTTACAACCACAAAATATGAGGGCAATTTTGCTGGATTGGATTCCATTTCTTGAAGAAACCTGTGGATTAAAAGCAGTTGTTATTTTAAATAACGAGACAACCGAGGGAGATAAAGAAATGCCTTTTCAATCTGAAGACAGAACTTTTCAAGAAAATGTGCTAAAGGATCAACACAATGAGCCCGAAGATAAGGAAGTGAATACAGTATTGGGAATAAATGGTGAAAGTGAAAATCCAAATACAGTACAGGATGAAACTTGGGAAGAAAATACTAATTCAGTCACAAAATATCAGGATGATAATGTACTACATGAACAGCCTTTGAGGACAGAGACCATTTTCAACCAGCCTTACCAGATTAATCCCCCATTTTTTATAACACAGAACGTTAAAAAAGACCTGACAGAGCTGACAACTTTATGTTTTGAATTAAATGTATATAAAAGTTCACAAGTAAATAATGAGCCAGGTGTGTTACCCGATGGTTCATGTGCCCTGGCTTCTAAATTCATTAGAGACTATTTTTTCCTCCTTGATTTAGAAAGGTTGAAGAGGTGTATTATTACCTGTCATAACAATCATCCTGAAGTCTGGGATGTCTATATGGAAGGTCTGAAAGGCAAGTAATTTTCAGGGTCTTGTGTGTTGGTGTCTGTCCATTTGGTAGAATTGTGTCTTGCAGAGAAATCTGTAGAAAATCTTTGGAATTAGATCTGTGGACTGGCGGTTTTCCACAATAGCCTTGGAATTTCTTCTGATTTGAATTATAATGTTCAGGATTCTTTGAAGAAACCTAATATTATCATCCAGTGCATATAAGTGCACACTATGATTATGAGTGCAAGAAACCTACGTCTAAACTTTATCATGTCTTTTTTTTCTATGAAACTCATTAAAATAAAGAGAATGGTCGCACATTGATCTGAATGGTGTCATGTGCAATTCCTCCCATCTCTAGAATATCTTTAAAAGTTGCTACTGATCAATCAAGGATTAGAAGTCACTAATAAATAATCAAATTCAAATTGTTAGTGTGACTTGAAATTGCCGCTTGAAAAGCTGTCAGTAATACCGTATATTGTGCACATACCAAAATCCATTGACTGGTTTGATTGAAGCACCAGATTGAATCAGAGATTTGATTCCAAGGGGTGATCCAATTGTATTACCATCTCAGAATCAAAGAGATGAAGGAGAGGTTAAATATAATCATATTAGATTTTTCTTAATATTTCAGTTTATTTATTCAGTTTTAATTCTGAGCCTACCCATTTTTTTTGAATCTAGGAATGCCATTCAAGAGCCAAGTGCAGACCTTAGCCCAAAAGAAGATGCTGCAGGTAGTCCTTGACTTACAACCATTTGTTCAGTGACTGTTCAAAGTTACAATGGTACTGAAAAGAGTGACTTATGACCATTTCCATACTTATGATAATTGCTGCATCCCCATGGTCACGGGGTAAAAGTTCAGATGCTTGGCAACTGGTTCATATTTATGACGGCTGCAGTGTCCCTGGGTCATGTGATGACTTTTTGTGACCTTTTGACAAGAAAAATCAATGAGGAAGCCAAATTCATTTAACAACCAGGTTACTAATTTAACAACTGAGGTGATTCACTTAACATCTGTGGCAAGAAAAGTCATAAAATGGAGCAAAATCCATTTAACAACTGTCTCATTTAGCAACAGAAAGTTTGGACTCGGTTGTGGTTGCAAGTCAAGGACTACCTCTACTTCTAATACATCAATTTTCTTTTGCTCCCCCATATTCCTTTATACTTTGGTTAGGAATAATTTAAAATAGATTTTATAGATGTGGAGGGGAATGAATAAAATTCCACTATGACTGGGAATCATCTCAAATAATACTGTGCATTTCGATTAATAATGCTAGGACTCAAGAAGCCATCAATGTAGCTGTGTATGTATGATCATAATTTAGTTATCGTAAGTACAATAGTTTGGATTTGCAATGAAACACATGTACTTTGAAAATACAAAAATTCTTACCTTTTCAGCAAAGTTGCTTTAAGATTGGCACTATGAAAATGTCTTGCCTAATGCTGCTGTTAAGTATAATGCTTGTAACATACAATTATTGATTTCAGAACTGACTTTGACTAGCCCTGTGACAGTGGCCCTTGAAAACGGAGATATGTTTAAAACACTGAAGTTGCTAGTTGATTTAGGGCCTTGGGATGCTCCTGTTTTGCTGGCACATGCTGAAAGGTATAAAGCATTAGAGTTGTTTGAATGCTTATAGTTTAATTCTTAGATATCTACACAGAAAAAAACCATATTCTTTTTTTTTTTATTTGATTTATATGCCACCCTTCTCCGGAGACTCAGGGCGGCTTACAATGCGCTAAGCAATAGCCTTCATTCTTTTGTATATTTATACAAAGTCAGCTTATTGCCCCCACAAACTGGGTCCTCAATTTACCTACCTTAGAAAGGATGGAAGGCTGAGTCAACCTTGAGCCTTGGCGAGATTCGAACCTGCAGTAATTGCAGGCAGCTGTTCTTAATAACAGGGTGCTTTAGACCACTGTACTACCAAGGCTCTTACTTTTCAAGAGCCATCATCAAACACGTGTAGTTTTTGAAGAAATCTTGTACTTTTGTAAGCATGCTGTTGCAAACAGTAGAGTTATCTTCATATTCCTTTTCATTTTTATAAATTAAATTTAAGCAAACTTTATTCCGACCATTTTTCGCATAAGTAGTGCAAGAAATTTATTAAAGCTACTCCCTCTAAGAATTGTATTTTAAATAATTTTATCTTCTGTGTCTTATTTTAATGTAGGCTTTATAAAAAATTCAGAGAAACTTCTCTAAGGCCTTTGACCCGGTTCTACCCTTTGATTGGACCTTCAGATATCCAGCAAATTTGTAAAAATAATCCTGAACATTTCCTAGCATATTTAGACAGCCTTATAAAATCAAAGGATGAGGATGAACGGTATGTATTATGTTTCCTTAATTTGGAGAAGGGATGCAAGGGATGGGATACAAGGACATGATAAAAATATTAATCCCATTTAGTGACATTTGAGGAAAGAAAGTAGTATTAAATTGGTATTAGTAATTTATAAGAAAAAATTTATCTATTAGTTTTATGATCTAGCTATTGTCAGCTCAAAAAGATTTACAAAACTAATACTACTAGTACACAATGCATTTTCTTTGTTTTTATAAACCCCAGAATTCTTAAAACTAAATAAACTTAGTGTGGTAATTTTTGCTTCTTTTTGCTATTTAAATATGTAAATACGGTACATTATATTGAATCCAGATTAAAAAAACGTGAGGCCTAATTAGATACTATAAAGCAGATGAATTAATTATATATATTTTTTCCTAGCTTGTCTTTCCTTAGAGCTCTTCTCCATCCTGATTCATTACAATTGGAGTGGCTGTGTTTGGCAATGTCTCATGATGCCCCGCATAAAACAAGCACAATGGATGCTCAAGGAAATCCATGGTTGTAATTTATTAGCTTTTCTGATTAACTATATAGCTCCAAAAATCTTTTTCCTAGATTTCATTTACACATTTTTCCTAAGGCTCTGTTTGGATAATCAAATCCTAGTGTTAGGAAACAAAATATGTACAAGTTATATTTTGCTCATTTTTAATTCCTCCTCAATGATAAATGAGTATCATAAAGTTGCAATAAGCCTTTGCTTTTAAATATGCACTTAAACTATGCCACTATTTGAAGTAAAAGCTCCTCTAGCTTCTTCCAAACATTTTTTATAGTGCTAGTCTAAGTAACTGCACATCCTAGACTGCATGAATCAGAAACCACTTTTATCTTCAAACAGTAAAAGCCGTTTGAAACTAGTTCCCTTAAAAGAAAAGTTCCAACAGAATATTTCCTGCCTGTAAATAATTTGTCCTAGATGGGAAGCTGTTAAAAACAAGGCTTGCTTTCAAAGGTTTATCAGTAAATTTCTTTTTATTTCTCCTTAAGCATGTTCCTTCTTTCTGTTCCCCTTTGTAGTCTTTTATCTGGCTAATGGTAGTATAAAATATTTCCTCTATTAATATTGATATTAGGTATTAATAGTATTTATACTCCCTGGTGATATAGATAGCAGGAGCCAGGAAAATGTAGCTCCCTCTCTCTTGGCATTTCAAAAATAGGCAACATGTCGCTATTCCACTGTAATCCGCCCTGTCTTCTGATTAGAGCAGTGTATTAAAACTATAAACAAATATTGTCAGTGTAGATTTTGATTACAATTATTTATTGAGCCTTCTTTACAAAAAACCTAATATAATTTTCAATTATTGTTTTCAGGCCACATTCGCATTTGTTTACTTGGGGGTATAATCAACTGATTGTACTTTTGCTTAATCTTCCGACTGATGTTGTAAGGAAGGAGAAAATGACTGATATATGTCAAAGCAATGGGTAATATTTTCTTAAAAGCATTCTTGAAAAAACTTCATTTTAATCATATACTGTATGTATTTTTGTTTTGTCCTTTTTCCTAATTTATCCCTTCACATAGTTCAGCTTCAGTGTATGATATACATTATTCTTGAGCACCACCATTCTCCCTATATATTTGTGGTCTAATGGTGACTAATTTGCTTCTGTGTATTTTGTATTCTTAATATTCAGATACATTATCTGTCTGCTTTACCTATCAAAATTTATTAAATCAGTTAAAACAAACTTGTCTTCCTCTCTCCTCCATCCTTCTTGGTAGATTTTTAAAAATCAGTTTATTACTTCAGCTCATAATTGCCATTGCTAGAATTTCTTTTGTGGCTGGTGATATATGGAAATCTTGATTATGGTTGCTGAATAAATTTTGTGTAACCATGTGTCAACTTTTAACCACATAGATTTTCTCAGGATGCATCTGAATAGAACAAGGAAGGAAATATTATTGGATTATATTCAGTAATTTGCTACTTTAGTTTGACCAAATTTGAAAATTGAATTAAATTTACCTGTAAAAAATACAACACTGAAAAATTTAAACATGAATGGTTCTCAGCTCCTTTGCTTTCTTTCAGTTGGGTCTAATATTTGGACTACATTGTACCCTAATTTCTTAATCTGATAATGAACTGAGATATTTTTTCTCTATTGAATCACTCAAAAACAGTGGTGGGATTCTACTGATTCAGACCGGTTCGGGTGAACCGTTAGCTCTGACTTTCAGCCGTGAACGAACCGGTTCTCTTTTTCTTTGAAATGGGCCCGCCTGCCTACCGCTGTGTTATACTCATCTATATTTCTGCTTCCGAAGCCCAGCTGATCGGGGCGGCAGAGTGGATTGCCGCTTCTCAGTTGTTTGCCTTGCTCTCAGCAACATGGAAGTTCAATTTTCTGCAAACTGCGCATGCGTGCTCAGCGAACCGGTTGTTAAACCGCTGCTCAACCACTGCTCAAAAGTATACAATAGGAATATGTTTTTGGAAGAGAGCGTCTAGTTTGGACTGTCCTTTTTATAAAGATAGTTATAGTTTAGTTATAAAGCGTACATGCTTTAAGTCATTTCCTGTTATAGTCAGTTTATTCCTTACATAAAGATGGGCATTTTCAATCTCTTGGATTTCTTTCTTTGTTTTTTCTTTAAAGGAACTGTCCCTGTCCCCACCTGTACTATAACATTCAGCTTGCCTCAGTAAGACCATGAGTTATGACCAATACAGCAAAAAAGGAAATTTTCCAAGGCTGCAAGATTAAATACAGTCAGATTATCTGCAGCAACACGGCTCAAACTCAAAAGCATAGTCCTTTTCAGGAAATTACAAAATACAATAGTTCTAAAACATTCCTTAACATATGATCATCAGCATCATCAATATTTAAAATGATGCCTATTTACAAAGAGGACGGTCAGTACTTGTGCAATGCTCAACCTCCCAAGTTGCCATCTTGGAGATCAAAAGCTAGCGCCCGTTTCTCCCAAGGCTTATTATCCCAATTTCTTAATCTTTTTGATCGAATTTCCATTGTTTCTGGCAACTACCTTGTATCCTTTGCTTATATATTCCTCCTTCCATTTTCTAGACGTCTCTTTTTCTTTACAATGTTTTAGAAGCCTCTTATTGTATCCATACTTGTCTCTTTAGATTTTTCCAGTTTTCCTTTCTAGTGGGAATTGTTTGTGTTTACACTTTTAGTAACACATCCTTTCTGGAAACTTCCTCTTCAGGATTTTAAGCCACTAGATTTTACCTACTTTCTAAGTTCACCAAACTGCAGTCTTGTGAAATCCAATATATACCGTATTTTTTGGACTATAAGACGCACCGAAGTGTAAGATGCACCAATATTTCAAAGAGGAAAACAAGAAAAAAAAAGTTTTTGCCTGTCCCAGCACCCAGGAGCACTCTGCAAGCCTCCCAAACCCTCTGCGTTTTTCACAAAAACAGGGCACATAGAGGGTTTGGGAGGCTTGCAGAGTGCTCCTGGGGGCTGGGGACAGCAAAAACATGATGCGTGGGGGTTTGCACCCTGTTTTCACAAAACTGGCCCATTTTTTTGCAAAAAAATGTTTTTGGCCTCCCCAGCCCCCAGGAGCACTCTGCAGGCCTCCCAAACCCTCTCTGCGTGCCCCCTTTTTGTGAAAAATGGGCCTGTTTTTTGCAAAAACAGAACATGCGGGGTGGAGTTTTGGAAGGCCAAAAATGGCTGTATTCGGTGTATAAGACGCACCAACATTTCCACCCTCTTTTAGGGGGGAATAAAGTGCGTCTTATACTCCGAAAAGTACGGTAAATCTGACTTTCCTCTATTCTTCCCCTTGATATTATGAACATGGTTATTTTTATCATCTTTATTTCTTCAACCAATTTGTCTATTGGTAAGGATTTCATCCAAGATAACAGACCCCTTATTCCTTTTTTTATCTTCTGAAAATTTTTGAGACCTCTGTCTTATGGCAGAGTAGATTTCCAGATGTCAGTAAAAATGGAATACTGCAATGGAATACTACATATTTGAAAGATCTTCTGGCACAGATAGTCTTCATATCTTCTACCTATCCAGGCAATTTATAATAAACTCCCATGATGATATTGCCCCCCTCCCCCTTATCCTTATGGAAATGTTCTCCAGATGATTTCAATGCTCCAATTCATTATTTCAACTAATTGTATATATAACTTCATAGAACAGATCACAAATCATACCATATATTGTCAAATGCACAGACATTAATAAATTGGAGCAATAAATTAGAAATAAATTATTTCAGCTTGTTATTTAAGTTGAAAATGTCCATTTAGAACTATAATCTAATATTTCATTTTACTATTATAGCTTCTGGCCTGGATATCTTTCTCTCTGCTTGGAGTTGGATAGAAGATCAGAAGTATTTACAAAAATTGTTCATTTGGATGACATGGAGTTATTGAATATCAAAGACGGTTAGTTTAATTTATGAATCAATTATGAATATTAAGTATCTAAGGCAGGCCTGTCAAACAGGCGGCCCCGGGCTGGACATGGCCCGTGCAGGCCATGCCCACTCCGGCTCCGCAAAGGCAAAAAACATCCCGATATGTCATGCGATGTGATTGGATTTCACACCCCTGATCCAAGGCCTGCATTTTAATTTAATTAACACTGAAATAAAACGATTTCATGTAACAAAAAAAACCCTTCTTTTTGGAATTCTATCTAAGGAGACATTAGAACATAAATTTTGCATGCAATGTGATTTTTAAAAAATATAGTTCTGCTATAAAGTAACTAAAAAGCAATTTGTGGATTTTGAAAACCTATTATATTTAGTTTTATTTTAGATTTGTTATATCCATATAATTAGAGTAGAGTCAAAGTATTATGATTTCCTAAAAACTTGCCAAGGCACCTGTTGAAATGGGCAGCTATAGAAATCAAATCAATCATCTGGCTCCAGAAGTTGAGTAGTGGTAATTGGTGATGATGTCCCTTTTTGCCATTCTTCCCTCCAGTATTAAAAGTAACGTCCAGTATTTTACTTTTAGTTAGTCAACATCCATTCCATTCTGCTTATGATGTAAGTTGAGGAAATTTAAGAATGTAGGATTTAATGTATCCTTGGCAATCTAATATGACCCCAGATTACTGAGAAAAGCCCAAACGTCTCCAGACTTCTCACTGTAGAGTTCCTTCTTTGTCAGTGGGAAGGATTCTATAGCAACCAATAGCCATTAGAGAATCAAAATATTATTCTCTTAATCAGTCTTCTTTATCTTCCCTTATGGATACAGGTAGTCTTGAGAAGGTTGTAACAACTACGTTACAAACTTAACTAGTGATTCACTTAACAACTGTGGCAAGAAAAGTCGTAAAATGGGGGCAAGACTCACTTAACAACAGAAATTTTGGGCTTAATTGTGATCGTAAGTCAAGGACTATCTGCATATCTTCTGTGTTAACTTGGAAATTGTGAACAAATTCATTTTAATGTCTCCTTCCAATTTTCAACAACTAAAAAGCAGTCACTATGATATGAATATGGCCCTCCTTCCATCAATTCCCTTATATAAATGCAAAATGAAATTGAACATATTCCATTTTATCCTATATATTGGATAAGATGTATAGGATAACATGTTGCTAGTATGGCTTTGTATTGTACACACTGATGTGTGTTGGACTTTATAAATCCATTGACTACTGTCTAGATCAGAATGTAGTGAGAGACATGTCCCATAATGCGTAGAGCTAAGGTATTTGCTGCATATCAAGTAAAATAAAAGTGATTTGCTGTAAAAAACTTTTTCCATAAATCAAATCTGTATTTAGGAACCATTCCGAAGACAACAGAAGAATGGAAGTTCCTCCTTTGCCTCGTGAAGAGTCATCACAACATCCATGTCTCACAAAGGGACACAGCTGTTCCTAATGGTACTCCTGAATGGTCAAATTCTGTTACTGTTGAAAATATTGCACTCCTTGCAGCCAGAATAATTGGTCCAGATCGCTCTTTGCAGATGTTACAGGAATGTGATTTGGTAGCTGAATTATCAGAAAGATTTGCCAAGATTTGTGAGATACTAAGAATTGCTGAAAAACGGCAAAGGTACGTGTTATGAGAATTATTTCTTACAGACTATATCCAGAATATTATATTATGATTTAGAAATGTGAATAGATCAACAGATCAGTGCTTCACAATCTATTTTCTTAAGTACTATGATTTCAGTGGCTTTGGTACTATGATTTTTTTTCCTGACAAATAGAACATGAAATAATAAAATGCAAAAGCAAAACTTTTGGTTGCATGAGCATTTTTCTTTTAAAGACAAATGTACAAATATTACATTTTCATATTCAATATTTCTATCCAAAAATAATTCATTAGACTGAACAATTAAAAATGGAGAGCAAATTTGAATAAACAATACGTAATTTAAGAATTCAAGTCTCTTTACTTTTGTGCTTTTTTTCTGTTGTGGCAATTTTTTCCATTAGAATTTTTTCTACACTTTTAAGAGCATTGATCAAAAGAAAGTTTTCCAGGATTTCAGTATAATAAATCTGCCAATCAAAATAACTCAACCCTCAACAACTCTGAACAGTTTATAAATTTATGATTTGGAAAATTTTCTGTGATTTCCCCAAAGTTTTTTTCTGAAAAATATTTGACCAAAGTTAATATTTAAACAGGTATTGTCACCAGAGGTGTAATAGGTAGCAACTCCTCCATCAGTCTTGAAAGATTTTGACTGATGTGTCATTTTTAAAGGTTATATTTAAGCATTACTATTATAGACAGCTTCTCATGATTTACTATAAAAATTCTCAAATCCAGTGCCCATACTTTGTAAAGACGTCCAAGATACTCTACTGTATTTGATGTAATACTGAGTTTTTTCCTTTGATATTAAACAAAATATGGAAAGTTGCCTTTCCTGGCTAGTTTCTTAAAACTAGATTAAATAAATATATCTCTTTTGAGGAAAATTAAGGTACTTTTGTGAGTTTTCTTTGTGAGTTTTTAAAAATTTATTTTGAATTAGGATTTTAATTTTATTTAGTTTAGCAAAGAGGATAATAGAAAGGTCTTATAAGCACATAAAAACTTGGAGCTGTGGTAGTGACAAGTATGTTATATTTCTGGGTCAATTAGCTTGATGAAATAACTTATTTCTTTACCATTTTCCCCCTTTATTCTTCACTTCTGTTGGCAGAGCCCTGATCCAGTCCATGCTAGAAAGATGTGACCGATTTCTGTGGTCTCAACAAGCATAAAAGCACCCTGGATTGTAAAGTTTGATAAGAATTCATTTTTCTTACGTTGCATCATTTTAAAGAAAAAGCTTCCTGTATAGAAAAGGTGCAGTAATGAATGTAATAAAGCTTTGATTTTTTATTAGATATCTCTTCAGTATTAGAGACTATATTTCAAATTATTTATAAGTGTTGTCTTGCATGACATTACCAAAAAGACAGAAAATCCATTTATATGCAAAATATTTTTTCAACTAATGGGAACAGGCATGAAGATGAAATTCTTTATTATTATTATGTACTATATATGTACTAAGTCCGTGATGGTGAACCTGGGGCATGCGTACCCGAAGTGGCACACAGAGCCATGTTGCCCGACATGCAGTGTCGCCTGTTCCTCTTCCGAGTTTCTGGTATGCATGCGCATACGAAGATCAGCTGGCCTTTGTGTGTGCTCATCATCACGTGCACATGGGCGGCAGTAACCGGAAGACTTGGTGGCCGGTATGCATACAGGCCCCGGAAACCGGAAACCTTATCCGGTGTGTGCATGCCCCCTGGGCAGTTCCTCTTCCTGGTTGCGGGCCTGACAAGCACGCACAAAGTGCTCCCTTTTCGGCACTTGGTGCTGCGCGCACATTCCCTTTTCACCATCACTATTTAACACTAAGTGTTAAATTTGGTTATACTAAAATAATGAAATATTTAACAACTTTTCTGTCAAAAGTTTTGGATTTTTTAATAACAGCTTGCAAATGAATATAATTACAACTACTTTATCATTAAAAAAACTATGATGTACTTTCTGAATTAAACTGAAACCTTCAGCATGGTGCATTGTTCAGTTAAGCATTATATGATTGTATCTAACATTCTACATATGTAACAATATTGCAAAACTTTACTAGTTATATTAAAAAATGAAAAGTAATTAATAAAATTAAGCAGCAATACTAATATACAATTCCAAACAGACATTCATGTAACTTACATGTATTTAAAACTTGCCTATTTTAGCATTTTGAGTTGGTACAATTCACTGTCTAATAGAATGAGTAAAAAAAATACCCACATTTTTCTAAAAACATGTCTGAGAGGAGAGGTAGGAAGGAGAATTGTCTTACTTGGATTTTCAAAAAATTGAAGGCATTGCTGGTAGATAAATGAAACTTTCTTACCTTGCATCTGATTGCGTTTTTCATGTATGCACTTACAATGGTTTGAATAAGCATCTAAATTATGCTTATGTATGATCCATGACATGGACCATATACTACTGTATGATTTTTTTTTGTCACTAAGGTAATGATTTTTGGTAGCTGGGGAAGGGAAAGATTAATCATAAATTTATTATGATTAGTCTTGCATTTTATTAAATCGAATTAGAATTGCACCATCTTTATTGTCTAGTTTACAGTATTTCAAGGGCAGACATTTCATGCTGTTAATGTGTTTCAGGGTAGAAAGCGTGCAATGTCTTTTTCTCTCTTAGGTTGAATAAAGCAAAAGAAAGCAAAAGAGCGCTAAATAAAAAAGACCTGATAACTATAAGCCACAATCCAAAGATAAAAATCCCATTCCCACATGCAGAGGCTGATCTGTTTCATCTTCATAGACACATAGCAGCTTATTGTTTTATTTTGGGAAGGTTTTCGATGGAACCAGGGGGGTAGGCTAGAGCCACACTGTTTAACCCTTGAAATCTGGGCTCACCCTGTTGTATAAATGAGTACTACCTCAAGTTTGTTTTAAGACTGATTCAGATGCACAGAGAGTTCATGAAATAGTACTTATATTTTGCACTGCATTCTATTTTCAAAATTATTTTTAGTGTATGTCTTATTTGTCTTCAATTTTTACAAGAAACAATTAACAAGCACTCAGTATTACTTTGTAAGCATTTTGATATTAACAGAAATCTGGAATCATGTTCAGTTTTTTACCTAAGCTGATGTTTAATAAAGTTAATATAATTTCCTTGTTGTTTCTTTATTTTTCAGGACTTTCATGATAAAGTTTTATCATAGAATGTTAGATTTAGTTCCTTTTTATAATGTACGTAAGTGTTTCATTGAAAAACATTTCACTTTTCTTAAATATGACTAATAAATTTAATCACATAGAAAGCTTAGGATTGTTGAAACTGAAATTCCTGTACTTTTCAGCTAAGATTCCCCAAGAGAGAAAGCACAGAGAGAAAGCTTTATTTTGGCACTTGGACTTTAATCAAATCTTCCAAATAGATGTGTAATGCCAAAGTTGGTCTTTGTGCTGGGGCAGTTAAATCAGAAAGAAGCTTTCCTGTGGTTATCTATTAAGGAATAAAAAGAGAAGAATTCAAGAAACCAAGCAAGGATTGCAATCCTTAAAAAGTTTTTCCTTCCTGTGCGATGTGAAAATTTCTTCTTACATATCTTATTATTTTAATGCAGTGTTTCCTAACCTTGGCAAGTTTAAAATATGGCATGGCTGGCTATAGAATTAGTCCACACATTTTAAAGTTGCTAACATAGTTCTTAAACACTGTTCTAAAGCCAAGAACATCTGTTAGTCTGACAGCTTTGAGGTTTTTTTTCAGGTGAATAATAACAGTCACTTCTCCCAATATTTTTAATTTTTAAACATTTTATTGGATTTGATGCAATAGCAACTTTTATAACGTATTTCTAAATTTTATTTATGCATATATAGATTTGCCTTCAACTATATAATTGGAGGCAATTGAGTCTCGCATTTTGGAGCTGAAGGAGCTTTAACATCAGTTCTTTCACACCTCTCCTGTTTAGTATATACTTAATATATCTATGAGTGGGTAACCTGAATTATAAAATATATGTAGATAAAATAGATAAAATAACAAATATTACAAATAAAATGCTTCTTCCACTATCTGTTTAGTGTTGTCTGGCCACATATCCCTAATCTTTCATTTCCTTGCTTAAAGTGTGTATGTGGATGGGGAAAATGATTGAGATGCTGACCAGAGATACTAATTTAATAGAGATACTAATGGTCAGAGATACTAATTTAATAAATGAAATGATTCACTTAACAACTGGCAAAAAAAAGTCATAAAATGGAGCAAACTCATATAACAAATGTTTCATTTAGCAACATAAATTTTGGGGTCAATTGTGGTCGTAACTCGAGGATTACCTGTACTTGGTTGATTACATAGACATACCCATGCTGGTTTCTTGGAAAATGTATGGAAATTGTTTGCTGTTGCCTTAGTTTGAAGTGGTGTGTGTTTTTTTTAAAAAAATTCCCAATAAGTGATTCTTGGGTATGCAATAAAGGCAGCAACATCTTCCAAGAGTCACATTTCAATTGTTCTCCTAAACCAGGGGGGGGGGGGAAGGATCAAGTTTGAAAATGGGCTAAATCCAGTTAAGGGTAGTAGAGAAAGAAAAACCACCATCAAATCCTGAGAGGAAAGGCAATTGAATAGAGACTCCCAATGTTATCAGCTCCTCCATTGGACCTTCACCGTTCTTATCTTTCCCGATCATCTGACTCAAGAGGAGTTAACAGTTAAGGAGCTAAGCAGCATTTTAAAAAGCCACATTATTCAACAGGCTTTTCCTACCTTACTTGATGTGTAAAAAAAAAAAAACCACACACACACAACCAAACAAGTACAAAGATAAAAAAACCAACACAAAACCCTTGAATTGACTGACCCAGAGGGGTTACAGTTAAGCAGCAGAGAACAATTTTTTTTTAAAAAAAACACACTACTCAACAGTCTTTCCCTACTTAATCCAGATATTAACGAGACCAAGCAACCTTGCATGGCAGTCAAGATGGCCCGGGAGCCGTCACTTCCTAAAGCAGGAGTCTCCAACTTTGGCAACTTTAAGCCTGGCGGACTTCAACTCCCAGAATTCCCTAGCCAGCAAAGCGGCTGGGGAATTCTGGGAGTTGAAGTCCGCCAGGCTTAAAGTCGCCAAGGCTGGGAGACCTCTGTCCTAAAGCAACCAAGCCGTGGCATTTGAACGTGTGAGTCACGTTCGACGTGCCATCCGTCCTCCGGCTTCTCGGCGCTTCGCTCGCACCAACCCCCGAGGAAGAAGTTGCACCGAGAAAGCCGGCGGAGGGCGCTAACGTCTGGGAACGGCCGCCTTCGCCTCCGCGTCAGAAGAGCCGAAGGGCTGCGTGCGTGCGAGGACGGTTCGCGTCTTCTCCGAGACGGGGACGCTACCAATTCCTGGCCGTTACGAGAGGAAGCACCCTTCAACCCCCGGTAGACCTGAGGCCCCGAGGAGCCGCTCCAGGTCCAACCCGGGTTCTTTTCCAACTGCGGGAGGGAACGAGGTTTGTCGCCCCGCCCGCCCGCCCGCCTGAGCGCGGCCCAGGCCCGACGCCGCTGATGGGTTAGTTCAGCCCAGGGGAGGCGGGAACAGAAGGGAAGCTACGAAGGAGGTGGAGTCATCTAGGAACAATACAAAAAACTCTGGCCAATCAGAATCGGCCACCGGAATGGCGGGAAGCCAAAGTGCGCACGCGGGGAGGGGAAGGCGGGGGAATGAAGTAGAAACGGGAAGCCGTGTTGGGGCGCTGGAATTTCAGCGGAGGTTGGCGTGGACGGCGGGAGGAGCGGGTCCCTGGATCTCGTGGCTTGTGTGGAAATTGGTTTTCTGTCAATGGGGCTTTCCTGAGGAACGAGGGCGAGGAGGAACAAAATCCCTAGGAGGCCAAGCCTTTAACTTGATATATAACTGAATTGTTATATATGACAATTCATATATGATGAATTGTTATATATTGTTAACTGAATTGTTAACTGAACAATAGTTCAGTCCAATAATTGAACTGATAGGTCGGCCCCGACTTGTTTTTGGTTCTAGGGCTCTTAATTTGCCCCAGAGGTTGAAAAAAACCCCAAAGATTATCTTTCCCTTCGCCACTGAATTTCTCTGACTTTGTTTTCCCCTTTCTGCTTTTATTTTATATTTGTTTGTACAGGTAGCCCTTCACTTAACAACAGTTCATTTAGCGATTGTCCAAAATTACAGTGGCACTGAAAAAAGTGACTTGTGACCATTTTTCACACTTAACGACCTTGGAAAGCATCCCCATCATCATATAATCCAAATTCAGATGCTTGGCAACTGACTCCTGCTTATGACCGTTGCTGTGTCCCAAGGTCATGTGTGGTCGCCTTTTGGTAACCTTTTGACAAGCAAAATCAATGGGGAAGCTGGATTCACTTAACCTGTTACTAATTTATCAACTGGTGATTCACTTAACAACTGTGGCAAGAAAAGTCGTAAAATAGCAATAACACTTACTTACATACTGCTTCACAGTGCTTTTACAGCCCTCTCTAAGCAGTTTACAGAGTCGGCATATTGCCTCCAACTATCTGGGTTCTCATTTTACCAATCTCGGAAGGATGGAAGGCTGAGTCAATCTTGAGCCGGTGAGATTCGAACTGCCAAATTGCAGGCAGCTGGCAGACAGCAGAAGTAGCCTGCAGTACTGCACTCTAACCACTGCGCCAATGGGGCATAATTCACAACAAATGCCTCACTTAACAATAGAAATGTTAGGCTCAATTGTGGTCGTAAATCGAGGACTACCTGTAATTAATTATATTGAACATCCCTATTTTTTCCTAGGAAATTGGAAATTAGAAATAATTCACAGGAATTTGAAATGTTAAAATTGGGAGGGACTATGGATATCTTCAAACAGTGCAAGAATCTTACTGCTGTGGCTTTCCACATCTCTTCCTAACGAAATTAATGCTTTTTGGCCTTATCCTTAAGACAGTTTTCTTTTCAAAATAAAACGTTTGAAGTCTTGTTTTCTACCCATTCTTTAGGAACCTTTCAATCTATTAATTGGATAGCATTGCGTAAATATGGACAGAAATCCTTCACCCCCCTCAAGTGATTCAGAGGAAGAAGAAGTGGCTGCTGGGGATTCCATTGGAAATACAGTTTACAGCAAACACTGGCTGATTGGTGTGCTTGAGAAATTAATTGAGGTATCTGTATTGATTATCTTCTTTGTGTGCACTACTTATATGCTGAATGTGAAACATCTTTTCATAGAAATGTGGCAAGCATAAGGCAGGTTATACATCAGTGTCAGTATCTTGGGAACAGGTGTTTAATAGCTAATTGGGAAATAGCTTAAATTATCATTCAAGTTTGCAGATACTGAAGATGTAATGAGAGTGTTAAAAAATAATACCCAAGGGTCTTCTGTTAAAATTTGAACAAGGTCAGTCAAAACATGAACAGTTTTCTAATGGGAGAAACTGAATGGGAGTTAAATAATTACTAAAAATATTCAGTTATTCAATGATTAATTCAGGATGTATCGAAACAAAGAAAAACCCACAGGTCATATTCTAAATGAATTCATTGTATTAACAAAATACAGATGCCCTGGATAAAAGATAACCCATTGTATGCAATTACTGTAGTTCTGATGTAGACATGTTGAACTGTTAGGTGATTTCCTATCATGGCACTAATATTAATATATATGTAAACTTCAAACTTCTCCACTCTGGGTTATCAAGAGTGAATGTCAACAGTCCAAAGATATGGTAGAGTTTGGAACTTTCCAGAGAAGTTCCTTTTAATATAATTAACTGAGCCAATAGGAGTAAAAAACAATAAATGTTTTTTTTATTTCTTATTTCAAACAGTAACTAGCTTTGAACCAAGAGAGACAGAGTAGCAGAATATGTAAGCAAAGTACACATTAACAAAGTGTCAGCATATCTGTGGTTATTTGTAATCCTCAATTAGATTAATTTGAGTGGCACAGGACCATGAAACCTAATTATTATTTTAAAGGTGATAAATATCATTTGATTATTATCATTGGCTAATAGCTTGCCTTGCATGCCTGTCAGAAACACCGAGGCATTTCCAGGTTGAAAGGATTAGCTGGTGACATCACTGTTCCCTGGGGGACACTCAGCTGGTGAAGGATGGGAGCTCAACTCTGCCCTAAGGCAGCACTCAAGTCTCAAACATGCATGCTAACCTCCAACCTAATATCCTAACCATGTGAGCCACAGTGCTCCCGGCCAATAGCTAAGAGTTATAGATGCAAGGGTACATACATAGCTTTATATGTAGAATACATAAAATGTAAAACAAAATATTACATTGAAATTAAAAAGTCTAATCTTTTAATAACCTGGATGGACTCTGGTTGCAATGAATAACATTCCCATAACTGCTACAGTGGTTTAATTGCAGCATAAATATATTTGTTATGCTTTATGTAGCTAACAATAATTGTTACAATAACTACTTAAGTCTACTGGTAGGCTTTTCAAATTTACTTTGTAATTTTATATCCATGTTTTTATTTACTCTACAACTTGGTTAACTCTTAAAAGGATACTTCAAAACTGAACAATGAAGAAGAACAAATGGAACTAGATGAAGAGATGGAGAATGATATTTGCAAAGTATGGGACATGTCAATGGATAAGGTATTAGTCAGTAGTACCTTCTGAAGTGTATTAAAATCATTTGAGAATAGAATTGAGTATATATAATATTAACTAGAAACTATTAAAACCATGGGAATGACATTGTGATAGGTTGCTAGTCATAAATTAAAGATTTCTGAAATAATTTTTTGAGAGGGGGGGTATTTTTTTTAAGCAAAAACGTATCTATTTTATATATCTACATCTATGTTCTCTCTCTCTCTCTCTCTCTCTCTCTTCTCTCTCTCTCTCTCTCTCTCTCTCTCTCTCTCTCAGAAAAACTTCATATATATATACAAATATTTGGTATCTTGGCCTGTCTTTAATTACTAATATCTAGTTATTCTTCCAAGAACAATCCTGTAATATCCTTGATAGGGTCTATTTTCTTAATCTCTTGCCATTCTTCTGTATCCCTTAATTTTTCAGGTATACTTTTTTTGTAGGCCATTATCTGCTTCTATCATATGCCAAAGTCTATGAGCTTATGCTTTCTAATCTGCCTTTATTTGTTTCTCTATGTAACTGTCTCCATAGTTATTATTATTTGAAAATATGTATCTTATTTCTGTTCCTTGTTATGGCATTTCTAGCTTTCATATGCTTCCCTTAGAATCAAAAAAGCTTTCACTATTCTGAAATGTCTTTTTCCATCAAGATTTTGCCTTGTTTGTCATTGTCTTCCTAGAATCAGATTTTTTTAATTTTCCAGCGTACTACCTATTTTCACTTTATCACTGTTAACTGCAAGTTCACTTAGCATGCCAGATGACATTATCTTTGTCTTACTTAAGATATTTCATATTCCATTTTTAACTTTCAAAAACAACTTTTAAAAAAGTCTTTTTTACATTTGGTTAAGAAAATGTTACCCTCTGTGGATCTCAAATTGTTAGTTTTCAGCTGTAAGTTCTTCTCATTTTCCATTCTTATAATATATTTGCTAAATATGGAGAAGATATGCATTCTTATCTAATATACTCTGTACTATTTTTACTGCAAACTCAATTTTTACAGTAATTTCTAATTTATTTTTAAAAATTTGTGAAGAAGAATCAGTTGTTTTGTTATGCCATTTCATCTTAACATGTTTCACATTCTAAGAATCTACATGATCTTTGGTATAGTTAATGAAGTCAAATTTATTTTTGTATTTTCATTCTTGGCATTATCCATCTCAGGTTGTGTCCCTCAGAAACCCATCTATTTATCTGGCATTTCTTATCTGGTTTGCTCTAATTTTCTTTGCAAGATTTTAAGCAAAATTTTGTAAGAGACAGGGATTCTCAAAATGTGGATCTCATTTTTCTTTTACACCTGATCAGATTTGTATAGACAGCATTGAAACATGATCAAATCTTTTTCCATACTTTGTTACTCATTTTACCTATACAAGTTAATAAATTTAAAAATCTCTGAGATATACATATTAAAACTATTAAAAGTGAATGGTATTTTTAAGTTGTATATTTATTATTTCCTCAAACTGACCCCTATGAAACTTACTCATAATTTTCTACGCAGATTTATTGTTATGTGGGTTAGCAGTGACATTTTGATGCCCAAGAAACTTTGGCATAGATTGTTTATTAAATCTATGTGAAATTCCTTGCATTGATCTTATTTTCTCTGTGTTCTCCAGATCATATCTTAAATTAAGCACTGAAATGTTTTGTTGATATACCTCTTCCAAAAGAAATAACCTGTCCTATACTATCTATTCATTAATGTTTAGATCATTTGTTTATGATCAGCTGGTCTTTTGAATAAATGAGAGAAAGAAAGTATGTAATGTCAACCACATTGCTGTCTTTAAGTTCCTGTGTTGCCAAGAACCATTCAGAGGAGATAATATCAATAGAAGTTCAAACTTTAAATAGAAAAAAATATTTGTGATGGTCCTAGCAGAAAAGTTTGAACTCCAAAATGAACTTTTAAAAATTATGCTACTCCTCACCAAATAAGATTTGTTTCATGTACATCAACAAATCCAACTTTCTTCCTTTCAGGATGTTGCTTTATTTTTACAAGAGTTTAAAGCCCCTGACATATTCATGGTTTTTCTTGCAAAGTCCAAATGTCCTCGTCTTACTGTAAGTTCTATTATGAATCTATGTTTATTACTTATGTAGTTGAGTTTTGGACCTATAAGAATTATGCAGTTGAATAAAGCGCAAACAGCAAATAAAAATACAATCTTAAAAAGTAGAAGAAAGCCATTAAATACAAGTAGTCCTTGACTTACGATTACAATTGAGCTCAAAATTTGTGTTACTGACTGAAATAGTTGTTAAGTGAGTTTTATACTGTTTTACGACCTTTCTGGCCACAGTTGTTAAGGGAATCACTGCAGCTGATTAACATGGCTGTTAAACGAATTTGGCTTGTCAGAAGGGCGCAAGATGTGATAACATGACCCTGGGACAGTGCAACCGTAATAAATATAAGTTGGTTGCCAAGCATCTGAATTTTGATCGTGTGACCATAGCGATGCTGCAACTATTGTAAATGTGAAAAACTCCTAAGTCACTTTTTTTGGTGCCATTGCAAATTTGAACAGTCACTAAACGAGCTGTTGTAAGTCAAGGACTATCTATGCAACTGACTAAATATTTCTGAGTTGTTAGTACCTCTTGTTATTAATTCATTACTTTTAGTATACTTGTGTAGTTTTCTAAATAGTTTATCACTGGTTATAGCAGTATTTTTCAACGTCAGCAGCTTTAAGATCTGAGGGACTTAGCAAAAGGATGAGAATTCTGGGACATTCATAGATTTTAATGTTACTAATCTTGAGAAACAGTACAGTTATAGAAACACAGGATTGTGTACTTCTGTGCTTCTATTTAAGAAATATTAACTGACATATCCTGATGGGCCATGACTTGGCATAATTAAGGTTTTGAATGACCTGGATATGACTTCCAAAATTGTTGTTTTTAACCATTTAGTTGTGTCCAACTCTTGGTCTCTTTATAGCAAGTGCTCTCCATGCTACTCTGACTAACACAGCTTCTTTCAATTGTATGTTCAACTTTGGATCAGATTTGATGTTATATTGCTTTCCCCTTCTTCTTTGTCATATAATAAAAAATTACAAATCGGATAGTTAAAATAAGGAGTACCTTGATAGAGGTGGAACCATGTCACATTCTTAGCAAGAGATTGATTGATTTGTTAGATTTATTGCACCTTTCCTTTAGGAGCGCAAGGCAGTATATGCAGCACTTCCTCCTCTGCTTATAAGGTAATGCAGCTTGTAGAAAATGACAATTATATACCAAAATGTCATATTGTGCAAAGGCTATCAATATGAGAAATGTAATACTTAATAAATATGTTATTAAACTTTATTAAAAGTTTTGGCTATTTGCTGAGAGTAAAATATGAGAGCATAGAGAATTAGATTCCTGCTTCAATTGATACTCCATATATTGAGAACACACCTAAGCATATATTTCCTTGGTAATGTTTACCTTATTGTATATATAACTTTATGTTAACGTACTATATTTTTCATTGCAGGAAATCTGTGTAGGTATTCTGGGAAATATGGCCTGCTGCCAAGATACGTGCATATCTATTAGTAAAGATGAGAACCTGGGGTAAGTTTTTATTTCATGATTTTCAGACTCCAGTTTTAGTTCCTGTTGCTATAAAAACACCATTTAGAACACACAGATTATTAATATACTGTAGAATGAAAGAAAAAAAGTATACTTGGTCGGTGTTAAAGTTTGTAAGGTATGGCAGGCAGATATAAATGTTTCTCAAGGAGGAAGATACAGGAAACTCGGTGTCCAGTCCAGAAGTAAGTATAAAAAGAATATTAGAAAAAAAATGACTTTATACATATGTATTAGCAAACATTATCAAGGACAAGTGGGTTCAGGGTTAAGAGAATCACGAGAAAGAAATGTTTTTGGAAAAGCAGTAGGGCTTTCCTGCAACTTAATATTCTGTTTGATTTTTAAATTGGGAGCAAGATAGCAATCTCAGACACAGACCAATAGAGAGGGCAGGGATGTAAAGATTGACTAAAAGGGGCCATACCTGTGGATATTTTCATATCTATGCCAGACTCTATAAACCTGATCTTGTAAATAGGAAATGTGGAACATGAGTAGTTCAATGGTAAAAGATGTGCTTTATGGACCAGTAATCTACCTGTTTAATGCTATAGCCATACAGGTAGTCCATGCTTAGCAACTGCCTCATTCAGCAATCATTGTGCATATGACAGTGATGAAAAAGTAACGACAATCCTCACAGGTCTGTAAATAAAAGGAAAGCTCAGTCATGATTTCATTAACAACCGTTTCACTTTATAATTAAGTTGCCAGTCCCAACTGTGGTCACTAAACTATGATTATTGACTCAGCCTCCCATCCTTTCAAGGTTGGTAAAATGAGGACCCAGATTGCTGGAGGGCAATATGCTGAGTCTAAACCGCTTATAGAGGGCTATAAAGCATTATGAAGCGGTATATAAGTAAGTCAGGGGTGTCAAACTCAAGGCCTGTGCGCTGGATCTGGCCCAGGGGGTGCTTAATCTGGCCCGCAGGGCCGGTCTGGAAATAGCAAAGGACCGGCCCATGGTGCCTCTGGCAGCCAAAATGGGGTGCAGGGGAGCGTTTTGGCTGGCAAAGTGCTGCAGGAGGCCATCCAGGCTGAAAATGGGGCACGGGGGTGTGTGGGCCCCTCATGCCCCGTTTTGGCCGGCAGGGTGCTCCAGGAAGCATCTGTCCCACCTCCCCTCTCCCCAGCAGGCCCGCGGAGGAGAACTACAGTGCTGCTTTAGCCCTCAAAGAAATCCAGTTTGACACCTGTGGTCTAAGTGCTATTGCTATTGCTATTATGACCTACTACTTGCTGTTTATATGTACACTGAGCTTCTGCACTGAGACAAATTCCTTGTGCGTCCGATCACAGTTGGCCAATAAAGAATTCTGCCCTGCCCTGCCATACCCTACCCTACCCTACCCTACCAATGAGGTCTACCTGTATTCCTGTTTCAGTGTCCTATATAACATCTCTTACACTATGCAAAACAGGACAATGTTGTTGCTGTTGAATTATTAATTAGTAGAAGCAATAAATCTTACTGTTTCCTCCTGAATGGCTTTGCTACAGATTTTATTAGAAATGTTACAAGTATATTTGTGTAGAACCAGGTACTTGGATTGATGTCGTAGATCATTCTCTCTGAATCATTCAATAAGTCAAGTATGTATTAATGAAAATGTATGCTGCTCCACTCAATGTAATCAAACTAGGAATAAAAAATAGCAGTGGTCCCCAACCTTTCTGGCTTGGCGGCCTGATGGGGGGAGAGGGGATGGTTCTGTGTGAGTGGCAGATGAGTGCGCAAAAGGGCTCAGCTCCATTTGCGCAAGCGGTGGGTGGGAGCCCAAGTGGAGCTGTGCGTACATGCTCACCCACTACTTGTGTGGCCCTGTTCCCTACAGCATTACGAGCATCTCACCCAGCGTGAGCAATAATAAATAAAAAGTGGTAGTCTAAAAACACCAGCTGGCATTAACCTTTAAAGACCTATTTATAAAGCACAGTTTTAAGCATTCTTCTGTAGATCAAAAAAATGTAGTATCTGCACGTTGGGACTAGACTTGAAAAAGTCTGCCTTCTATAGTTTAGACAGGTAATCTTCCACTTACAACTGTAATGGAGCAAGGCATTTTAGTCGTGACAGTTGTAAACCAAGGCATACACACAACTTTGCTTGATTTTATGACTTTTTTTTGTGGTGCTCATTAAGTGAATCCATATATTCTTTTGGATATTTTTTTGCTAGAAACCAGCCCCAAAGACTAGAAACTGGCAAAAAGTGTCATAAATCATAGCCATGTGAAATGCTGCAACTGGCCATAAAGGTGGGCTGGTTGCCAAGCAACCAAAATATAGTCATGTGACTTCAGGTTGTGTGTGCATGTGAATTCTGAAATTGAGTCGTAAGTAGCTTTTGGGGGAGGGTCTGTCACAACTTTGAACGGTAGGTAAGCGAGGACTACCTGTAGTAAAACGTTCTCCATTGCACTTGCACTTTATTTTGGCAACTCTAAACGTTAAGCATGGGAAGGCTCAGGAAACATTGACAGATGTCTGAGTAAAAGTATAGAAAATAATGTTTGTCTCATGTATGCTTAACCGATACATGATTTTTCCAGACAAATAGTGCTTCATCGTTTATGTGATTCTGATTCCCCGACTCTGCTTGAAACAAGCAGGTAAGCTTGTTTTTGTTTCTTTCTTTCTTTGTTGGTTGGTTGGTTGGTTTCTGAGTGATTAAAATACCTTTAGCATAAAGGTATTTAGCATAAGAGGCAATGGTAAGCTAGAATGGTAGAATGTTTGTGTACAGTGTACACTTGTAGCTTGTATGCTTGAAGTTTATAAATGCTAAATTCTTGTAGCTTCTGTTACAGTGAAACACTATTCTCTGATTTGGTCAACTCTCTGTATGGTTGTTTTATACAAACCAAGATTTTTGTTTAATTCATTCAAGTTGTTTCCACAGATCACAAACCAGACATGCCTGCTTTGCTTATAAAGATAAACCACTGATGGAATTTTTGCTGTTTGATTATAAGTTAGCCATAATTTTGGTTTAGAGTTAAGTGTAAATGAGGCTATTTTATAATGCTCTAAAGTTCAAATGTCTAAGTAAAATAAAGTGCCAATATGTTTACTCTGTGCATAGAGGCCTTGCTGAAGTGGCTATTTTTGGTCCTTATAGTTTTGGACAATAGATAGTATTAGAATTATTATTCTGATAATGGAGTTTGCTGCTTCTAATCCTTCTAGTCCTTGGCAACTGTCATGGATATCTGAGTATTCTAGCTGGCAAAAAGGCTGAAGTAAGGAATCTAGTTGATCTTCCTTTCGGTAAATGATTTAAATGATCTGTTGTTTTTCTTCATGGTCCTACCTCCTCATGACCATTGGTCCCTAGAGCAGTTTGTTAAGGCAAGGTATTACTTTAGTCTCCGTTAGCAATATAAATTAAAAAGCAATTAGAAAGCTAGTAGATTCCCTTTTTATTAATTTTACTTGGTAGAAGTGCTACTGAACTCAGTAGGATGCTTCCAGGACTTCTATATGGTATTCTTACTTTCCCTTTACTTGGTCCTCACAATTAAATTGATTTCACATATCATTTATTGAATTTTAATTTTAATTGTATATTTAATCAACATAAACCATGATAAAAACTGAAGAGTGCAACCCTATACAAGTTAATTTAGAAACAGATTTAATGAGCTTACTTTTAGATGCTTATAGGGCTGGCATATAAATTTGGGCTTTTCAAAAAAATCTCACATTGTTACATTTCCATTTGTATTTTAGGTTATTGTTGACTTGCCTCTGTCAATCTGAAGTGGCTAATATATGGGTGGAGAGAATCAGACAAAGTCCGTCTGTCTATAACTGTTTCTGCTTTATCATGTCTAGTTCTACAAATGGTAAGCTGAAGAATGTATTTTATTGCATCATAGAGCATTTTTAAAGTAAGGAAAAATGCACAACTCCTATACGGGAATCAAATATTTTTAAATTACTTCTAGGGAAAACTTTGCTTAAAGCATTTTTAGTTAAGAAAGAAAGAATCCAGGATAAAGCGAAACCATGTGAATCAGTGGAGTAGTTTTTTGTGCCTTCTTTTCCTATGGTTATAATACCTTTGGGATGTCCATAACATGCTATATTTACATTAATATAAAATAGGAATGTGATTAGATCTTCATAAAGTACTCAGCACTTACGTTTACAAACTGAAAGAACAATGGAAACATCTTTCTGAAATCTCTAGCAATCCAAGTCTTCGGTAAAATGACCTTGAGTTGTAAGTGCCATATATGGCACTGATGTTCTGATTTTCTGAATTGTCTTAAATATATTTTAAAACGTAAACATAGGCTAAAAGGGGAAGAGTGCAAGATATGAAAGGAAAATATGTAACATTTCCAATTAAAAAGTTGTAGACAGATGATATGTGCATCTCCTTTCATACTCCAAAGCACATTATGGCCTTGAAATCCAAAGTGCTGTTCTAATATTTAGTAATAGCATTAAACTGATGTTTGGAAATCCACATTCTAATTCTTAATGCTATGATTTATTTTAACACTCCTGCAGAGTGAGTTGAAAAAAGAAATATAAAAGTTAAAAAGGAAAAGAAAAAAAAACATTGCTTGGGGGGAGTACTTTTCTGGTCATTTTGTATTTATTTAGTTGAAAATAAAATTATATTTGATTTACCAATGCTATGTAAAGATTCTCAAAGCAGCATATATCCAAATTACTATTAGCTACCAGTAGTAATATAGTATATACTATATAGTAGTATACTAGAGCATACTAAAATATTTTGCTTTTGTATTTTATGTGGTCTTAATTTAACTGTACTTTAATTTTTGTTTCAGTGGACTTGCTGGTGAAAGTTGGTGAAGTGGTTGATAAGTTATTTGATTTGGATGAAGAATTAATGATAAACTGGATTAAAAAAGATTCTTGTCCATCAGTGGAACAGCCCACAGATGATTCTCCAGATGATGTTCCTGATTTTAAAATTCTACCTTGTCTGCTTGAAGCTGCAAAACAAGTTTGGTAAGCATCTATCAGTATGCATGCAAGCATAGCAATATAAGGTACTTTTTCATATTGGACAAGTAATGTTCAGGTTCATTTTACCTGCCTTTGTAGCAAAAGAACACCAAATCATGTCAATTTTAACTCTCCAAGAGAGTTTAACTCTCTTGGAGATCACTGAATGGGATAGAAACATTTCAATAAATATTTGCTTTTTTCAGCAATATGTCCCCCTTCAACTGTGAGTTTTCTCATATGGATACAGAGACACACAAATCTTTCTTAATGAATAATTCTAACTAAAATTCATAATGCTTTACTGCAGCTCAGATAACAATTCCGAAGGACTTGAAGTTTATATGCATATTCTACAGCTGCTCACTACAGTGGATGAAGGCATTCAAACAATTGGTATGTTTTCTAAAGCATGTAATGACCAAGTATTTGTAGAGAGTCCTTTAATAAAGAATTTTTTTTCAGAGATTGCCTAATTTTTTTTCTCATTTTTCAGTCAAATCTTCTGATAGAGGAAAGGAAACATGGAGCCTGCTGTATAATCTCTTTTGCAATGAACTCTGCCAGCCAGATGATCCACCAATTATTATTCAAGAACAGAAGACCCTGTTGGCTTCTATTTTGTCTGTGCTATCAGCCATTTTTGCTTCACAGATAGATCAGGACTATGTCAAGATGGGAAAGAGTAAGTGTTATGGTGGGGAATATAATCACAGAATTTCAAAATGAAGTATTTGAAGGATTGCAATAATAATAGGCCATTCACTTCCACTCTCATTGGTCTGGAAATTCCTCTAGGTAGTCTTACAGTTATTGGATTGTGATCTGCATTAATGAAACTAGCACCTTGCACATCTATAAAATTAATGAGCTAGAGATATAGCCTACTGTGTACTTGAATAAGTTTAATGAAATAAATCTCTCTAAAGGACATTTGTTTTTCAATACATCTAAAAGAGGAAAGAGTGACATAAAAGGGTCCCATTTTTATCTCCCAATATCTAAAATTTCTTTCTGCAATTTCAAGAACTAAAAGAAAAGCAGTTCATAATTTTTTATTTATTGTCATTTGGACATAAATTGAAGCTGTTGTTAATTTTCCTATATTCGATTTGAATAAATATGTATGATAAATATCCAATTTGTCTGAGGCCATAGATTTTTGACTGAAATGATAACATTCTAACAAATTGACATTGTCCTTTTTAATATAGAATATTATATTTCCTCTTTTTTTTCTTTTAAATGGACTGTTTTGTCTGTAAATATTTATGGGAAATATTTTCATTTGATCTATAATCAAATATAATTATTAGGTTAATTTGTGAAGAAAAAGCTGCTTCTCTTTGTTTATCTTTTGTCTGTTCTGGGTCTTTTTTAGATTGTTCTGATACTGTCAATGACTCCAAAGTCTACTTATTTTAAAACCTACTTTGCTACTAGGAATTCCTCTTTTCCCCCCGACATACTTTCATTCATAATTTAAATTTTTTTTGCATTTCAGATCTGGCTCTGATTGACAGCGTGATTAGAGTGTTACAAAATATGGATGAATGTGAGAAGAGATCTGTAGACAGCTCAAAGAAATCCCAGACAGAAGAGTGTGAGAAATTGGAAGTAGTTGATGAAGATTTCCATTTAAAAATCTTGAAGGACATCTGTTGTGAATTACTCTCCAATATGCTGCAGGAATTATCGGAGGTAAAAAAAATAATCATATAAACTTGAAAGTTAAGGAATGGTTTCAACCCAGGTTTTATCACTATGGTAGTGTAGTAACAAGTATGCATGTATGCATTAAAGGAATTGTATCTTTAATGTTTTATTTATTTATATCCTGCCTTTATTATTGTTACAAATAAATCAAGGCAAGAAACATATCCAACACATCTTCCTGCTCCTGTTCCTCACTACAACAAGAGTGTGAGTGTGTGTGTGTGTGTGTGTGTGTGTGTGTGTGTGTGTGTGTGTGTGAACCGGCACAAAGTAGGAGATGACTAGGCTGAACTGAGGACAGGGTAAAACACATCATCAGTTTGGACTCATTATGTTCCTGCAAGAGATCTAAGTCCAGTCCTCCTTGAAGTACATTGACAATTATCTACGACAAATTTGGCTTCACTGATAGTAGATGAGATTCTTTTGTGTAGGTAGCAAGGAATAAACTCGTAGTGCTTTTGAAGTGTATACTAACTTCTTATTTCTTGGACCTGACACCAGCTGACTTTCATGGCTAAGATGGGACTTGAACTCATGGTCTCCCGCTTTCTAGCTATAAACCTGCTATAAAATATAAAAATATGTGTTATTTATTAGAGCAGCTTTGTCCCCCAAGGGCCATACAGATGCTTTAAAAAAGAACTGGGTGATTATATTGGAGCTGTACTTGCACTGTCACATCTTTTGAAGTTCTTCTGAATAATTTTTGAAGCATTTGTTGTCTTACTAATTATAAAATTATCTTCTAGAATGGAAAGGAATGGAACCTATATTTTTATGTGTATGAGCATATACACGTAAGGAGTGTAGAACATTTTCACCATGTTAAAAATGATGGAAAACTCTGGCTGGCTTGCATTTTATAATTTGTGCAAGAATCTCAGTAGACACAGAATGTCAGTCCTCTGTGAGATGAGTATTTTTTTAATGAAATAAATTGTTTTAGTTTGAGATAGAATATATATCTATCCTTTTGTTTTAAGTGCTTATTTTTCAGCTATTGTATAAAACTACCCTACAGAACCCTTCTAGCAATTATAGAGTATTACATTTTTAACACATATTCTACAGCCAAACTGATTCAAAGGTTGATTTATGCACATGAAACACAGTGGAATATTAAATAGTTCAGTGTTCAATATTTAACATTTAGCATTCTTCATATGCAGAATTGTTATTAATATTAAATATTAAAATGTTTTCTTTGATCACTGGGTTGCCATGGCTCACATTTTTTTATTGGAACATACTGTTTATGTTTGTCTTTCACAGTTGAGTTACCAACCTTAATAAGCTTTATTAAAAATTCTTTATTCAAACAGCATCTAACTCTTTGCTGGTATTTTTAGGAAAACATATTGGAGGGGCTCAAGCAAGGTCATATAAATGAACAGAAATGCTCCTGTGCATTTCAAAATCTCCTTCCTTTTTATTCATCTTCGGTATGTATGACTTCTGAAATAAGCAAAAGCTATATTTGAGATATTGTCAAGGATAAATATCTCTGATACATATGGCTTCATCTAATTTTTTTTTAGAGATTTATATTCAAAAACGTGGCTGGTAAAATTTTATTGGTAGAATAAAAAATTGGCTCTCTTCTCTTTCCTTTCTTTCTTCCCCTCCCAGCTTCAAGTTATATAACCTATGCCTTAAAAATTGTTAAGATGTTGGGGTGGCACTGGGAAAACTCAGATTTGAGTCCACCCTCAGCCAGGGGAGCTCACCAAGTGATTTGGGGCTGTTGTAGTCCTCTCTGCTCAGATTACCTCACAGGGTTGTTGCAGTGAGGAAAAAATAGAAGGGAGTCCTACAATTTTGAGCTCCTTAACCACAGGTAAGGATATCTATCAATAAATAACTTCCCTGAATATATTTTTCTGCCAATATTTTGGGGTTCCCACTGGTAAAATAAGGGAACATGTTAGTGCCGGAAAAACTGTTGGTGATTAAGCTGCCAGATCACAGAAGGATTTCTTGTAGTCCTGGGAGGTAAATTCTAGTTTAATTTCTACAGACATACATAGCCTTCAAAGCTTTCTACCTTTTGAATTTCACCAATTCCTTTGACTGAGAGCATCAATCCTAGGTATTAAGATTAGAGGATTTTTATTGTCAGGTTGGTCTTGTAATTTTGTTCTTTATTGTAAAAACTATTGCCTATAGTTTTTCAGAAATGGGGTTATAAATTTGGTGAAATAAATACAGGTCTTTGACTAACAACCATTTGTTAGTGACCATCCAAAGTTACAATGGCAATGAAAAAAAGTGACTTATGACCGTTTTTCACACTTACAACCTTTGCGGCATCCCCACAGCCATGGAATCAAAATTTAGACACTTGGCAACTGGCTCATACTTAATTTTTGATAAGCAAAATCAATAAGGAAGTCAGATTCACTTAATAACCATGTTACTAATTTAACAATTGCAGTGATTCGCTTAAGAACTGTGGCAGTAAAGGTCTAAACTATCTCACTTAGCAACCAATATTGGGCTCAGTTGTGGTTCAAAGACAAAGACTACCTATATTATAATCTTATTTGTTTGTTTTGTTTTCTAACCCAAAAAACGCTTTACACAATGCTTTCCCCATACCTTTAATATATGTAAAAGAGCATCAGTGAATAGATTACAAAGGAAGTTTTCCCATTGTCACCGAAGTGACACTGATATTTGGGAAGTTCAAAACCTAGAAAGCTTTGAAGGCATTTGTGTACTTAACTCTGTAGAAATTATTATTTGATGTCCTGTAAATTAGTGAAGAGTCAGCATGAAATTTGGCAACAATCTACATCCTGGTCAAGGTGCTTGACAAAATAAGTTCATCCTGCTTAATTCCCATGTTTTACCTTATTCAACTTTCTATACAGTAGATGATAAAATATACTTCGCTTTTTTTCCAGGTGGAGAGTTTTCTTGAAGTACTGCATGGAGCAGATCAGACTCTTGCTGACAACTTGAGTAAAAGCTTCCCAAATTTGAAACTCCAGGCATAGGTCCATATGTCTGTTTTGCTGCAAGGAGACTGTGTATAATTAGTTTCCCTATGAAGAAAGCACTGGGTAAAGAATTCCAAGCAAATTGAAACCTATATAAGAATCCTTTTTAAATGGAGGCAATATAGCAAATGGTCTGGAAAAACAAACTCCCTGAAGACTGTTTAGCATATGCAACATAATTTTATATCTTAGTAACTATTGAGGTTGTAAATTTCAGCTAAAAATGAACAACCCTTCGTCTAAGTCTGAAAAAGGTCTTCCTTTTTCTGTATTAATAAAGTTAGTTAAGATGTTTTTTTATAGAGAATAATTGGGTTGTTTTGGTTTGTTTGTCTTACAGAGTTAAATAATTCAAAAAATTACCAAAATGAAGCTTAATTATAGTAACATCTAAAATTGGAGAGTTTTGTAATTAATAAACAATATTTGGACCTATGTGACAGATGTTCTGCTTGTGCATTATTTTTACATGAAATAAATTATAATTCAATTATACTTCAGATGTGTCACAGGTCTTCTAGTGCCATGCAACAACCTGCAGTAGCTACTCTCTGCCACTGCCACTGGTATGGAAATTACAGTATTGGAGGAAGGTTCATAAGAATTTCATATAGTACACAACATATAATATACATAACATGTAGCAAAGAGCTGGTTAGATACGGTGTTTCCCAGAAAATAAGACAGGGTCTTATTTTCTTTTGACCTCCGAAATAATGAGCACAGCTCATTGTTACTTGGCCTTATTTTCGGGGAGGTCTTATTATTTTTGAGGTGCAGGAGGTGATGAAAGTGGTCACCTCATGGCTGCTGCTGACACAGCCGCTCATCAGCTGTTCGCCCCTGAGACCATGCATGCGCTTCCAGCCATGCTTCTCAGGACTCTGCACCATGCCATCAGCACGGCCATGCCACTGCAACCGGATGTCCCGTGTTGCTGTCGGCTCCCTGTTCTTCGCTAATGGCTTTTGCAGTAGCCATTAGCATGACAGAAGGGCGCGGTGGCTAGGGTCGCGGGAGCGGCCGTTAGGTAAGGGCATGTGGGGTGCATGGGACATGTTTCCCCCTCCCTCCCCTCCGGCCTCCCCTCACCTGTTTGCACGGCAACAACCAGAGGAAATGGCGGTCTGTTGCACATGCGGTTAAATATTTTTTGGGGGGGCTTATTTTCAGGGGAGGGCTTATTTTAGCACATGCACTCAAAAGCCTGATTGGGCTTATTATCTGGGGAGGTCTTATTTTCAGGGAAGCAGGTTATATGATGAAGGTGCTGGCTACAAGAGTGTGAGTTCTAAATATCAAAGTGAGCTGGGACCAGTCACTCAGCCCAACCTACTTTACAAGATTATTCTTGTAGGGAAAATAGGCATGAATAATTGTGTATATTTACCATCTTGAGTTTATGTGTGTGTGTGGTGTGATAAAAATATAATAAAAATAGTAACATAGAAAGATGTAAATATTGTAGACAAGAATAAGGAATTTTAATTTGCTCTGACTTAACCTTACAATGTATGGTGTCTGTCAGAGAAAGTAACAACACGTTTTTAATAAGGGATTTCCTTATTTTGAGTGAACCTGGAGGTCCCACGTATTTTAAGTTAAACCAGCTATCCCACTTAGCCTACTATTCCTGGATTGGCTACACTCGTAACTTTGGAGAAAGATGGATGTTCTATCATGTATATATACTGAAGACAAGCCACAGGAATTGGGTTAATCATTGTAGTCTTCAGCAGACAATTGAGTTGTACTCCAGTCGGAAAAATAATGAGAAATTCAAATGGGAATATGCTAAACCTTTCACAGTGCCTGAGAAAAATAGAGATGGTGGAGCCTGAACCCAAAATATCAAAAATGAAAACATTCATCATAATGGCCTATATCCTTTATCTGTAGCACGTCTTCATGTTCAGTTCATTGTGATTAATGGCAAATACAATAGGCTACCAGCTCTTGGGCATTGCAGTGAAGTAAGCTGCCTTTTAAATTCAAAGGCAACCTCCTGCTAATATTAATTGTACAAAATTACAGCATTCATAACTTCTTCAAACAGCTTAAGAATCCCATCCTTTCTAGTCTATTTGGTGATGAGTCAAAAAATAATCATATCATATATATATGAAAAACAACCCTTAGACGAGATGGAAATTTGCTTCCTTTACTTTAGCCAGACTCATTTGTCCATGACATGATGCAATTTCCCAAATACCTCTGAGGTACCACAAAGAAGCTAAAGGAAGATAAGGGGAGAAAAAGCCTGAGAATTTTTGAATACGTTATGCAGCTATGTGCACCGATCCTGTCAGATAGAATTTCCAGTGATCCTAAGCTAACGGAGTGTACGTTAAATAAACCTGACACATAATTTTGTATGTAAAATTTGTGGGATGCCACTAAGAGAAATAGCAATAGCACTTAGACTTACATACCGCTTCCCAGTGCTTTACAGCCCTCTAAGCGGTTTACAGAGTCAGCATATTGCCTCCAACAATCTGGGCCCTCATTTTACTGACCATGGAAGGCTGAGTCAAACTTGAGTCGGTGAGAATCGAACTGCCAAAATGCAGGCAGCTGGCACTCAGTAGTACTGCATTCAAACCACTGCACCCATGCAGCTCATTGTTACAAATTGTCACTCTGTTATGGTATTAGTAGATACTATGGAATCTGTATCATATTAGAATCTACATGAAAATATAGGTAGTCCTCCACTTATGACTGCAATTGAGCCCAAAATTTCTGTTGCTAAGAGAAACATTTGCTAAGTGAGTTTTGCCCCATTTTATGACTTTCCTTGCCACAGTTGTTAAGTGAATCACTGCAGTTGGTAAGTTAGTAACCCGGTTGTTAAGTGAAACTGGTTTTCCCATTGACTGCTTATCAGAAGGTCAGAAAAGATGATCACATGGCCATGGGACACTGCAACCATCATAAATATGAGTCAGTTGCCAAGTGTCTGGATTTTGATTACATGACCATGGGGATGCTGCAATGGTCATAAGTGTGAAAAACAGTCGTAGGTCACTTTTTTCAGTAATGTAACTTTGAATGGTCACTAAATGAACTGTTGTAAGTCAAGAACTACCTATAGTCTGATTTCTATTTCTGTGAGTAAAAAAAATTAAATCTACAAATATCAGATTAACAAGGAATCTTTATGATCAGCTTCCATCCAAGTTTTCCATTATATATAAAATATTAATAGTTAAGTTACCTTTGTAGAGTTTGTCTTTGCTTTGAAGAAGATGGAAATTTAAAACACCGGTGCTAACTTTTTAATTTTAATTTTTTAATTTAATTTTTTTAATGTAAAGCTTTTTTATCTAAGATCTTTTATATAAGATAACATTTGTTATCTTATATATGGTTTGTATGAATGCCTTAGGAAGATTGCTTTGAATATAAAGCTAAATTGATTAACTATATTTCTTAGAAAAGGAGGTAACTTTATGCCTAATATAATGGATTTTAAAACTGTTCTGTGTCAAACAATCAAAAAAGAAAACATTGCTGTTGAGGGGAAAAATGGGAGGAAAGAATGATACCTCAATTCTTGAAAGAACATCTGGATGAAAAATTCATTTTGCTACTTGGGGAAGGAGAGAATGCATATTAGGCAAGGATCAAAATACATAAATTACGATCTTTTGGCACCAAAAGATGACTCATTTCCCCAAGTTGCATCCAGAAAGGGAGAAAAGGTATACTAAACTTGGAGTGTGTATGTTTCATTTCCTTTTGATTGGCATTTCACTCAAAGAACAGGCATACATTTGATGCAGAAAAAGGCTGCTTAGTGTTTCCCCATAGAAGAGAAGATTTACAGATAATACCCAGGCATTATCAGACTGTTTCGAGTGGTGTTTTTCCTTCTGTTTCCGTTCAGCATTGGTGTTATTGTTTTCCATGTTGAAATTCTTTCATAAAAATCCAGAAGCGATCAAATGTATTTTTTGTTGCAATGAAACCGAGTCCCAACTGAGACTCAACAGGCCACCCTTTAATACAACCCCAAGCTTGCATCAATATTATTCTTGTTATCATATAATGTGCACGGGGTGGTGGTTGTATGTTTAATGGGCCATCTGCTATTCTTCCTTGAAAGGGAAGTGTTTTGTATCAGTTGCTTCACCTGATATTTCCTGGTCTGCTTTCGTAGCACAATTTCCGTAACTACTGTCAATAGGGTGGTAAGAGACATACATACAAGGAAGTTCAGGCTGTTCTACATTGTAGATGCAGTCTTGTGCGAAATCTTCAATAGCTAATGACGTCAAAGGGTAAAGTATCAATCTCACTAGACGGATCAATCTTTTTGTTTGTCCTTGAAACTCAAGTGTTAATTCTGATTTCTAGTGGTATGAGGATATAGGAAAGTCTACACACACATCCCCTATATATCTATATTCTCTCTCTCTCTCATTCTATCTATCTATCTATCTATCTATCTATCTATCTATCTATCTATCTATGTTATTATGAACCTCTGTCAACTTACCCTCAATTCACCTTTTTGTATATGCAGAAGTCCCAACTGTTGTGATTTAGAAGAGAACAACTCCAGTGCCCTGATCATTTTTGTCATCCCTTTTCTGCATTTTTCCCAGCTTCACAATACCTTATCTGAGGTATGACTAGATCTGGGTGCACTAGTTCAGCTGAGGTCTGTAAATTTGAACCCTACTTTTAAACTTCTTTTGTATTTAATAAGCAAATAAATACATGTCCTCCTAATACAGAATGATTGTTTCTCACAGCTGTAAGCTGAACAATATCATCATCTCAAAAATACCAGAACAGGCTTTTTAAAAAAATCGTTCATCTCCATCATTCGCCATCAGTCCTCTAGATATTTTAGTACCTTTTGTGGTTATTAATATGATGCTACATCAGAATAACACTGTTAGCCTAGCATCTATATCACATTGTAACCACTCAAATTTCACAATTTCTTCAAGCAAGAAAGAGATTGATCTCCTCCAATGTTGATTCCTATCAGCTATGCTGTTGATTCTGGAGATGGCAAACAAATTCAGTAATCACCAATAACCATCTCCAGAATCAGAATCAGATCTTCCATAGAGTTGTCCAGCTCCCTTTTAAAACAATCTAAATTGGTCACCATCACATCACTACAAATATAGAAAACAATATTTGTATTATGTGTACTACAAGTCTAACAACTAAATCCATTATTAATTCCCTCTATCTTTTCACATGAATGAATATATGTCACTTATGTTCATTGAAAACGGCATTCCTGTTGATGTGAATTAGTATGACAGATCTATGGTCCATTCATAAATAGAAAGTGTTAATTTAAATAAGTGGTGAAATTAAGATGCATGTCCCCTATTGTAAAAAATAAGAGGTTTTTTTGGTGGTACACTTTAAAAATCTAAAATATAAATTGCTAGTTGGGCAGACACACA